TATCCGGGTGACCCATGCTCAAATACACCTATCGCAGCAATTTCAGCTTGGTTCGTGCGCAAAGAAAAGTTAGGCGCTTGCGATCACAACTGTGTTTGCCGACAAATGCTAAAGAAGCGCATGGATCCCTACATGTGCCGGGAAAAGCATCAAACGACCTGAATGTTATTGCAAAATCGGGTGGCTCGCGACACCGCCCCTGCAGCAGCTCGCGACGCCGCCCCTGCAACAGCGCGCGAGCCGCCCCTGCGCCAGCGCCATCGCTACTGGAGCCGCCGCCCCTGGTGCGGCCGCCCCTGGACCCGCGACCCCGCCCCTGGAGCAGCCGCCCATGGTGCCGCCGCCCCTGGACCTGCGCCGTCGCCCAGGGAGCAGCCGCCCCTGGTGCAGCCGCCCCTGGACCTGCGCCGCCGCCCCTGGAGCAGCCGCCCCTGGTGCAGCCGCCCCTGTACCCGCGACGCCGCCCGTGGAGCAGCCGCCCCTGGTGCAGCCGCCCCTAGAACCTCAGTCGCCGCCCCTGGAGCAACCGCACCAGCAGCAGCCGACCATGCAGCTGCCCGCGACGCCGCTCCTGGACCCTGTGCAGTCGCGCTCAGTCTCACCCGCGCCCTTGTGCGCCCTACCCTACCTGCTCCGCGCTGTTGCTCTGCACGCGCGGTTGCCCGCGCCCTCGTGCGCTCTACCCTACCTGCTCCGCGCTGTTGCTCTGCACGCGCGGTTGCCCGCGCCCTCGTGCGCTCTACCCTACCTGCTCCGCGCTGTTGCTCTGCACGCGCGGTTGCCCGCGCCCTCGTGCGCTCTACCCTACCTACTCCGCTCTGTTGCTCTGCACGCGCGGTTGCCCGCGCCCTCGTGCGCTCTACCCTACCTGCTCCGCGCTGTTGCTCTGCACGCGCGGTTGCCTGCGCCCTCGTGCGCTCTCCCGCCCCGCCCCCCCCCCCCCCCCCCTGGGTCCCCTGGACAGGAGGGTGTGGGGGTGGCGGGTGTGGGGGTGCTCCGTGTGCGTCGCCCCTTCCTTCTCCTCCGTCTCCCACTGCTGCAGCTGCCGCTGCGGGGGTGGATGTGTGGGAGACGAGGGAGTGGCGCTAGGGGGGTGATGTGGGCGTGGAGCGAGTGGTGACCCTGGGGGTGTGTGTAGGGGGGAGTGAGACAGTTGGAGGAGGTTGCAGCCTGGTGCTCCTGGTGCCCGTGTGTCTGCAACTTCAGTAGTCGCCTCCTCTCTTCTCTCCCTCCACAGTTCCTCCTCCTCACTGGCCTCCTGTGACTGCCACTAGCTTTGCTGATAATTGTGAACTATTGCTGTGACTTCTCACGTGTGCTGATTACACCCCACTTTGGCTATGGGGGTGTGTCAGATTATGTTATTTGTCTAGCCTGCAGTGGGGTGCTCAATAGTGAGTACAACCCCTTAGGGTTTCCTATATGTATCCTGCTGCTTGCTAGTTCAATCCATCATTCCCATTCTCACTTCTCCAATTCTCCTTCGTATACCCCAAACCCTAGTCCTAGGGCACAACCTACTACCTCCTACTGTGGCCTAGGCTACTAAGCCTAGGCCACGCTCCTATTCTTTCTGACAGGCTCATGCTCGAATACACCGATCAGAGCATTTTCAGCTTGGTTCGTGCGCAAAGAAAAGTTCGGCGCCTGCGATGACGGCTACTTTTGCCGACAAATGCTAAGGAAACGCATCGATCCCTACATGTGTCAAGAAAAGCATCGAACGACCTGAAATTTCTTGCAAAATCGGATGGCTCATGCTCGAATATAGCTATCTACTAGAGCAATTTCAGCTTGGTTCGTGCGCAATGAAAAGTTTGGCGCCTGCGATGACGGCTGCTTTTGCCGACAAATGCTAAGGAAGCGCATGGATCCCTAGATGTGTCGGAAAAAGCATCGAACGACCTGAATGTTATTGCATATTTGGGTGGCTCATGCTCAAATACACCTATCACAGCAATTTCAGCTTGGATCCTATGCAAAGAAAAGTTCGGCGCCTGCGATGACGGCTGCTTTTGCCGACAAACGCTAAGGAAGCGCATGGATCCTTATATGCGTAGGGAAAAGCATTGAACGGCCTGAATGTTATTTCATGTCCGGGTGGCCCATGCTCAAATACACCTATCGGAGCAATTTAAGCTTGGTTCGTGCGCAAAGAAAAGTTCGGCGCCTGCGATGACGGTTGTGTTTGCCGACAAATGATAAGGAAGCGCAAGTATCCCTACATGCGTAGGGAAAAGCATCGAATGACCTGAATGTTGTTCGATATCCAGGTGGCTCATGCTCAGATACACCTATCAGAGCAATTTCAACTTGGCTTATACGCAAAGAAAAGTTTGGCGCCTGCGATGACGGCTGTGTTCGCCGACAAATGCTAAGGAAACGCGTGGATCCCGACATGCGTTGGGAAAAGCATTGATCGACCTGAATGTTATTGCATATTCAGGTGGCTCATGCTCAAATACACCTATCATAGCAATTTCAGCATGGTTCGTGCGCAAAGAAAAGTTCGGCGCCTGCGATGACGGCTGCTTTTGCCGACAAATGCTAAGGAAGCGCATGGATCCCTACATGCGTAGTGAAAATCATCGAACGACCTAAATGTTATTGTATATTCGGGTGGCCCATGCTCGAGTACATCTATCAAAGCAATTTCAACTTGGTTCATGCGCATAGAAAAGTTTGGCGCCTGCGATGACGGTTGTGTTTGCCGACAAATGCTAAGAAAGCGCATGGATCCATACGTGCGTAGGGAAAATCATCGAACGACTTGAATGTTATTGCATATTCGGGTGGTTCATTCTCAAATACACCTATCAAAGTAATTTCAGCTTGGTTCGCGTGCCTAGAAAAGTTCGGCGCCTGCGATGACGGCTGTGCCTGCCGACAAATGCTAAGGAAGCGCATGGATCCCTATAGGCATAGGGAAAAGCATCAAACGACCTGAACGTTGTTACATATTCGGGTGGCCCATGCTCAAATACACCAATCAGAGCAATTCCAGCTTGGTTCGTGCGCACAGAAAAGTTCGGCGCCTGCGATGATGCTTGTGTCTGCCGACAAATGCTAAGGAAGCGCATGGATCCCTATAGGCGTAGGGAAAAGCATCGAACAACCTGAATGTTGTTGCATATTCGGTTGGCACATGCTCAAATAAACCTTCCAGAGCACTTTCGGCTTGGATCGCGTGCACAAAAAAGTTCGGCGCCTGCGATGACGGCAGCGTCTGTCGACAAACGTACCGTATTCTCCCGGATATAGGACCCTCCCGAAAAAAAGACCCCCGGGACTTTTGAGCGGTATTGGGACTCTTAAAATGTAGCACTTGTGAGAGGACCCCCTTTTTGCTACAAAACATTTTAAGACCCCCTTTTTCTGTGTACAGTACTTAAAAAAAATATGCGCGTCAGCTTTTAGAGGCACAGAATCCGAAATTTGACCCGTCATTTGTGTCAAAATCGGGTTCTGACAAACCAATTATGTCGGACACGAGATCTGACGTTTCTGACGCGCCGCTCGCGCGAATTTCGTGCACGAGAGATTTTTTCGGTTCGAACATAAGACCCCCCCCCCCCCCCCTTCAAATTCAAATGTACACCCTAAATCACGTAAGTGTACCTGATTAATAAGTGTACCCGGGACGCTTACAACTCGTGTCGATTAAATGTTCACCCTAGTCATTTTGCCTCTATTTTAGGAAAGTCCCCCGGGTCTTGGGGAACGTTCATGTGGAGACACTTGTGTCTCAATCCCCTTTTTCCCGAGTCGCGCTTGTAAATTTGCCGAATGTTATGTCACAAACAACCAATGTATCTCGACTCTGGGCGACAAATGTGCATGGCCAGTTGGGCGCTTTCTATTGGTGGCGACCAATTGGTTCGGTCACAACTGGGGTTTGGAGTACAAGGACGGAGTGGAGCGGGAGAGTGGTGTCAGCGTGGTCGAAACAGTGTGCTGAAAGTCGGGCAGGGATGTGACCTCACGGTCGCATCCACCAGTCATCTGTCTGCGCGAGCAGAGCGGTTTCCTGTTCCCGCGCAAAATTTGCTGATTTCGGGAGTCCAGGTGCATGCGGTACAGTGTGACATTTCGACACGCGTGCGATTTCCGGGGTGTGACGGGGCCTCGTGTAACTCGTCCGCGACACCCCCGCAATTCCCGCCAACCAATGTAAAATACAGTGTGGATCGCATTTGTGCGGTCCGCGTTTGTGACACATGCCGTTATATGTTGTTTTCCAGTGTTCCCTTATATCCAGTAGAATACGGTAAGTACAACAACCTAAAATTCGCGTGCCCGAAATGTTACATGACTCGTCAGTTCAATTTTAGCTGAGCCAAACGCTAATAATAGGGTGTACAGTTCGGTCGGTTGACGTGTTGTGTTACCTGTCAAACATTCTGGATGCACTGTTCATTACCATTCAGGCAAAAATGTTGACTAGGTAGGCATGTTAGTTACCACTAGAGCAATCTCACGACACCTTCGTTACGATTTGAACGCGTGGCTTACCTCGGAGGCAATCTAGCTCCAACTGTGTTACCGCGAAGATAATTACCCAAAAGCTTTGGCTGCACGCTGGTGTTGGAATGGTTCGTTCCCAACGTCGATTGGCTCTTATTCCCCCAATATCCACGTGGCTTTGCGTGGATTGGGTCGTCATGTTCCTCACCCGCCAAGTCCAATTGTTCACTACTTCCACCCAGCACAACAAGCTGGAATTTTGAAATCACTATTTTTTTTTTCAAAATCGATCCAGGCCGTCCATTCTTCCCATCTAGCGGTACTGCAGGCCGCCATGGCGCGCCGAGCACGCCTTAAGGCGGCTGTTCGACCGAGAATACGAGAATTCTAGTTGTCCCTCTGCATTCTTAATTGTGACGAGGTGTGCAAGGCTAGCCTGGGTAGGCGCGCCAGCGAGCAGGCAGCGGGCGACAAGGGGAGAAGGGGTTCGGGGAGACGTGGATCGGCGGGGTGCGGGGGAGCGATCTCGCGACGCCATGAACGGCACGGGCGCGGGCATGGGCGTGAGCGGGGCGGGCGGGGCGCGGGTGGCGGAGTTGCTGGGCGAACTGGCGGCGATGGAGGCGACGGTGTCGTCGCTGCAGAGCGACGTGAGCGACAGCGTGTACCTCATCGCCAACATCTGGCGCATCACCGGCACCACCTTCGTGCTCCTCATGCAGGTATGCCGGTACACTCCCCCCCCCTCCCCCCCCTCAGGCAGGTACCACCCACCCTCCACTCGTGCTCGCCCCCTCTCGTGCTCGCCCCCTCTCGTACTCGCCCCCTCTCGTACTCGCCCCCACTCATGCTCGCCCGGTCTCGTCTCTTCCGTTGGGTCTCCAACTCACTCCCTCCCTCACCGCACACCTTGTTGCACACCTTGTTGCCCCTCGCCTTCATGTGCGGGTGGCGCGTGCAGTTGGGGTTTTCGCTGCTGGAGGCGGGGCACGTGCGGTTCAAGAACACGCGCAACATAATGATCAAGAACGTGCTCGACACGTGCGTGTCCGCCATTGCCTTCTGGCTCTTCGGCTACGCCATCGGCTTCGGTGACGGCACGCGCGTCTTCGGCTGGGCCAACCCGGACGGCTCTGTGAGTGCCTTTCCCTGCGCCATGCGTCATGAGAGGATAGGCGTGCTCACTATCACTGCCCAATGGTACATGGGTCTCAACGGACATCCACATTCGCCTGCGCCTCTCTTTCTCCAAATGCACGCCTCCTGCCTGCACTGCTTGCGCCTTACCACCCATTCCCTTCTCCCCAACTATGCCTTTCCCTGCTGCCCTGCTTCCCCCCCCCCCTTGCTCCCTGCATGCCCCGCCTTGCTCCCTGCATGCCCCGCCGTTCTCCCTGCATGCCCCGCCTTGCTCCCTGCATGCCCCGCCGTGCTCCCTGCATGCCCCGCCGTGCTCCCTGCATGCCCCGCCGTGCTCCCTGCATGCCCCGCCGTGCTCCCTGCATGCCCCGCCGTGCTCCCTGCATGCCCCGCCGTTGCTCCCTGCATGCCCCGCCTTGCTCCCTGCATGCCCCGCCGTGCTCCCTGCATGCCCCGCCGTGCTCCCTGCATGCCCCGCCGTCTCCCTGCATGCCCCGCCGTGCTCCCTGCATGCCCCGCCGTGCTCCCTGCATGCCCCGCCGTGCTCCCTGCATGCCCCGCCGTGCTCCCTGCATGCCCCGCCGTGCTCCCTGCATGCCCCGCCGTGCTCCCTGCATGCCCCGCCGTGCTCCCTGCATGCCCCGCCGTGCTCCCTGCATGCCCCGCCGTGCTCCCTGCATGCCCCGCCGTGCTCCCTGCATGCCCCGCCGTGCTCCCTGCATGCCCCGCCGTGCTCCCTGCATGCCCCGCCGTGCTCCCTGCATGCCCCGCCGTGCTCCCTGCATGCCCCGCCGTGCTCCCTGCATGCCCCGCCGTGCTCCCTGCATGCCCCGCCGTGCTCCCTGCATGCCCCGCCGTGCTCCCTGCATGCCCCGCCGTGCTCCCTGCATGCCCCGCCGTGCTCCCTGCATGCCCCGCCGTGCTCCCTGCATGCCCCGCCGTGCTCCCTGCATGCCCCGCCGTGCTCCCTGCATGCCCCGCCGTGCTCCCTGCATGCCCCGCCGTGCTCCCTGCATGCCCCGCCGTGCTCCCTGCATGCCCCGCCGTGCTCCCTGCATGCCCCGCCGTGCTCCCTGCATGCCCCGCCGTGCTCCCTGCATGCCCCGCCGTGCTCCCTGCATGCCCCGCCGTGCTCCCTGCATGCCCCGCCGTGCTCCCTGCATGCCCCGCCGTGCTCCCTGCATGCCCCGCCGTGCTCCCTGCATGCCCCGCCGTGCTCCCTGCATGCCCCGCCGTGCTCCCTGCATGCCCCGCCGTGCTCCCTGCATGCCCCGCCGTGCTCCCTGCATGCCCCGCCGTGCTCCCTGCATGCCCCGCCGTGCTCCCTGCATGCCCCGCCGTGCTCCCTGCATGCCCCGCCGTGCTCCCTGCATGCCCCGCCGTGCTCCCTGCATGCCCCGCCGTGCTCCCTGCATGCCCCGCCGTGCTCCCTGCATGCCCCGCCGTGCTCCCTGCATGCCCCGCCGTGCTCCCTGCATGCCCCGCCGTGCTCCCTGCATGCCCCGCCGTGCTCCCTGCATGCCCCGCCGTTGCTCCCTGCATGCCCCGCCGTGCTCCCTGCATGCCCCGCCGTGCTCCCTGCATGCCCCGCCGTCTCCCTGCATGCCCCGCCGTCTCCCTGCATGCCCCGCCGTGCTCCCTGCATGCCCCGCCGTGCTCCCTGCATGCCCCGCCGTGCTCCCTGCATGCCCCGCCGTGCTCCCTGCATGCCCCGCCGTGCTCCCTGCATGCCCCGCCGTGCTCCCTGCATGCCCCGCCGTGCTCCCTGCATGCCCCGCCGTGCTCCCTGCATGCCCCGCCGTGCTCCCTGCATGCCCCGCCGTGCTCCCTGCATGCCCCGCCGTGCTCCCTGCATGCCCCGCCGTGCTCCCTGCATGCCCCGCCGTGCTCCCTGCATGCCCCGCCGTGCTCCCTGCATGCCCCGCCGTGCTCCCTGCATGCCCCGCCGTGCTCCCTGCATGCCCCGCCGTGCTCCCTGCATGCCCCGCCGTGCTCCCTGCATGCCCCGCCGTGCTCCCTGCATGCCCCGCCGTGCTCCCTGCATGCCCCGCCGTGCTCCCTGCATGCCCCGCCGTGCTCCCTGCATGCCCCGCCGTGCTCCCTGCATGCCCCGCCGTGCTCCCTGCATGCCCCGCCGTGCTCCCTGCATGCCCCGCCGTGCTCCCTGCATGCCCCGCCGTGCTCCCTGCATGCCCCGCCGTGCTCCCTGCATGCCCCGCCGTGCTCCCTGCATGCCCCGCCGTGCTCCCTGCATGCCCCGCCGTGCTCCCTGCATGCCCCGCCGTGCTCCCTGCATGCCCCGCCGTGCTCCCTGCATGCCCCGCCGTGCTCCCTGCATGCCCCGCCGTGCTCCCTGCATGCCCCGCCGTGCTCCCTGCATGCCCCGCCGTGCTCCCTGCATGCCCCGCCGTGCTCCCTGCATGCCCCGCCGTGCTCCCTGCATGCCCCGCCGTGCTCCCTGCATGCCCCGCCGTGCTCCCTGCATGCCCCGCCGTGCTCCCTGCATGCCCCGCCGTGCTCCCTGCATGCCCCGCCGTGCTCCCTGCATGCCCCGCCGTGCTCCCTGCATGCCCCGCCGTGCTCCCTGCATGCCCCGCCGTGCTCCCTGCATGCCCCGCCGTGCTCCCTGCATGCCCCGCCGTGCTCCCTGCATGCCCCGCCGTGCTCCCTGCATGCCCCGCCGTGCTCCCTGCATGCCCCGCCGTGCTCCCTGCATGCCCCGCCGTGCTCCCTGCATGCCCCGCCGTGCTCCCTGCATGCCCCGCCGTGCTCCCTGCATGCCCCGCCGTTCTCCCTGCATGCCCCGCCGTTCTCCCTGCATGCCCCGCCGTTCTCCCTGCATGCCCCGCCGTGCTCCCTGCATGCCCCGCCGTGCTCCCTGCATGCCCCGCCGTGCTCCCTGCATGCCCCGCCGTGCTCCCTGCATGCCCCGCCGTGCTCCCTGCATGCCCCGCCGTGCTCCCTGCATGCCCCGCCGTGCTCCCTGCATGCCCCGCCGTGCTCCCTGCATGCCCCGCCGTGCTCCCTGCATGCCCCGCCGTGCTCCCTGCATGCCCCGCCGTGCTCCCTGCATGCCCCGCCGTGCTCCCTGCATGCCCCGCCGTGCTCCCTGCATGCCCCGCCGTGCTCCCTGCATGCCCCGCCGTGCTCCCTGCATGCCCCGCCGTGCTCCCTGCATGCCCCGCCGTGCTCCCTGCATGCCCCGCCGTGCTCCCTGCATGCCCCGCCGTGCTCCCTGCATGCCCCGCCGTGCTCCCTGCATGCCCCGCCGTGCTCCCTGCATGCCCCGCCGTGCTCCCTGCATGCCCCGCCGTGCTCCCTGCATGCCCCGCCGTGCTCCCTGCATGCCCCGCCGTGCTCCCTGCATGCCCCGCCGTGCTCCCTGCATGCCCCGCCGTGCTCCCTGCATGCCCCGCCGTGCTCCCTGCATGCCCCGCCGTGCTCCCTGCATGCCCCGCCGTGCTCCCTGCATGCCCCGCCGTGCTCCCTGCATGCCCCGCCGTGCTCCCTGCATGCCCCGCCGTGCTCCCTGCATGCCCCGCCGTGCTCCCTGCATGCCCCGCCGTGCTCCCTGCATGCCCCGCCGTGCTCCCTGCATGCCCCGCCGTGCTCCCTGCATGCCCCGCCGTGCTCCCTGCATGCCCCGCCGTGCTCCCTGCATGCCCCGCCGTGCTCCCTGCATGCCCCGCCGTGCTCCCTGCATGCCCCGCCGTGCTCCCTGCATGCCCCGCCGTGCTCCCTGCATGCCCCGCCGTGCTCCCTGCATGCCCCGCCGTGCTCCCTGCATGCCCCGCCGTGCTCCCTGCATGCCCCGCCGTGCTCCCTGCATGCCCCGCCGTGCTCCCTGCATGCCCCGCCGTGCTCCCTGCATGCCCCGCCGTGCTCCCTGCATGCCCCGCCGTGCTCCCTGCATGCCCCGCCGTGCTCCCTGCATGCCCCGCCGTGCTCCCTGCATGCCCCGCCGTTCTCCCTGCATGCCCCGCCGTGCTCCCTGCATGCCCCGCCGTGCTCCCTGCATGCCCCGCCGTGCTCCCTGCATGCCCCGCCGTGCTCCCTGCATGCCCCGCCGTTCTCCCTGCATGCCCCGCCGTGCTCCCTGCATGCCCCGCCGTTCTCCCTGCATGCCCCGCCGTGCTCCCTGCATGCCCCGCCGTTCTCCCTGCATGCCCCGCCGTGCTCCCTGCATGCCCCGCCGTTCTCCCTGCATGCCCCGCCGTTCTCCCTGCATGCCCCGCCGTTCTCCCTGCATGCCCCGCCGTGCTCCCTGCATGCCCCGCCGTTCTCCCTGCATGCCCCGCCGTTCTCCCTGCATGCCCCGCCGTTCTCCCTGCATGCCCCGCCGTGCTCCCTGCATGCCCCGCCGTGCTCCCTGCATGCCCCGCCGTGCTCCCTGCATGCCCCGCCGTGCTCCCTGCATGCCCCGCCGTGCTCCCTGCATGCCCCGCCGTGCTCCCTGCATGCCCCGCCGTGCTCCCTGCATGCCCCGCCGTGCTCCCTGCATGCCCCGCCGTGCTCCCTGCATGCCCCGCCGTGCTCCCTGCATGCCCCGCCGTGCTCCCTGCATGCCCCGCCGTGCTCCCTGCATGCCCCGCCGTGCTCCCTGCATGCCCCGCCGTGCTCCCTGCATGCCCCGCCGTGCTCCCTGCATGCCCCGCCGTGCTCCCTGCATGCCCCGCCGTGCTCCCTGCATGCCCCGCCGTGCTCCCTGCATGCCCCGCCGTGCTCCCTGCATGCCCCGCCGTGCTCCCTGCATGCCCCGCCGTGCTCCCTGCATGCCCCGCCGTGCTCCCTGCATGCCCCGCCGTGCTCCCTGCATGCCCCGCCGTGCTCCCTGCATGCCCCGCCGTGCTCCCTGCATGCCCCGCCGTGCTCCCTGCATGCCCCGCCGTGCTCCCTGCATGCCCCGCCGTGCTCCCTGCATGCCCCGCCGTGCTCCCTGCATGCCCCGCCGTGCTCCCTGCATGCCCCGCCGTGCTCCCTGCATGCCCCGCCGTGCTCCCTGCATGCCCCGCCGTGCTCCCTGCATGCCCCGCCGTGCTCCCTGCATGCCCCGCCGTGCTCCCTGCATGCCCCGCCGTGCTCCCTGCATGCCCCGCCGTTCTCCCTGCATGCCCCGCCGTGCTCCCTGCATGCCCCGCCGTGCTCCCTGCATGCCCCGCCGTGCTCCCTGCATGCCCCGCCGTGCTCCCTGCATGCCCCGCCGTGCTCCCTGCATGCCCCGCCGTTCTCCCTGCATGCCCCGCCGTTCTCCCTGCATGCCCCGCCGTGCTCCCTGCATGCCCCGCCGTTCTCCCTGCATGCCCCGCCGTTCTCCCTGCATGCCCCGCCGTGCTCCCTGCATGCCCCGCCGTGCTCCCTGCATGCCCCGCCGTTCTCCCTGCATGCCCCGCCGTGCTCCCTGCATGCCCCGCCGTGCTCCCTGCATGCCCCGCCGTGCTCCCTGCATGCCCCGCCGTGCTCCCTGCATGCCCCGCCGTGCTCCCTGCATGCCCCGCCGTGCTCCCTGCATGCCCCGCCGTGCTCCCTGCATGCCCCGCCGTGCTCCCTGCATGCCCCGCCGTGCTCCCTGCATGCCCCGCCGTGCTCCCTGCATGCCCCGCCGTGCTCCCTGCATGCCCCGCCGTGCTCCCTGCATGCCCCGCCGTGCTCCCTGCATGCCCCGCCGTGCTCCCTGCATGCCCCGCCGTGCTCCCTGCATGCCCCGCCGTGCTCCCTGCATGCCCCGCCGTGCTCCCTGCATGCCCCGCCGTGCTCCCTGCATGCCCCGCCGTGCTCCCTGCATGCCCCGCCGTGCTCCCTGCATGCCCCGCCGTGCTCCCTGCATGCCCCGCCGTGCTCCCTGCATGCCCCGCCGTGCTCCCTGCATGCCCCGCCGTGCTCCCTGCATGCCCCGCCGTGCTCCCTGCATGCCCCGCCGTGCTCCCTGCATGCCCCGCCGTGCTCCCTGCATGCCCCGCCGTGCTCCCTGCATGCCCCGCCGTGCTCCCTGCATGCCCCGCCGTGCTCCCTGCATGCCCCGCCGTGCTCCCTGCATGCCCCGCCGTGCTCCCTGCATGCCCCGCCGTGCTCCCTGCATGCCCCGCCGTGCTCCCTGCATGCCCCGCCGTGCTCCCTGCATGCCCCGCCGTGCTCCCTGCATGCCCCGCCGTGCTCCCTGCATGCCCCGCCGTGCTCCCTGCATGCCCCGCCGTTCTCCCTGCATGCCCCGCCGTTCTCCCTGCATGCCCCGCCGTTCTCCCTGCATGCCCCGCCGTTCTCCCTGCATGCCCCGCCGTTCTCCCTGCATGCCCCGCCGTTCTCCCTGCATGCCCCGCCGTTCTCCCTGCATGCCCCGCCGTTCTCCCTGCATGCCCCGCCGTTCTCCCTGCATGCCCCGCCGTTCTCCCTGCATGCCCCGCCGTTCTCCCTGCATGCCCCGCCGTTCTCCCTTCATGCCCCGCCGTTCTCCCTGCATGCCCCGCCGTTCTCCCTGCATGCCCCGCCGTGCTCCCTGCCCCCCTGTCGAGCGTGGCAGGTGGCGTTCGCGGGAGGGCAGAACTACGTGCAGTTCTTCTACGCCTTTGCCTTCTGCGCCACCTCCGCCACCATCTTCGCCGGGGCTGTGGCCGAGCGCACTCACCTCGCAGCCTACCTGCTCTTCAAGTGAGCGCCCTCTCATTTTCAACTGAACGCCCTCTGATTTTAAAAAACGCTCTGTCTGCTCTTCAAATGCTTTCATTCACAGGTCCCTTATACACCATTCACCTCAACAACACATCCTGTGCTCACACACACTTCCCTGTCACCCTGCCACTCTGCCGTCCACTGCCCTCACCCATGTCCTCCACGCCTCCTCCCCTCCTCCCTGCTTCTCTCCGACTGCACCAGTTTCGTGCTGGCGGCTTTGATCTACCCGGTGATAGCGCACGTGCTGTGGAGCAGCAACGGGCTGCTGTCACCAGCGCGGGGGGCGGTGATCCTCAACACCAATGGCGTGCTGGACAACGCGGGGTCCATGGTGGTGCACGTCACGGGGGGCGTGACCTCGCTGGTGGGCGCGTGGATGGTGGGGCCTCGCATCGGCCGCTTTGACATCGATGGCAAAGTCGTGCCCTTCAAGGGCCACTCCATGGTGAGATGCCATGCCACTCCATGGTGAGATGCCATGCCACTCCATGGTGAGATGCCATGCCACTTCATGGTGAGATGCCATGCCACTCCATGGTGAGATGCCATGCCACTCCATGGTGAGATGCCATGCCACTCCATGGTGAGATGCCATGCCACTCCATGGTGAGATGCCATGCCACTCCATGGTGAGATGCCATGCCACTCCATGGTGAGATGCCATGCCACTCCATGGTGAGATGCCATGCCACTCCATGGTGAGATGCCATGCCACTCCATGGTGAGATGCCATGCCACTCCATAAGAGCACAGGGCCATGTCACTGTGCAGAACCCCACATGAACGCATGTTCATGCCATGCTGCGACATGTTTATTCATTCTCGCCCTCTTCTTCCCATGTCACCTTCTCACCCAAGCCCTACCCCCATTGCAGGTGTTTGTGGCGGCGGGCACCATCATCCTGTGGACGGGCTTCTATGGCTTCAACGGCTGCAGCGTCGACTACCTCGGGGAGGACCCGCAGGACTGGAGTGCCGAGGTGGCGCGCGTGTGTGTCAACACCACCATCTGCGCCGCTGCTGCCGGGGTCACGGTGTGGACGCTCACGTACCGGCGGAGAGAGCCGGTGCCGGAGGACACGTTCAACGGCGTCATCGGGGGGCTCGTGGCTGCCTGCGCCACCAGCTCCCTCGTAGAGCCCTGGGCCGCCTGCGTTGTTGGTGTGCCTCCTCTCAACCCCTGCCCTCTCCGCCTCTCTGCCTCTCTGCTTCTCCGCCTCTCTGCCTCTCTGCTCTCTGCCTCCGTGTCCCTCTTCCTTCCTCCCACTCTGCCTCTCTGTCTCGCTGGCCCTTTGCATCTCTGACTCTCTGCATCGTCCATTTTTTCTGCAGTTGGTTCAGGTATCGCTCCTGCCGCATGCCTCCCCCCCTCTGCCACCCTCGTCCCTTCATTCTCGTCTCGCCATTACTCTTTCCGTGCATGTCTCGCCATTACTCTTTCCGTGCATGTCTCGCCATTACTCTTTCCGTGCATGTCTCGCCATTACTCTTTCCGTGCATGTGAGCAGGCATGGGAGCGGGGGCGCTGTACCTGCTGGGCACGTGGGTCATGCTTCGATGCCAACTTGATGACCCCGTGCAGGTATGACCCGTGGCAGGTATGACCCGTGGCAGGTATGACCTGTGGCAGGTATGACCCGTGGCAGGTATGACCCGTGGCAGGTATGACCCGTGGCAGGTATGACCCGTGGCAGGTATGACCCGTGGCAGGTATGACCCGTGGCAGGTATGACCCGTGGCAGGTATGACCCGTGGCAGGTATGACCCGTGGCAGGTATGACCCGTGCAGGTATGACCCGTGCATAACTCCACCCACCTGTGCCCCGCCTCTTTGACTGTCATTTCCACTAGCGCTCACCCCTCACCCCCCACTCCTCACCCCCCTGTGCGGCGTCAGGCGACGCCGGTGCATCTGGTGTGCGGGTCGTGGGGCGGGGTGGCGGTGGGGTTCTTTGCGAGTCCGGCCAACATCAGCCGCACCTACAACATCGCCCAGCCCCTCTCCTGCGGCGTCTTCTACGGCTGCTCCGCCTGGCAGCTCCTCGTGCAGGTGCTGCCCTCTGCCCTCTGCCCTCTGCCCTCTGCCCTCTGCCCTCTGCCCTCTGCCCTCTGCCCTCTGCCCTCTGCCCTCTGCCCTCTGCCCTCTGCCCTCTGCCCTCTGCCCATTCTGCCCCTAGAGCATGTGCTTCTATTCTTCTGCGCGTATACTGGTACTTCCAAGCCACTAACGCACTCTCCTCGCATCATGGTTTGTCTTCATCTCAACCCCCTCTCTCTCCCCCACCTCTCGTATTTTCTCTTTGCTCTCACCCTCCTTCCCTCTGTTCACTGGTGTGGCAGATCCTGGGGCTGCTGATAGTGTACGCATGGGTGGGCGCCACGGCGCTCTTCCTCTTCTACGGGCTGCACTTCTTCGACGTGCTGCGCGTCAAGAGGCACCAGGAGGAGGTCAGTCAGCCCAGGGCATGCCAAGGCAGGGGACAGTAGGGGGTGAGGGAGTTGAGTGAGATACAAGGGGTGGCAAAATTTGAGACGTGGAGAGCAGAGAAGCTACTCACACCTATGCTTTTCCTGCCATCATTGCCATTACCACCACACATGCGCCTCCCGCTCCCCCTCCCTCTCCCCTCCTCATTCTCCCACTCGCTCTCCCGCTCCCCCTCCCTCTCCCCTCCTCATTCTCCCACTCGCTCTCCCTCTCGCCCATCCCCTGCGCCCCTCTCTGCATCACCCACTGGCAGGTGGGGTTGGACGTGGTGTTCCACGGGGGAGACGACGCCGACGACGTCGACGGCGACCAGCACGGCCACGCGCGCCGCTTCGCCAGCCGCCGCTGGCAGCAGCTCGGCCTTTCCACCCTCTCCGCCGTGCCGCGCGGCTTCTTCAGCCCCTCACGCTGGCTGCGCGCCTCCACGCGCCTCTGCTCGCGCGACGGGCGCAGCTCAGCGGACGCGGAGGGCATGAGTGTGCGCAAGCGGCGGGACGTGTGGCACCGAGCCCTGGACAGCACGGGGCTGGGGCAGCTATCGCTGGCCATGTACGAGGCCAACTACGTCATGGAGGACGCCGTGGAGGTGGAGGCGGGGTCGGGCGGCGTGTACATCGGCGTGCATGATGGGCATGGCGGCAGTGAGACTGCTGAGTTCCTGCGCCACACGCTCTACAACAACCTCAAGAGTGCGTACACTGCTGCGACATTGCCATGCTCGCTCCACACCTCCACTGCCATGCCGGCCAGCCCATCTGCTGCTTGCATTCCCACCACTCACTCTTCCCCTCCTCTCTCGCACCCTCTCCCCTCCATCAGAGGAGTTTCTGCGCGGGGGAGGAGCGGTGTCGGTGGAGGCGCTGCGGCGGGGGTTTGCGGAGACGGAGAGGCAGTTCACGGCGCGCGTGAGGGACAGCTTCCTCGACTCGCCGCACCTCGCCACCGTGGGGGCGTGCTCTGCCGTCGCCATCGTCACTCGCAGCGCCCTCTGGGTCGCCAATGTGGGCGACTGCCGGGCTGTGCTGGGACAGGTGAGACTGCCGGGCTGTGCTGTGCTGGGAAATGCATGACTGGTAAGTGGTTTATGTGGGCCATTTACCCTTCACTCACCCCTCCCGTTCTCCCTCCCCATCTTCCCTGCCCCTCTGCCCGCCCAGGTGCGGCACACGGGGGACGGGCTGGAGTGTCGGGCGCTGCAGATGTCGGAGGACCACAACCTGAGCTTCCAGGCCATCCGCGACCGCTACCGCGAGGAGCACGCCGACATGCCCGACGCCATCACGGAGAAGCGCGGGCGCTACCGCGTGAAGGGCAAGATCACCGTCACACGCGCCTTTGGGGACCTCTACCTCAAGTCACACGACTTCAACCGCGAGCCGCTCTTCTCGCGCTTCCGCGTCTCCGAGCCCTTCAACCCGCCGCTCATCTCCACCGACCCGCACGTGGCCGTGCGCCTGCTGGCGCCACACGATGCGTTCGTGGTGGTGGCGTCGGACGGGCTGTTCGAGCTGCTGAGCAACCAGGAGGTGGTGGACATGGTGGCTGTCTCCCCGCGCAAAGACATCGCCCGCCAGCTCATCCGTGCCGCCCTGCGGCGCGCAGCGGAGCGCACGGAGGTGCCGTACGGGGAGCTGCTGCGCATGGCGTCGGGGCAGCGGCGGTCGTACCACGATGACATCACCGTCGTTGTCTTCTTCTTTGACCATGATGCCATCCGCAAAGAGGCTGCCCGCAACCAGCCACAATGGTCCAAGGTCAGCTGCCCATTCCCTCCCTGCTCTCCCCATGCACTCATCCCCCCTTCCAGCTTGTCCCCTCTCTGCCACTGCATCTCATCCCAGTGTGAGCATCCCCCCCCCTGCCCCTCTGCCCCCTTCCACCCCTCCTTCTGCCCTCCGCCTGTGGTGCATGGGAGCAGGACGTGTCGCTGAAAGGGGGGGTGAGTGTGGATGCAGCAGGGGCGGTAGTGAGCGACTTCAACGTGGTGAGCAGCGTGCATGGCGGCACCGCTGCGCGCTCCCTGCTGGCGCGCTCCATTGGCTCCACCAACAACCTCGCTGCCTCCTCCTCTCTCAGTGCGTCACTTGTGGAGGACTCAGTGCTGGAGATTGAGTAGAGCACGGCAAACAAAAAACCGCGAACATATATTATTTGTATTTATTAATTATTATTATGGTATTGTCCTATGATGGACAGGACAGCACATGTGTATGTAACAGTTGAGCCTTGCTTGCTGGCTTCCTCGGTGCCAGAGCCAAGCCACCATCCCACCTTGGTGGGAGTGCAGACCAGGCCAAGCCAACACTGCCCCAATGGGGGGCTTGTTCGTCCATTGCTCCCCGAGTGTTGTGTCAGGCTTGACCTTGCTTTGTCCAACTGTTGGCACAAGATGCCTCCTGTCTGGTGATTCCAACAGCTAATGAGCGCATGATGTGGATCCAAATTCGTGCCACTCATGAGATCAATTCAAAAGAGATCCAGCATTGTTCGTTGCATGCAAACCATGTCAAATAAGTACACCAATTGTAAGCAAGTATTTACGGTATACATAGGGGTTGCTTGGGTTAGTATTCTGATGATAACTCTGCAACAGGGATCATGGGCCGTGGCCTAAAGACAGGCCAGATGGCATTATTGGGAGGAGAAGCATAATCAAGACCATATGTTACTGTGTGCTGCCATGTGCTGCCATGTGCTGCCATGTGCTGACATGTGGTGGCATGTGCATCCATGAACGAACACCACATGCAGGGCATCACAGGGGGGCGGTTGGGGGCTGCCAGGGCTGTAGCTCGGTGCGAGGGGCCCACATGGCCACGTCCCCATCGGCGTCGTCATCGTCGCCCCGCAGAATGTTCACCACCCCACGGCACCCAGTGCTGCCGCAGTTGCACGCCAGCTGCTCGTCCTGCGAGTCAAACCTGTGAGGGAGGAGAGCGGATGGGTCACAGTCGGGAGGCATGGGGGCATGGCTCAGGAACCATGGGGGCATGGTTCAAGGGGCATGGGGGCACGGTTGACGGGGCATGTGGGAGGGGTGGGAGGGCAGGGGATGGATGAGCAGTTCCACAACAAGGCGATTGGAAATGGGCGCGCGGCGGGTGCGGGGGGGAGGGTGGGGAGTGCAGGGGCCCTCACCGGTAGTCGTAGGTGAGCTCCTCGCCAGCCATGATGTCCCGGCGGGCGAAGATGACAATGCGCTCCTCCGCACTCGCCTGCACCACCCGTGAGTAGCAGTTGGGCTGCCCAGGGGGAAGGGAAGGAGAGTGGGAATGAGATGAAATGGCAGGATACGTGAGACGGGAATGAGATGGAATGGCAGGATACGTGAGACGGGAATGAGATGGAATGGCAGGATACGTGAGACGGGAATGAGATGGAATGGCAGGATACGTGAGACGGGAATGAGATGGAATGGCAGGATACGTGAGACGGGAATGAGATGGAATGGCAGGATACGTGAGACGGGAATGAGATGGAATGGCAGGATACGTGAGACGGGAATGAGATGGAATGGCAGGATACGTGAGACGGGAATGAGATGGAATGGCAGGATACGTGAGACGGGAATGAGGGGCACATGCAGGCGCGGGCAGTTGAGAAGCCTGTCCATTTTCAAGTAAGCAACATGGATGACAGGACAGAAACAAGACGCGAGAGGGGCTGCAGCAGAGCCTAACGGCATATGGCGTGCAGAAAAGAGAAGAGAGCAAGAGCATGCATGGAGAGCAAGAGCATGCATGGAGAGGGACTGACGTTGCAGGAGTGGTTGATGAGGTGCGCTATGGTGCCCGCCTTGGTGGCATCCACCACTCGGTTGCTGTCAATCCGAAACATGTACGTGCCCGCTCCCTGTGCCACGCCCCGCCCAACAGCCGTAAGCCATGCATGCACCGCACACACCATGTGCCACACAAGCATCACACAGTGTGTCAAAATGCACCATGCATCATGCATCAACCAATTAAAGGTGATGAGTAACGGAGGCATGGAGAGATGGCCTAGGGAAAAAGAGTGAGTGCAAGGAAAGGGTGCAGCGGTGCAGTGCAGGCAGCAGCGTGCGTACCACGAGTGAGTCGTAGCAGCGCCTCTCCCTCAAGTCTGCCACCACTGGCCGCACCACCTCTCCCCCGTACTCTATGATCTGATGTCGCAGTGCAGCAAGCAGAAGCACAGCATGAGACATGGAGACAGCTTTGGGTGAGGCGAGAGGACGACACTCAGTTGAACACGAGAAGCGCATGGCAAAGCAGGAAGTGATAGCACATGCGGACACTCATGCTACGTGCAGCACATGCCATGAGATGCAGAATTTACCCAGAGACGCTTTTGAGTCGACTAAAAAGCACATGCCATGAGATGCAGAATTTACCCAGAGACGCTTTTGAGTCGACTCAAAAGCACATGCCATGAGATGCAGAATTTACCCAGAGACGCTTTTGAGTCGACTCAAAAGCACATGCCATGAGATGCAGAATTTACCCAGAGACGCTTTTGAGTCGACTCAAAAGCACATGCCATGAGATGCAGAATTTACCCAGAGACGCTTTTGAGTCGACTCAAAAGCACATGCCATGAGATGCAGAATTTACCCAGAGACGCTTTTGAGTCGACTCAAAAGCACATGCCATGAGATGCAGAATTTACCCAGAGACGCTTTTGAGTCGACTCAAAAGCACATGCCATGAGATGCAGAATTTACCCAGAGACGCTTTTGAGTCGACTCAAAAGCACATGCCATGAGATGCAGAATTTACCCAGAGACGCTTTTGAGTCGACTCAAAAGCACATGCCATGAGATGCAGAATTTACCCAGAGACGCTTTTGAGTCGACTCAAAAGCACATGCCATGAGATGCAGAATTTACCCAGAGACGCTTTTGAGTCGACTCAAAAGCACATGCCATGAGATGCAGAATTTACCCAGAGACGCTTTTGAGTCGACTCAAAAGCACATGCCATGAGATGCAGAATTTACCCAGAGACGCTTTTGAGTCGACTCAAAAGCACATGCCATGAGATGCAGAATTTACCCAGAGACGCTTTTGAGTCGACTCAAAAGCACATGCCATGAGATGCAGAATTTACCCAGAGACGCTTTTGAGTCGACTCAAAAGCACATGCCATGAGATGCAGAATTTACCCAGAGACGAGCATGTGACGGATGCAGATGGAGGGTGCACGTGGTTGGTTGGCACTCACCATGTCGCCAGCTCGATGAGGCGTCTTGGCGAACACACCCCACCCGTGGATGGCTGACTTGCCTGCACCCATGCAGCCCCACACGCACACACAAGGGAAGAACCGCATTGCATTAGGGAGACCACAGCGGAAGCAGAGCTAGTGTTGGCACCACACACTCACACATCCAGGAGCACTACACTGCATCCCCATCCCTGCCATCGTCTCTGCCCACTCCCTCTCTGCCCACTCCCTCTCTGCCCCCACCACACACCAAGCGCCATTCCCTACCCCCCACAGGCACGCACCGAAGGCGAGGCGCTGCTGCTGGGTGGACTTCATGCGGCGGAAGCGGTCAGACATCGACCGCACCTCGCCCTCCCCACTGCCCGCCTGCCCCTCCTGCCCCTCCGCGCCGCCCACCAGCCCCGAGTGCAACAACCGCCGCAGCCTGCTCACATGCACGCCCCCCCCTGGGCCCACGTCCCTCACACCCTCCGCATCACGGCACACCTCCTGCTGCCCTCTTCTGCCGCGCCCTTCCCCCACCGCGCCCACGTGCCCGTCCTCTGCGCCGTGCTCCTGGGCGGGATGGGAGGCGGCGTGCTGCGTGTGTGCTCGCACCGCCTCCACCACGGATGGGCCGTGCACGCGGCGCTGCTCCTGGCGGCGGCCGCAGATGGCGAATGGCACGTTCTCCAGAAACGACCGCTTCGCCAAAAAGGCTGCAACTGCGTCCGGCTCCCTGCGGCCCCTCCTGATGCGCGCGTCAAAGGGCTCTGAAGGCATGGGAGAGAGAGGAGGGCATGGGAGAGCAAGAGGTGAGGCCAATGGGAGGGGTGTCGGGAAGAGCAGGAGAGCGGATGCAGGTACAGGAGAGAACGGGAAAACGAAGAACATGTGGTGTTGGTGATTGGGCCTCACCTGTTCGAGCGCACTGCACTCTCTCTCCACCCGCCCTGCCATCGAGCAGTACATCCCGCCTGCTGCTGTCCATCTCACACCCGCCCTCGCTGCTGCCCCCTCCGGTTCCACTGCTCTCACTCCACCCACTCTCGCTGGCACTCGCACTGCCACCCTCATTCCCCCCTCCCTTCCCCTCTCTCCCCGCCCTCGCACCTCCACCGCTCCCATTCTCTCTCGCACCCTCCCTGTCCCCACCTCCCTCTTCTCTATCGCCCTCGCTCCCTCCCATTCCCTCTCTCCCCTCAGCCTGCCCGCTGCCCAGAGCAGCAGGGGCGGTGGAGGGGGAAGGGAGGGGGGAGGGAGAGGGGTGGCAGAGCAGCTGAGCCATGGGGAGCACTTTGGGGGGTGGGTCGGAGGGAGCGGGAGAGGCAGCAGCAGCAGCAGAGGTGGCTGGGTCAGACGCGGGGAAGGGCGGGCCAGGGGGAGCAGCAGCAGCGGCGGTGGGTTCAGGGGAGGGGGAGGGCGCGGAGGGGTGGGGGGGGAGGGAGGGCGTGGCGTGGAGGGGTTTGGCGCGGGCGCGGTGGCGCGGGCAGAAGCAGATCATGGCCACCGACCCCACCACCGTGCCGTGCAGGCGACTGCGCTCCATGCTCTCCTCACTCATGTCCAACGTCTGCCCACCAACACGCGCAGGGGAGGCGGGAAAAGAGGAAGGGGAGGGGTGAGATGTGGGACAACTCAAGTTGCTTGCGCTCCATGCTCTCCTCACTCATGTCCAACGTCTGCCCACCAACACGCGCAGGGGAGGCGGGAAAAGAGGAAGGGGAGGGGTGAGATGTGGGACAACTCAAGTTGCTTGCGCTCCATGCTCTCCTCACTCATGTCCAACGTCTGTGAAACGAGGGGCGGAGGGGGGGGGAGAAGGGAGGGGATGGGTGAGTTGTGAGGCGACTCAGTGGGCTTGCTGCGTTCCATGCTGGCCTCCCTCTCTCGAGTGCATCGTGTGGGGGGAAGGGGTTAGGAGAGAGCAATTTATGGGTTGCTGTGCGAATGATGTGGTAGGGGTGCGGTCACCAGCATGAGGTAACCTTGCCCCCCCCTCTCACCAGCATGAGGTAACCTTGCCCCCCCCTCTCACCAGCATGAGGTAACCTTCCCCCCCCTCTCACCAGCATGGGGTAGCCCTTGAGGCGAGCGCAGAGCGGGTGGAAGGCGGTGTAGCACTGCCCTGCCGCACACTGTATGCACGCCCCATGGGGGATGCGGCACACACAACACCGCAGCTGCCACCGCGCCTGGAAGCGCGGGGAGAGAGAGGGGTGGAGGGGCGGAACGATGTTCGGAATATGTACGGAGAGGAGAGGAATATGTACGGAGAGGAGACTGTAGGGACGACTTGCAAGGGAGTGCGATGAAAATAAAGAGGTGCAGTGAGAGGGGCAGGGGGGTGAATGGTGAATGGTGGATAGTGGATGGTGAATGGTGGATAGTGGATGGTGAATGGTGGATAGTGGATGGTGCACGGTGCATGGTGAAAGGTAAGGCGCACCTTGGGGATGTCATCGAAGCCAGTGATGGGCTCCATGCGCTTGATGTTCACAAACGACGTCTCTGCACCGCCACGGGCGGAGGGGGGTCAGGGTGGGCAGACAGCAAAGCAAGGTTGGGGGGACAGCAGCGACTACATGAAGCAAGCATGGGGGGCGAAGAAACGGAGAGGGAAAGTGCCTCATGCGTGGTGCACACACTCTTGTAGCACAATCTCCTAGTGCCCCCTGCCCATTGCCTAGAGACCCTTTTCCCACCAGCCATGGCCATGTGGTGCAGGAGGCAGCAGGGCACGCACCTGGGATCCAGAGCGAGCACGCCAGGTGCGCCCACAGCCCATGCACCGTCCGCTTCATGGCTCCCCCTGCTCATGTGCATGGCCATGGGCATGGGCATGGGCATGGGCATGGGCATGGGCATGGGCATGGGCATGGGCATGGGCATGGGCATGGGCAGGGCATGGGCATGGGCATGGGCATGGGCATGGGCATGGGGATGGAGGGGCATGGGCATGGGCATGGGCATGGGCATGGGCATGGGGATGGAGGGGCATGGGCATGGGCATGGGCATGGGGATGGAGGGGCATGGGCATGGGCATGGGCATGGGCATGGGCATGGGCATGGGGATGGAGGGGCATGGGCATGGGCATGGGCATGGGCATGGGCATGGGCATGGGCATGGGGATGGAGGGGCATGGGCATGGGCATGGGCATGGGCATGGGCATCGGGATGGAGGGGCATGGGCATGGGCATGGGCATGGGCATGGGCATGGGCATGGGCATGGGCATGGGGATGGGGATGGAGGGGCACAGGGGTGGGCATAAGGATGGGCATGGAGGGACATGGGGATGGGCATGGGGGTGGCATTAACTATCCAGCACGGTTGGCACAGAGCGGAGGTCACAGAAAGGAGGTACAAACGGGGTGGAGAAGATGGGAGGGTGGGGACAAGGAGTGGGCGCTGACCTTGCACGGGGCAGAGGCAGCAGAGCGGCTTGGCGTCGCGCTTGCCCTGGCGCTCGTACTTGCTGCACACGTCGCACAGCCACAGCCCGCCATCTGGCGGCTCTCTGACGCCGTAGCACGCCATGTGGACCATGATGCGACAGCTGTCGCACTGCAGCAGCTGATCGTCCTCGTACTCCTGCATGCACTCATGTGCACGCACAGGGGGTGGTATGAACATGAGCATGGGCATGAGCATGAGCATCAGCATGAGCATGAGCATGAGCATGAGCATGAGCATGAGCATGGGCATGAGCATGAGCATGAACATGAGCATGGGCATGAGCATGAGCATCAGCATGAGCATGAGCATGAGCATGAGCATGAGCATGAGCATGGGCATGGGCATGTGCATGTGCATGTGCATGAGCATGAGCATGGGCATGGGCATGTGCATGTGCATGTGCATGTGCATGTGCATGAGCATGTGCATGTGCATGCAGACGTGCATGTGCATGCAGACGTGCATGTGCATGCAGACGTGCATGTGCATGCAGACGTGCATGTGCATGCAGACGTGCATGTGCATGCAGACGTGCATGTGCATGCAGACGTGCATGAGCATGCAGACGTGCATGAGCATGCAGACGTGCATGTGCATGCAGACGTGCATGTGCATGCAGACGTGCATGTGCATGCAGACGTGCATGTGCATGCAGATGTGCATGTGCATGCAGACGTGCATGTGCATGCAGACGTGCATGAGCATGCAGACGTGCATGAGCATGCAGACGTGCATGAGCATGCAGACGTGCATGAGCATGCAGACGTGCATGTGCATGCAGACGTGCATGAGCATGCAGACGTGCATGTGCATGCAGACGTGCATGAGCATGCAGACGTGCATGTGCATATGCCCACACGCATGCACGGGGGAGTGATGCCGTCTCCCATCATCCCACCACGGAGAAGCAATCCCCCTCCACCCACGGACCTCGGAGAGGCAGCACACATCGCAGCGGTCGAGGGACGCCTGCCGGTACTCCACCGCTTTGAACCCCGCTGGCAACCGCGACTCCTTCACCACCGCGCCCCCCCCACGCGCCCCCTGCGCCGCCTCCCCCTGCTGCTGCTTTGCCGGCGCACTGGCCTGCCGCGCCCTCTCGCCCCTGTTGGCGTCCGCAGCGTGGGAAGCAGGCGCGGGGCGAGGGGCATTGACCCACGCGGTGAACTGCTGGCAGCGGGTGGCGTTGGGCAGACTCTGAATGAGCTGAGCCACGCGTGGGTGGGTGAGGCCGAACATCTGTGCCCCTGACCGCACGTGGTGCGACGGCAGCCACGCCCCACACCGCCCGCTGCCCCTGCTGCCCCCGCTGCCACAGCTGCCACCACTGCCGCCCCACCCCCCACTCACCCCACCACACTCGGCCCCACACCGTGGGCTGCCACTGCCATGCGCTGCCCCACCCCCCGTGCCTTGTGCTGGCAGCACCTGCCATGGCGGCCGCAGGGGTGAGGGGGTGAGCGGGGGTGCAGATGAGGGGGAGGTGGCGAGGGGGCGCGCTGCAGAGGCGGGGGGGAAGGCCCATCTGAGAGGGTCCGCTGCAGGCAACCCCCCCTGGGCCGAGCCCCCTTGGACGCCTGCTGCTGCGTCCCCCCTCTCGTCCCCTCCGCCCCCATCCACCTCCATTGCTTCCGCCTCTGCCCCTCCCTGCCCCACAGCGTCTTCTCTTCCCCCGCCCCCACCATCCCTCTCTGCGCCCTGAGTGCCTTCCATCTGTGCCTGCCCATCATCCGCCCCATTGGCACCGCTCGTTAGGGCTCCTATTCTCTCTTGCTCCTCCGCCTCTGCACCTGCTCTGCCCCCATCACCCCTCGCAGCCTCTGCTTCCGCCCCTGCCGTGCTACCATCACCCCCCTCTGCCTCCGCGCCTGCTCTGCCACCACTGGCCCCCTCTGCCGCAGCACGTAGCACTGCACCACCGCTGCCCTCCCCTCGCTGCAGAAGCACCGACAGCGGCACCATCATCGGCCCGCCCCTCTGCGCCCTCCCTTCCCCTCCCCCCGTGCCTCCACTCCCTGCCCCCGCCCCCGTAACTGCCCCTGCCCCTCCGCCTGCCCCTCCCCCTGCGCCTGTGCTGGGCGGGTGCAGGTGCTGCAGCAGCAGGCGCTTGGCCTCCGCCACGCGCCTCTGGATGATTCGCCAGCACTCTCCGGGTGATGGGCCCTCCACCTGCCCGGAGATGAGGGGGGTTAATGGTGGCAAAGGGATGGGAGGGCACAGGCACACCAGACAGCGGCTTAAGGGGGCAGGATGGAGGGCTTGAGGGGAGGGGCGGGGGAGGCAAGGTAGAGAAGACAAAGAGGGGGAGGTGTAAGCAGAGGCACATACCGGATCAGAGCCTTCTGGGGTGACTCGGAAGATTGGACCACCAGGCACCGGTGTGTTTCCAGCAGCACCCCCAGAGGCGCCAGGCTGCTGCTTCTTCTGCTGTGGCTTCTTGCCCCCCTTAGGCTGCTGCTGCTGCTGCATGCGCTGTGGCGTCTGCCTCAGCTGCGGGCGCCGCCATGCCCCTTCCCCCAAGGGCACAAATGGCGCTGCTGCTGGCGCAGGTGCAGCAGCAGTGGGGGGCGGAGGAGGAGGGGGAGGAGGAGGCGGAGGGGGCGCCTGCTGAAGGATTTCCATGACGTGATTCACCACCACACGCGGGTCTGCAGGGAATTCAGGGGTTGGAAAAGGGAAAAGGCGTGGGGAAAGAGCAGAGGTTTGAGAGTGTGGAAGAGAGAGGAAGGGAAGGAGGAGAGGAAGAATGGCATGATGCCGATAAAAAGTCGGGCAGCGGGGGCGGAAGGGGCGGAACGTACCTTGGGCGGAGGGGAAGGGGCGGAACGTACCTTGGGCGGAGGGGAAGGGGCGGAACGTACCTTGGGCGGAGGGGAAGTGGGCGGAACGTACCTTGGGCGGAGGGGAAGGGGCGGAACGTACCTTGGGCGGAGGGGAAGGGGCGGAACGTACCTTGGGCGGAAGGGAAGGGGCGGAACGTACCTTGGGCGGAGGGGAAGGGGCGGAACGTACCTTGGGCGGAGGGGAAGGGGCGGAACGTACCTTGGGCGGAGGGGAAGGGGCGGAACGTACCTTGGGCGGAGGGGAAGGGGCGGAACGTACCTTGGGCGGAGGGGAAGGGGCGGAACGTACCTTGGGCGGAGGGGAAGGGGCGGAACGTACCTTGGGCGGAGGGGAAGGGGCGGAACGTACCTTGGGCGGAGGGGAAGGGGCGGAACGTACCTTGGGCGGAGGGGAAGGGGCGGAACGTACCTTGGGCGGAGGGGAAGGGGCGGACAGCCTTGTAGCCGACAGGGTAGATGTGCTGCGCCGTGTGGAATCCAGGCTCGCCCGGCAGCACTCGCCCTGCACGCATTGAGGGAGGGGGAGGGGGTTGGGAAGAGGGGATTGGGTGGGGGTGGTTATGGTGGTTGCTGGACGGGGCTGCGTGAGGACAGCAAAGACCGTGGATGGACAAGGGCATAGGTGGATGGGTCTATGGCAGGCAGGATGGGGGCAGCAATGGCAGGCAGGATGGGGGCAGCAATGGCAGGCAGGATGGGGGCAGCAATGGCAGGCACGGACTGCAAAAAATGGCTTGGGTTGGATGGGGTTGGGGTGGGGCACATGCATGGGAGGAGAGGGGTGAAGGTGCTTGCTGGGAGGAAGCAAAGGAGCAGGGTGGGGAGAAGAGGGGCTCACCGAGGGAGAGCAGGGTGAGGGAGCCGATGTGCAGGGGCAGGGAGGGCGGGGACGTGGCCGTGGTGCCCGAGTCACCCCCCATCACCGCATCCGACCCCGCTGCCTGTACTCCGCTCCTCCTCGCCTCCCCTACCTTTCCCTCCCCGTCCGCCTCTGCCTCTCCTCCCCGCTCTGAGCTCGCCCCTGCCTGCCCCACGCCACGCCCATCCATCACCTTGCCTCCCACCACCGCCGCCCGCCCCCCCACCTCCGCCCCACCCCTGCCCCCACTGCCTGCCGCCTTCACCCCCTTGTGCCCACGCCCCTCCCCATCCTCCGCCTCTGCTGCCCCCCTCCCCTCCTCCCCACTGCTCTGGCCACCCTCCCCGCTGCCACTCTGCCGCTCACTGCCCTCCTCACTCGCCCCCTCGCTGCCCTCCGCACTGCTCCCATCACTGCCCGACTCCTCACTGCCCTCCTCGCTGCCCTCCTCTGATCCCGACCCATGCAGGAACGCCATTTTCGCCGGCAGCTCCTCCACCAGCAGGAACCTGCCGGGAAGGGGGAGCGGCGGGGAGCGGGGTGCAAGAGAAGAGAGGGCCCTGGTATGAGAGTGGGGTCGCCTGAGCAACTGCAACGTGCTGGCACCAGCCGTTGGGAGCGGAAAATGTTCAGGTTGATGGACTATGTTGGGAGGCGAGCGAGGGACGAGGGGGGGGGGGGAACAGGGGGGGAGGGGTGAGGGGAGAGGGGCGAGAGGCGAGGGGCGGGGCAGGGACCTTTCGACTTCGTGAAGAGCGGTTTTGAAGCAGGCGGCCTTGCTCTTGTTGTGCAGCCCCTTGGCAAGTCCGAGCAGGAAGGGGCAGACGGCAGAGGCAGCAACGATGCTGCACTCGTAGGAGCCGAAGAAGTGCACCAGCACCTCCCCCGCCCCGCCCTCCCTCACTGCCCGCAGCCCCACTCGCTCCGCCACTGCCGGGTCCAACACCATGGCCGGCCATGCGGGGTGCCCTGCAAGCATGGGGATGGGACAGCAACAGCAGCAGCAGCAGCAGGAGCAGAAGAGCACGAGACATGAGTCAGCGCAATTACGCCCCCCTCTTTCCCTTTGCACGATTTTTTTTCCTTTTCATCCCTTTCTACCCGCTACAGTCGTATTCAACCACGAAAGTTGCATTCCAGCCCTGATATCCATCAGGCACACACTAACCCACCTACCCGTAACAGTCACAATCTATCCTCCCTATCCTCTACAGTCACAATCTAACATCCTTACTCTACTCTCTCCAGTCACACATTAACCCTACTCCCCATTCACGCCCCACCCCTGCTCACCCTTGACACGAGCCCACACGAGCTCCTTAGCGCCAAACCGCCCCAGCTTCAGTTCCTCCAGCGGCCCCCCTGCGCCCTCCCACCCAACAGCCCCCGCCACCGCACCGGCCGCCGCCCCCGCCCCCGCCCCCTCCGCCTTGCCCTTGAGCGCACCCCCCTGGTCCGCGCCTTTGTGGTCTCTGGGAGTAGTGCGGGTGGAGGCGGAGAGCATGGCAGCAGCGGCCAGCACAGCAGCGCGGGCAGGGTCCATGTCGCGCGCCATGCTCGCTGCCAGCTCCGCCAGCTCGCGCCCGCCCTGCCCCCGCCCATGCCATCCCCGCCTGCCCCTCCACCCCCTCCCCTTGCCGCCCTTTGCCACCTTCCCTCCCTCCCCCACCACCTCCACCTCCTCTTCCTCATCCTCCTCCCCCTCGTCCCCGCTTCGTTCGTCCTCCCCTTCCTCCTCCCTCCCCTGCTCCTCTTCTCTCTCACACACGTCCCTGCTGCACTCTTCCTTCCCACAATCCTCCACCAGGGGGGCCGTGGCACACGTAGCAGCCACAACAGCAGGGCAACCAGCAGCAGCAGCAGGGGGAGGGGGAGGGGGGGTGGGGCAGAGAGCGAGGAGGGGGTCGTGGCGGGGGAGGTGCAGCTTGATGCGTTCAGCGGGCATGCGCAGCCACTCACTCTCAGTCTCGTCGTACCGCACCTGGTGCTTGCCCGTGCGCGCATCATACGCATACACCAGCCCCGCGTACCACCTCTCGTCCAGCGGCCAGTACACCTGCCATTCACGCACACATGCATGCAGGGGCGACAACAGGCAGGGCAGCATCGTGTGGCGTGGCAATACACAGGTGACTGCTAGTAGCCGTGCAGGGGCGGGGGAGACGATGCAACGGGCAGGTAGGAGAGCATCCAACGGTCATACCTTGCACAGACGGCCAATGAGAGCCCTAGGATCCACTCCAGCCAATGGCAGCCTGCAGCAGGGGTGCAGAGTGAGCAGAAGCAGGCAGACGGGAATCATTAAAGTCAAGTCAAAGTCAAGTCAGGTAGATCCAAGCCAAGTCCACTTGAGTCAAATCAAGTCAAGCCAATTCACGTCAAGTCAAGTCAGCAAGCTCTTAGCTGAAAAGAAAGAGCTTGAAACACCGGAGGACAAGGAGGTGCAGAGTGGTGAGAGGCGGTGGGCATTACTCCATCCACTGAGGGCGCTGCAGGTCGGCCATGAGGCGGTCCACGTAGCTCTCTATCAGCCGCCGCCGCTTTGGCGTCAGCCGACTCTTCTCTCCCTGCCCTGCTCCTGCTGCTGCTGCTACCACCCCTCCTCCCGCCTCCTCCCGCACCTGCTGCCCCCCCTTCTTGTCCAGCTGTGCATGGGCAGCAGCCTTGGCAGCGGCAGGTGCAGAGGCATGAGTCACAACCACACGTTTCACAGGCACGTCCTCGCTCTCACTAACCTCGCACTTCACCTGCACCCGCGCTGCTGCAACAGCGGGCACAGTGGGAGCAGGCGGAGGAGGAAGCGGAGGGCGGGGGGCAGCAGCAGGCGGAGCGGGCAGAGGGGGGCCATCGGGGAAGAGGCGGCGCTTGCTGAAGGCGAGGTCGTCCTCCTCGGGATCATCCACCAGCATGGCCGCCGCCCCTCCTCCCTCACTCCCACTCCCTCTCACTGCTCTGCCCTCCCCCTCTGCTAAACCACCACCCTCACTCCTTGATCGCTCCACCTTCACCGTCACCTCAACTTCCCTCTTCACACCACCGCTGCTGCCAACCTTCTTTCCTCTGCTGCCGACGCTCGCCTTGCCTGTATCCCCCCCAGCATCGCCGCTTCCTTCTTCCTTCACCACCGCAGCACCCCCTATCTCTACAAGCACTTTCATGTCAACCTCGCCCGAGCCCAAGTCTTTCAGACCGCTTTCCCTCACTCCGCCCTTGTTCTCGTCCGCTGTGATGTCTCCTCCTCGGGGCCCAACGTCTCCTGTCCCCCCACCCATCTGCTCGCGCGTATCCATCACCTCCCCACAAACTGCCTCAGCCTTCTCAGCCACCATCCTGTCACTCGCCTGCACCCCTCCCACGCCGCACTCCAACCCGCCCTTCTCGCCCCCTTCCGCCTTGCCCTCGCTTCTCTGCTGCCCGCCCGCCCCCGGTATTTCCCAAGGGCTGCCCGCTTCGCACGGGCTGCCCGCCTCGCCCGCGGGTTTGGGTGCGCCTGAACCGGTATGGGCAATGGGGGACAAGGCGGGCAGGGCAGTGGACGCTTGAGCACAAGATCCTGGCCCCCCAGATATGATCCCGTTCGGCCCTGGCATGGTAACTGCGACCTTCGCACCCCCGTCCTTTCCACTGCCGTCCGTGCCACCGCTCTCCTTGCCCCCACTATCAGCGTCCCTCCCCTTGTCCTCACTCTCCTTGTCTCCACCCACTTTCCCCCCAGCGCGTGTGTCAGCAGCGCCGTCTTCACAGCTCTGCACCACCGCCGCTGCCTCCCCTTCCCCTGACGCGCGGAAGCAGATGGCGCAGTCGGAGCCGCATCCCAGCGAGTCCCCGTCCGCGTGCTCGTGGCGCGAGTCGTGCGGGCTGCCTGTCTGCCCCGCCACGGGGCTCGCCGCAAGCACCGCCACGGCCGCTACCTCCGCGGCCCCTCCCGCTTCCACCACACACACAGCAGGGCGCAGGGCGGTTGGCTCTTCAGAGCTCTCAAAGGCCACCGGCGGGTGCAGAAGCCGCGCGGGTGGCGGCGCGCGCGGGGGCACGCGGTGCAGCGCCACCGCCACCTCGCCCGCCACCTCGACCTCCAGCACTGCGGGACCAGCGGGATCAACGGTCTCCATCCACTCCCCGATTGCCTGTCGCCCATCGCACGGCTGCGCGCACGCCTGTGGATCCGCCTGTCCCTGCGCGAGCGCCTGCGCCTGAGGTTCTTGCGCGCACAAGCCAGCAGCAGCAGGCGCGTCCCTACTGCCGGCTTCCCTTTCTCCGCTGCTCCACTCCGCCTTTGCATCCGCGCCAGCCGTGCTCACCGTGCTTCCCGCGCTCTGCTCCCCGCCGGGCGGAGCAGCGGAGCTAACCCTAACGGCATTGGTGGGCAGCGACGCGAGCGGGTGCGTGACGGGCGGCAAGGAACTCATGCGGCGGCGCTTGTACACGCTCAACCCTTCCTCACCGGACTGCCGCCGCTTGTCGCACGGCGAGGCGCCATGCGGCTGCTCGACGTCCGAGGCGGCACTCTGAGTGACAGCTGTCACGGGGAACATAGCGGTTACGGGCGGCTCGTTGCCGGCCAAGAGACGGCCGCCCAAAAGACCACTGCTTTCGCTACTTCCAGACGTGCGCACGCGCCGGCTGCGCAGCGTGATGTGATTCTTGTCGCTCGACGACGCCTTGCGACTGTCGCCCGAAATCCCGTCCTCCATGTTGTCCCGGCCTGTCCGTCCCGTCGGCTGCTTCGTCTTCGCCGCCGCTGCCGACCCGTTGGCCCGTTGTTCTTCCCGCTTCGCCAGCATCCCCTTGATGTTGCACTGCACGTACCGCCATTTCGGCGCCGCGACAACGGTGCAGTCAGTATCTGCTGCCCTCTGCGGGTCCGCCTTCTTCCGCATCCTCGCGAATAGGATCACGCACCACTGTACGAAGGAGTTTAAATATTGAAGAAAGATAAGGACTCAGCCTGGAAAGATGCGCAGGCGGTCCAGAGAGCCATGGAGCCCAGTGGTGAGTGAAGTCGAGAATGAGGGTTGGGTGGCGAAAGAGAAGAGGATGTTCGATAGAGGGGTGGGTGAATTGATGGGGTGTGGACTGAGGTGGGATGGAAGAACGAGGCGAGGGGAGTTCCGTGGCCGAACCCCGTTTGAATTTTGATTCGAGGGTTCAAACTGACAGAATTCGGTAAGAGCAGATGAAAACCAAGGGCCCAACATTGAACAACATCACACTCTTAGTGTGACAACATATGAATGTTGCACCATTTGTATGAGCTTGGAATAAAGCTTATGCAATTGTATATCTCGTACTTCTTGTACTCCGTTTATACGTGAAAAAATCCTTATTATACGTCATCTGAGGCTTCCATAAGTACTGAAATGCACCACATTGTTTTTGGGAATGGATTCTGCATGCTCCTTGTATTATACATGCATACGGGGATTTTCTCATATGTTCTCCAAGGTTGCCATTTCAACATTGAATCTGATAAGAGAGCAGCTCGTAAATGACGACTCCGAAGTTGTCATTTTCACACACCAATTCCCAACCGCTCTGCAGCCCGCGAACCGCTAGTTTCAATGTCCGCGTACCTGTCAGCTGACGTAGGACCGTCACATGCGCACCTCAATTTCTCCGCGCCACGCGACCCAGCGCTCCCTCGATGACCTCCCCGTTCATCTGCCTTGACGCCCCGCGCGAGCGGCTGAAACGAGTCGAATGGTGGACTCAGCAGGAAGGCAGGGTGGCCCGCCCTAGCGCAGCCACCCAGCAGTTCCGCGAAGCGACGCGCTGGAAAGGAGCGTGTTTCCGACCCGAGCGTTGCGTGTCGGCGTGGACTTAAGAAGAGAGCCAGATTCGACCCCATCATACTCATCGGATTCGACCCTGTCCAGTAGTTTTAAGGCTGTATCGCCTTCTCCGTTTTCCAGGACAGGAGGTTACTTGTCGGCCCCTGCTGTTCGCCTGGAACTTTTCTTCGAAACGCTTTTTTTCGTTCCGAGTTCACTTCCAGCGATGGGCCGTTCCAAGTCGTTAGCGATGCTCTCGGTGCTGCTGGCGTTCGTCGCCCTCTCCATGTCACCCGTGCGCGCTCAGCCGCGCGCGCCCCCTGCGCCAACCCCAGCGGGCCCGTCGCCCACACCGGCGCCCAGCCCTTCCCCCGCGCCAGCGTCCGCGCCCACGCCAGCGCCCGCCCCCACGCCGGCATCAGCGCCGTCGCCGGCTCCCGTGCCCGCCCCCGGCCCCGCTCCCACTCCCGCCCCTGTCCCCGCGCCTGCGCCTGCACCCGTCCCCGCGTCACCACCGCCCCCTGTCGTTCCCCCGCCGCCGCCCAAGGCCGCGTCCACAGGTAATTGCGCAGAGTAGTGCGGGAGATCCCATGTGTCTTCTAGCGAAGCCTGAATCTCCTTCCACTGCTTGGATCCGTTCTGGTTTTTCGCTGCTGACGTGCGTCTTCATATCTCTGCTTCCGCTCTCTGTTTTGCCATTGCGTGTGGTTGCGCGATCCCTGTGTCATGTGCTGCAGGTGCCAAGATGCTCGCATCGCTGCTGCTCGTCGCACCTCTGGTTGCGCTCGCCGTGTAAACTGAACGAAGGTCAGCTGTGAGGCTGCTGGGTGGCAGGGCCGTGGGGTACTTCCCCACGGTGGGCCGTGGTGACTTCAAGGTTCTGAGGAGTGGGTAGCAGAAGCTGTGATGAATGCATGCATGTCTGGGAATTGCTTACCGTAGGAAGTCTTGTGCGTTGACCAGTTGGTGCGTAACGTAGGCTGTTAGGGGCATGCCCATTTGTTGAAATATCTTGAAACTCTTTCTAGCGTGCTGGGCACAATTAACAAATGGAATACCTAGAGAAACTCAATCTGCTACTTACCTCACTTCCATCTCCTAGCGTATTTCCTACCCTACACTACAAACACACCCATGGGATAGTGCTGCACACACTTAGCACACTGTGAACACAAATCCAGCAAGCACACAGTCCCACACAACAGCACAACACAACACACAACACGGAACCTGCACCACAACTCATGTGACTCGCCTTGCACCAGTTGAGCGGGTGCGTGCCTGTAGGGTGAGGTCAGCTCTTGAGGGAGGCGACGTAGTTGTGGAAGTTGGAGGACTGCTGTTTGGCGCTGTCCAGCGATCGGAAGCGCATCAGCCCCGTGCTGCGCCGCCTGCTGCTGCCCCGCGTGCTGCTGCCCTCCTCCCCAAACTTGCGGAACAGTAGTTGCCCCTCCGGCCACTGCCCAGGCAAATCCGGCTGCTGCATCTGCTGCTGCTGCAGCTGGTGATGATATTGCTGGTACTGCTGGTACGGCTGCTGCTGACCAGGAAAGCCTTCCAAGGGACTGCTACCCAGCTCAACCCCTCCCCGCTGCCGTCTGTTCTCCCACACCTCTGCCACTTCACCAATCCCACCTCCCAACCTGCCTGCTCCGCCTCCATCCCTGTTGGGACCCTGGGATGCACTGCTCGTGGTGGGCCTGAATTGAGGGGGTGTTCCTATGGGCGACAAGAACCCAGAGGTGGGTGGTGATTTAGGCACTGATGGTCGTGGGATTGGCACTGATGCTGCTGATGCTGCTGCTGCTGCTGCTGCTGCCGCTGCTGATGCTACTGGTGGTGCTGCTGGTGGTGCTGCTGGTGGTGCTGCTGGTGGTGCTGCTGGTGGTGCTGCTGGTGGTGCTGCTGGTGGTGCTGCTGGTGGTGCTGCTGGTGGTGCTGCTGGTGGTGCTGCTGGTGGTGCTGCTGGTGGTGCTGCTGGTGGTGCTGGTGACACTGCTGATGCTGCTGCTGCTGGCGGAGGTGAAGCTGGTAGTGCTGCTACTCTTGCTGCTGATGCTGATGCTGATGCTGATGCAGATGCTGATGCTGATGCTGATGCTGATGCTGATGCTGATGCTGATGATGGCACTAACGATCGCCCAAACGTTGGTGCGACGAGTGGTGCCGACGATGGCGATAGTGGTGGTGGAAACGACAGCCCTGATGACGCTGCTGCTGCTGCTGACGATGCTGCTACCGTTGGTGCTGCCAGTGCTGTTGGCGAGAGCAGCGGCGGGGTGGTAGAGGAGGAGTGCAGGGGCGGCAGGGATTGGAACATTGATCCGGACGGCAGTGACGACTGGCTTCTTAGTGACCCTCGGCTGGGCGGAGGCAGGTCCCACGAAGGTGTGGTGCGGGCCTCGGCCTGTTCCCGAACCACAATCACAAACTCCTGCTGCTGCTGCTGCTGCTGCTGTTGATCCGACTGGCCTGAGTGTGCTAGTGGCTGCTGCTGTTGTTGTTGCTGCTGCTGCTGGTGAGACTGCACGGAGACTGAGAGCCGGAGCTTCACTCGGGACCCGTCGGACCTGATGCCCGTGGCGCGGCGCATGTGGCCCACAAACGACTCCAGCCCTGCCCACAGCGCCACCACCACCATGCATTAGCCCAGGAAGAGACTTGAGAGGGAGAGAGCGAGAGGACATGCCAAGACGAGAACTGACAGCGCATGGCATGCAGCATGTGAGAAGTGAGAACGAGGTGCGGGGAGCGCAGGGAGAGCACAACAAGGGAGGCGCACCGAGGGAGAGGTAGTGGGGCGAGCCCTCAATGGAATGGATGAAGGCCTTGACGTGCAGCGCGCCCGTCCCCATGGCGTCCGCCTGGCCGTGCTGCTCCTCCATCCCAAACAGCCCACACGCCGCCCCGTTCATCCACGTCACCCGCCCGTCCCCCCCCACCGTCATCAGCCCATCCCGTGCCACCTGGTGCGTGCGGCAGGAGGGGGGGACGGGTGTTAAGGATGGGAGAGGATGGGATTTGGGAAGCGGAAGGGTTGGGGGGGTTATGAGCAGGTGGAAGGTAGTAGATGAGGAGGGGAAGGAAGGGAACGGGTGTGGCGTGAAGACGAGAATGCGGGGAGAAAGAATAATGCATGAGGGAAGATGGCACGGCATGTTACAGGGAAGGAAGAGAGAGAACGCCATGAGCACACGGAAGAGACGAGAATGAGCGGGAAGAGGGGGAGAGGAGAGGAGTGAGAGGGGTGACCTGGAGGACGGAGAGAAGGCGCAGCTCGGCGTCGCGCTTGCGCTTCCTCTCGTGCACCGCCTGCAGCATGACGGCCGCACTGGCTGTGAGCGGCTCCAGCTCGTGCAGCATGGCCGTGCTGTACCCCCCCGCCCTGTTCGCCAGCGCGTACATGCCTATCATCTCCGAGCCTGGGGGGCGTGGTGCGTGCACGGGAGTGGGGCATCAATGGGATGGATAAGTAAGCGGCAGCGGAATTGAGACATTGACCTGTGAAGTGTGATTCCTACTCATGGAAGTCAACAGCTGGCATCCGTCCATCGGAGTGTGGAGGCGAGGCAGGAGCACTGACCGACGGTGAGGAGCACTGACCGACGATGAGGGGCACGCCAAGGAAGGCCGAGAGCAGCGGGTGGCCCGGGGGCACGCCGCCAGAGCGCAGGTCGAGGGCGGGGCGGTTGGAGATGACAGGGGCGGCGGAGAGCAGCACAGCGCCCAGCAGGTTGGAGGTGTTGGTGAACACCAGCCCGCGGTGTGAGTTGTCGCGGTACCATGCCTGCAGATCCTCCGTCCATGCTATGTTGGATGCTGCGTGTGACTGCCATGCCATGCCGTGCCATGCCATGCCATGCCATGCTATGCCATGCCATGCCATGCCATGCCATGCCATCCCATGCCGTGCCATGCCACCAACCGACACATGGGTCCACATAAGCAGTGGGCAGGGTTGAATGCCATGTCAAGCCATAAATCATGCAACGAGATGTTATTGGCCATGCCATGACAAAGCCACACAGCACAAACCACACAGCACCACACAGCACCACACAGCACAGCACAGCACGCCACACCACACAGCACAAACCACACAGCACACAGCACACAGCACACAGCACAGCACACCACGTGATGGGGGGAGTTACTTTGATGCAAGGGGTAGCATTGCGTCAGCTTAAGGCAGGAAGGGAAATTGGGAAGAGAAGGGGCGAGCGTGGGGGGCCACCTTGAGGTAGGGCGAGTGTGGGGGGGCACCTTGAGGTAGGGCGCGCCGTTGGCCTGGAAGAGCACGGAGCCGATGAGCCCGAACTGCGACCCCGTCATGTCCAGCAGCGCGCCCAGCACGTGCTCAAACACCCTCCCCGCCCCCGCTGACTGCCTCCCCGTGCCACAGCCGCGTGGTTAAGGGGAGAGAGCAGGGGAGGGAAGGGGGGAGAGAGAGGAAAGGGATGATGAGAGTGGGAGGAGTAACGTGGAGGCACGGGAAGAGGGAGGCACGGGAAGAGGGAGGCACGGGAAGAGGGAGGCACGGGAAGAGGGAGGCACGGGAAGAGGGAGGCACGGGAAGAGGGAGGCACGGGAAGAGGGAGGCACGGGAAGAGGGAGGCACGGGAAGAGGGAGGCACGGGAAGAGGGAGGCACGGGAAGAGGGAGGCACGGAAAGAGGGAGGCACGGGAAGAGGGAGGCAGAAGCAGCAAGTTGAGGAGCAGACAGTGGGTGGTGGACACGAGGGGGTGTGTAGGATGGGGCATGGCATGGGCAGGGCGTCACCTGGTCGGATTGCAGCAGCATCTGTGCCGTCGTGATGGCGCTCAGCATCTTGCGATCCATTGAAACATCCCCCGTCCCCGCTTCCCCTCTCCCACCCTCCCCCCTCTCCGCTTCCCCCCTGCCCGCCTCCACCCCCCCACTCCCTCCACTGCTTCTCCCCGGACTCCCCTTATCTCCCTCCACCCGCTCGGCCCCCCCGCCCGACCAGGCGCCTCTGCCCGCCCGCCCACTGTCGCTCTCCACGTGCGCCACCGTCTCGTAGCTGAGCGACCGCGGCATGGGCCGCCGCCCGCTGCCGCCCTCCCGCGCTGCTGCTGCTGCTGCTGCTGCAGATGCTGCCGCCACGCCCATCCCCATGGGACAGCCTGAAATGCCCCCCACAACCGCCTGGCTTTGCTGGCTGCTGCAGCTGCTGTGCGCGCTCCGGCCCCCCTCGCCCCCATACTCGCCATTCCCCGCCCCGAACGGGCTCTGCTCCCCCGCGTGCACACTCACGCTCCGCCCCACCTGCCCCAAGCTCTTCTTCCGCCCTCGCCGTCTCCGCCCGCCCAGCCCGCTCCCCCCCTTGTCGCCCTCTGCGCCACCCTTTCCGCCTTCCGCGCCTTCCCCCTCTTCTGCCGTCGCCGCCAACAGCTCAATCTCCCCCAACCCCCCGACGGCTGCACCCCCATCCGCTCCCCCGTCCCTGTTCCCCCCGACGAGGTCCCCACTCGCTGCCATCATTTCCGCCAGCTGCGCCGCATCCGACCGCGCGCGCCTCAGGCCCCCGAGCCCGCCCAGCGCGCCCTTCAACCTGCCGGACAAACCCCTATGAAGGCTCGTGCCCCCAGCTGCTGACGTGGCTGACAGCGATGATGACGCGGGTAAGGGAGGAGGCGGGGTGGACGACGGAATGCCAGACGCGGGCGCGCGGGAGGCGGAGTGGGTGCGCGGGATGGAAAAGCCCAGCGCGAACCGCTGCGCGCCTGAGGGCGGGCGGACATCCCCCGCGTCGCCTGCCGAACTGGACAGCGCCGCCTTGAGCGGTCCCGAGGCGGGCTTGTCCGCGGAGCGAACGGGCGAGCGGGGAGGCGGGACAGCTCCTGCGCTCTCTGCTGACGTGGCAGAAGAGTCGTTACTGGGCGGACGCGTGCGCGCGACGGGGATGAGCGGAATGGATCCCGACGAGGAGGACTGCGCGGGGCGGAGGTCGTGCGCGGAGGACGCGAAGGCAGCGGCGGCGGCGGAGAGCAGGGAGGAGGTCATTGCGGCGGTGGCGGTGACAGTGCGCCGCAACGGCGGCGGGCGCATGCCTCCCCCGCCCGCCCCACCAGCGGCAGCAGAGCCGCCACCGCTCCCTCCGCTGGCGGCTGCAGCGGCGGAGAGGGAAGCGAGCGCGAGCGTGTCTGCGTTGCGGCCGCTGCCACCCTTGCGCCCCCACAGCTTGTACCCCGTCCGCGCCTCCGCTGCCTCCCCCGCTGCCATCCCCGTTCCCCCGCCCGCCCCTTCATCTGTACATTCCACCAGCCCGCCACCAGCTCCCCCCTGTTCTATAGCGCCTTGCGCGTCCTCGTCGCGCGCGCGAGAGAGTGCGGCCGCGGAGTGCGGGGTGAAGTGCGCCTTCCCGTGGGCCTCCGCGCTGCCGAACGAGCGCGGATGAGCGTCTAGGCTCGACCCGAACGTGGGGGACAGGGGCGGGAGGGCCGAGGCATTGGCGGGAGACAGGCGGTTACTGCCCACTGGCGGGCGCCGGGGGGGCACTGGCGGCGTCGCGGAGGGAGTGGGGGAAAGCAGAGGGCTGGGCGGAGCAGGCGCAACGGGAAACGACAAGGAGGAGGCAGGCTGGACTGTCGCGAGAGGCGCAGAGGACGGTTGGTGCATGCCCACTGCTTCGAAGATGGCTCTCAGGCGATGGCGCCTCGTCCAGTCCTCCCGCTCGTTGCCGCACTTGGCGCATCTGCAGTCCCACACGACGGAGAGCGAAGAGGAAGAATAATTAGCCAAGCAATATGAAAGATGAGGACGTGAGGCGGAAGACTGACACGGAATAGCGCGTCAGCGCCGCACCTTGCCATTTCCTGGCTCAAGGCTGACAAAGCCGACGCCTTTAACAGGACCAATGCGATTTTTAGCGGAATTACCGCCACGCGGAGGCCATCCAGTCGCTTACCGCCACGCGGAGGTCAGCCAGTCGCGGAACTCGAGCAGCTCCGCCTCCGACAGCTCTTCCACCGCCTCCAGCACCGACATTCCGCACATCTCTGCCATCCCGCGCCCGCTCTCCTCCCCCGCCGACCTCTCTCCCCCGATTAACCCGCCGCTTGCGGAAAAAGGATCCTCCGCTGCAACAGCTGCGGACGACCTGGGACTTTCACCCAACGCGTCTGGCTGGTCGTTGGCGGTCGCTGCGCCGTGCAGCACGTGCTGGCGCACCGCCTTGGACACATTGTTTCCTGATTCTGCCAACTGGCGCGATGTCAGTGGATGACGGCGGGATGCAGATTGCTGCTGACCCATAGCTGCTATTAGGGATAACAAAGTTGCCTACAATAGACGTTCTAGAAGAATGAAATCAAATGCTTGATACGCATGGATAACCAAATTCGTGTTTCGAAACAAGGTGGAAGGATTAAAACCTAACACCTCCTACGGATGTCAGATACGGTCGAGGAGATGCGCGCCCTATTCGAAACAGCATGAAAATCGACGGATGTTGGGGATCGACGCAACCTGAGCAAGAGGACGAAGATGAAGAGGTACTGTACCATGCAAGGCTCTGGTAATCCATTACGTCAAACCATCTGAATCATCGATACAGTACACAGCTCACTCACATCAGTACGGAAGATCAAGCCAGGTGGGTTTGGATGAAACGCACATCATGGGATTCGGCAGTGGGGAAATGCAGGAGGGGAGGGAGGAGGGGGAGAAGAAGGGGAAGAAGTGGAGCTGGGATGCGAGGACGGGAGCTGTTTGATTATGCCGCTAGCCAACCAAAGCGGGTGTTCGCAGGCGGAGGAGCAACAACAGCTCTCAACCCTTTTATAACGCAACGCGCCCTTTTGAAAAGGTTTATTGATTTGCAAATTACTGTATTGTCTTGTATAAATTCGTGAATGTGATTGGAAAGCATGCAGACCTATGAGAGATTCTTACATCTATGTGTGGTGCTGTATACTCGAAATAAAATAGCCGTGTTCCTGGAACGTGAACGTATAACTGTAACGCAATTTCCACATAGGAGAAGGTGTTTGGCTGCCACAAAATTTATTCCCGTAATTCCGCACGCAAATCTTAGCCTTCCGCGCCACGCTTGCAAGCCCACTTTTCCGCCACCGCGGCAGAAGGTGAGTGGCGCCGGTGGAAGTTGTGGCTGTCGCAGTGTCGGAATGCTTTCTCTCTGGCCGTTGGATCATGTCAGGCCATTCCAGGGGAAATCGCTTGAAGGCACCCACGAGGGTTTTCCGTTGGCAGTGTCTTTGGGTCAGCTTGAACCGAATCGAAGCCGAACCAATCACCTGCCCGTTCTAGGATTATGGGATGTGGGGAAGGAGAGAGAGGGGGGGGGGGGCACTTGATGATGACCGTGGTTTTGGGATGGCCCGTTCTTTTCCAGCCTGGAGTTCGCAGCTCATCCTATGTGCCCAGTGTCCAGTCCACCAAATGCTAGGGATGCACGGTACTGTACAACCCCTGTCCGAGGCCGTGGTACATCTGGCGCGGAAAGTGAGTTTCAGACTCGATCCTTGCGTAAATAAATAGGGTTACCCGAATTTACCATCCTGAATGCGGAGCTCAATTTTGCGAAATTGGAAATCAGTTTCCGCATTGAGCCCAGCATTCGAGCTCGATGCGCTTTGCGGAGCGCGAAAAATCGTGTCCAGTAACTCTGAAAGGGATTTGTCGATCGCCCAAACTGTGCGAACCGAATGAAAATACAGTTGCGAAACTAAGCATTTGCACAACCGCCTTCGCAGCATGCACGCTCTCTACCCACCAGCAGAGCAAGGCCCGATTGAGGCTCGAAGCAGGCTCAACTCAACCTCATTTGGCGAGGCTCAAATGTACCACGTCCGAAAGGTGTCTACGGACCAGCCCTATCCCTAATTCCAAGTTTTGGCTCAGAACCTAATAATCTTGTATGCTACGTATCTTGTACCCAGCACCTGCTACCCGTACGTGCCTACACAAGATTTATTAGCGCACGCAAGGATTGTGGAGAAGGGGTAGGTCATGGTGGGAGTAATAGGAGTTACAAATCATCAAAGAGAGTTTATGGCGTGGAAGAGCAGGGAGGCAGATTTCCATCAAAAACCGTTTTATGGGAAGACCCAGAAGCTCGCGGGTGGACCTAGATATCAGAAGAGGCACGACTACGAGCGAGTACCTGCAGCTCATAGCTCACACAATTTTGAGGCAGCCGTGACGTCGAATAGCATAGAACCAGCTAGAATAGCTAGCCAAAATCTGGGAAGTTTTATTTCTAATGTGACTCCGCGAGTAAAGCTTCAGCATATCAACAAGGTATGTTTACTACAGCCTGTTGGTATTTCTTTTTACGACGTTTTCATCTACATTCCTCCCTAATTGTATCGCTTTGTTTTCTAGGAATCGGAACGGTTTTCACACCCACCGAGGCACGAAACTTCAACTGGTTGCGCGTTTTACACTTTAGGAGATTTGTGGGATTCTTTGGAAGAGTGGAGTGTGTTTGGGGCTGGAGTTCCTATCCAACTTGCTAACGGCACACGTGCAACTCAATATTACGTGCCTTCCATTTCCGGTTTGCAACTATATGCTCGAAGCAGCTCCTGGCAGTTGCCTGAGTCAAGGTATGTACGTTTTACGAGTTTGATGGAATTCACTATCTTCTTGTTTTATTCATGCGACAGCTCATCCGCGCTTAATCTGTGTTTTACAGGAACAGTGGCCCCGAGAGTGACTGCAGTGATGTGAGCTTTCATGATTCCAGTAGTGACAGCAGCGAGAGCAGTGATAGGAACGACGGTCGGGCAGGTGATGGCACAGCAAAAACAGTCGATGGCTGTGTGATGGATTCTGCCGTCGACGGCGCATGGGTCTCGAAGATACATTTACCGCAGTCTCATGTGAGGGAAGGGCTTCCCTCAGGATTGGATGCTCAAAACTCTGGCGACGAGTGTGCCGCTGTGTCGTGGGATGCCTGTCAAGACTGTAATGGGGGTCGATTGTTGTTGGAGTTTTTCGAAAGGGCACCTCCTCATGTGCGGTTGCCACTTTTCTCAAAGGTAGGGTTTTTTACTCGCTATTTCTGGCTTGCCAGACTATGGTTGTGTGTTCCATGGTTTAAGCCTTCCACTGACATTGATTGCAGGTGGAAGAGCTGGAAGGGGAATTACCCTGTCTCAGGCACCTTCGCAGCATCGATTTACACCCAAGAAGCTGGATGGCTATTGCATGGTAAGGGTGATTGTTGATTAAGGATCTATCTTTGTCTACTGTTTGTTGGGAGGCATTTATGTTATTGTTTTGCATTTCACGAGTTCACTGCTGTGTTTAGGTATCCACTGTACAAGATTCCAGCGGGGCCCAGTGTTCGTGATCTTGGGGCATCCTTCTTGACATTTCACAGTCTCTCGTCACCAGGCCCATCAGGTGAGCCTTGTGTTGCAATTCCATCAGCCTGTCATGAAGGCGCATTAGCTGGCAGCTGTTAAATCTTGACTTTTGACTTGCCATGCAGGTTCTTGTGTTCGCTGCAATGATGATTATTGGATATCCCCCATGAAGCTTCCTCAGTCTTGCCTGTTTTCTCCTCCACCAATCTTGCCTGAGGAAGATCATGATGCTGTGCACTGGGGCGGTGATTCACTGTCGATAATTTCTACCACAGCTTTGGCCCCATTTGGTTTCACTGGGTACAAGGCCAGTGGGAGCCTGTGGTCAGATAGGTGGTGCATACAGGGCCTTGAGGCAGCAGCGGAGCAGTGGCTGCGGCATATCAATGTCAACTTACCAGACCATTCCTTCTTCACCATGCAGCAGTACACAGGGCGCTAAGCTTCTACTAAAAAAATTGTTTGTGCTTTCTAACATGGTAAGGGATCCTGTAGAGGTGTTGCAGCTTTATGTGATACATCTGGCTGTCAGGTTAGCTGGTGCCAGATCAATTTTGGTTCTATTGATAGCAGATAGCTCCATGGTGTAGTGCTGTCTGCTTACTGTATTGGATATACCATTGACGCATCAACTGATCTTAGTTTTGTTGATTATTGCATCACATGTTACTTGAGGTTAATAGTGCTTACAACACATGCCTAGTAGTGGTCCACCTGTGTTGATTAGTGTTTCCTGTAATAGGGCCCTTTTATCATAATACACGTACCGTAGTTTGCTCCTAAAATATGGGCGAGGCAATCTTCACCACGCCCCCAAACGAGTGTACGAACGTGCCAATTCCGAAGCAGCTACTAACAGCTGCGTTTCCAGCATCTTCCCAGCCGAATTCCCGTCGCGGCAGCCCATCCCCACACATCCACTGTCACTCAACTCCTTGAGTTGCCGACGAGCAAATCCACAATTTCATATTCAATGCTTTCATCGCGCGTATCACCAGCATTACTCTATCCTCTGACTAGTCATTCTGTTTAGAAGCTGCCGCCATGCCCTTGCCGTCGCATTTAGCGGTGTCGCTTCGCTGCTTGCACGCCGCTCCTTCCGCTCCCCGCCTCCCTCCCCTCCCCTCTCTTGCGTCCTCCGCATTCCACGGCACCGCATTCCCAGGTCACTCAGTCCTTCCTTCAGTACATCCCCGCAATGCACGCCGCAACCCACGCTTCTCGTCTAGCCGCCGATCCGCGCGGGCCGTGCGCGCGAGGGCGAGCGGGGCGCTTCCAGGCGACGTGGATGCGATAATAGCGAGGGGACGGGAGGCGGGCGCGTTTGTGGAACACAGCGCGTGCGTGGTGCCGAGCGCGACTGACGGGCCGTTGCGCGGGCTGACGTTCGCCGTCAAGGACATGTACGACGTGCGTGGGGGGCGAGGAGAAGGTGGGTGGGCGGCATGGGGATGGTAGCGCGTGTCTAGGCATGCAATGCTGCGGTGACGCGACTTGAGAGAATGAGTTGCCGTGCTTGTGTCCCGCTTCTCGCAACGCTCATCACTCCCCCTCTACCCATTCTCTGCGCTCTGCTGTGGGTGCGTGCGCGCGTGCGTGCAGGTGGCGGGCGTACCAACGGGCTTCGGCAACCCCACGTGGCTCGCCACGCATGACGTCCCGCAGACCACCGCCCCCGTTGTGCATGTGCATGTGCATGTGCATGTGCATGTGCAGGTCTTGTGCATGTGCATTTCCATGCCTCATTCCTTCCTTTCCTGCATGCATCCACCCCTCATCTCACCTCCTCTCAAACCCATCCCCCTTCTACTGCACATTACTCCCCATCCAATCCCTTGCACTGCTCTGCACCCCTCACAACCATTCCCCCACCACCCAGGCGCTACTAGAAGCAGGCGCTACCCTGGTGGGCAAGGCGGCAATGGACGAGCTGGCATTCTCGCTGGCGGGGGAGAACGCGCACTACGGCACGCCTCTCAACCCAAAGGCTCCTCTCCGCATCCCGGGCGGCTCCTCCTCTGGTTCCGCTGCTGCGGTGGGTGGCGATTCTTGTCCCAAGTACCTTTCCTCTGTTACCGCGCCTCTCTTCCTTCCATTGACTCTGCCAGTTTTTGCTTTATCATTTCGTCACGCTCTCTACCACGCTCCACCGCGCTGCACCCATGGACTGTGTGGAAGGGGCGCCCACCTAGCGACACCACTGTGAACCCTGTAATCTGCACTCCGCCACTCTCTCCCCCACAACCGCAGGTGGCAGCGGGACTGGTGGACTTCGCCCTGGGGAGCGACACAGCAGGGTCGGTGCGCATACCCGCCAACCACTGCGGCGTGTGGGGCATCCGCTCCTCCCATGCTCGCCTGCCACTCACCGGCGCTCAGCCGCTACAGCCCTCCATGGACACCGGTGAGCGGGACAGCAGTGTTGGATTGGATGTGGGTGGGAGGAGCAGCATGCATGGATGCGAGTGAGAGGAGCAGTTAGTCCAAGCGCCTTGCCCTGGTGTGTCTGTATATGACGATGTGTGAATGTGTGTGAACGCTAACTATGCACTCGCTCTTGCCCATCCTCCCGTCCTCGCCCTCCTTATCCCCACATTCCCTCTTCTCCCCCCTCCCCTTGTCTCTCCCCCCTCCCCTTGTCTCTCCCCCCTCCCCTTGTCTCTCCCCCCTCCCCTTGTCTCTCCCCCCTCCCCTTGTCTCTCCCCCCTCCCCTTGTCTCTCCCCCCTCCCCTTGTCTCTCCCCCCTCCCCTTGTCTCTCCCCCCTCCCCTTGTCTCTCCCCCCTCCCCTTGTCTCTCCCCCCTCCCCTTGTCTCTCCCCCCTCCCCTTGTCTCTCCCCCCTCCACCACACGGCAGTGGGTTGGTTTGCGCGCGATGCCTCTGTCCTGCAACAGGTTGGATCCACGCTCTTCCACTCCCCCTCCCTCGCCCCTTCCTCCTCCCCCACCTCCCCCTCCTCCACCCCCTCCTCCTCCTCCACCTCCTCCCCCTCCTCCCTCCGCCCGTTCACCGGCTGGCTGGTAGCGGAGGACGCGTTTGAGCTAGCAGACAAAGATGCCGCGTCTCCCATGCTCCGCGTCTCATCCCCTTGTTCTCCCCCAATCCCCCAGCTAATGGAGGCGTGGCAGTGTCACGGGCAGTGGATCACGGAGCACTGTCCTGCCTTTGGCCCCGGAGTGGCACAGCGCTTCCAGGCCGCTAGTGCCGTGGAACCGCAGGGGGAGCAGGTGGTGCAAGCACGGGAGAAGCGAGCCAGATTCACATCGCCCGTGGAGAGCCTCGTTGCGGGCGGCAAACTGCTCATGCTGCCGGCCGCCCCCAGCATAGCGCCGCTGAAGGCCGCCCCGCCTGCTGACGTGGACTCCTTCCGCGTGTGCACGCTGGCCCTCACCGTCATTGGCGGCGCTGCCGGCCTGCCTCAGGTGAAAACAACAGAGGGGCTCAGATGGGGAAAGCAGAGAATAAGAAGACGCATGCACGTGACAGTGAGGCTATGAGTGTGATAGCCCCCACCCACCTCCTCCTACTCTCACACCCATGTGCATCGCCCATCCCCCTTTCTCCTCACCCCTCACGCCCCACTCCCTCGCCCTCCCCTCCTCCCGTGTTTCTCCCTGCCGCTGTGCTGCCATCTGCCCCCTTCAGATTACGGTCCCACTCACAACGCTGCACGGGAGCCCCCTGGGGGTGGGGCTGGTGGCGCCCAGGGGGTGGGACGAGGAGCTGCTCGCCCTCGCCGTGCGCCTGCAGACCATACTGGGCCTTTCACTCTGATCCACCCCATCACGGCAGGCCGGCCTGCCCTCTCACATCGTGGACGATTTTTCTACTTGACTCTCAAGAATCGACATACCTACGTCTTGTGACATGCCTCAGAGCCTCTCAGGCGTGGGCTGCATGCGGCCTCTGACCTGCCCAACACAGGCGCTTGTGCGGGCAGCTGTTGTGGCGGAATCTTTATGCTGCTGTTGCGAGTGTGTGCCTGTGACTGTAGGGCTGCTGCTGGGGTGTGGTTGCGCCGGTGGTGTTGTTGCGGGTGCTGCGGCCCAGCAATGGTTAGGGCCCCAGGTCGGAGTCTGGTGTTACGGCACTTTCCCTCCTTACGGTTATGCATATGTATACATATTAGGTACACTACACTTGAGTACAAGACAATGCTTTTCTCTGTACAAAGTCAATTTAAGCTAGCTGGCAACAACAGGCTGCCAGGCTGCTGCTGTGCCAGCCAGTCCATTATACCGTACGGTAAGCACGATATGCAACGACTTGAAAAGCCACACCCCACACGATCACACCAACTGCACGGCCTCAGGCCGCCAGTCCCCATTCAGCACGCTCTCAGTGGGGCTGTACACTCTCAGCACCACTGAAAACGTTGCATTCGGTGTCGGCAGCCAGTTGCCGCCCACACTCGCATTGGCCGGCGCGGCCAGCTGGATGGGAACAGTGAGTGTGCCGTCCGGGTTGTACGCCAACCCCTTGGTGCGATCCCCGATGCTGCTCCGCCACATGCCCTCGGGAAGGAACCCGTCCGCGTCGTACACTGTGAGTGACCAGAAGCCGCAAGCGGTGACGGGCGGTGGAGAGAGGTGCAAGGAGTAGTTGGCAGAGCTGCCGTCGTAGCGCAGGCCGAAGGGCCCCTGCCAGGTGAAGAAGTAGAGGGACTCAGAGGCGGGCAGCGCTCCCAGCCCGCCTGTGGATGAGAAGGCTGCTCGGAACAGAAATCGATCGCCGTAGCTGATGGGATGGGATGGGGGAGAAGAGCGATGGAGACTGCACGAAGTGAGAAAAACAAGGGGGGGAAGAGGGCGAGCGGAGAGCTAATGCCAAAATTTATGCGTTATACACTCGTGCACGTGTGAGTTTATACCATGTCTTGTGAAGAGCGCATGCCCATGTACGTGCACTCCAACACCCCCATCCCTCCCTAGCCTCACTATCACCAACCATCCATTCCCATCCTCATCCCTGCCAACACTCATTTCTCCTCCCCACGCACGCACTCCCCCACCTTCATCCCTCCTCTCCACTCACTAGCCCAGCGACGTGTCAGCGAGCCAGCGGTTGACCACCACGGAGCGGTTCACGCCCAGCAGCATCAGCGTGTACGCGCCCCTTATTGTCACGTTCGCTACTGTGTACGCCTGCGTGAGCGCGGAGCGCTGCAGCGGCGAGAGGGCGGCGGGGGAGAAGGGCGGCCCCGAGGAGGAGATGCCTATGGCTGCCAGCTGGTTGAGTGCCCTGTGGGGAAGGGAGAGGGGGAGAGAGGGGGAGAGAGGCAGGACAGGACAAGAGGGAGGAGGGAAGGGACAGGAGGGGGCGGGTTGGAGGGTTGGAGTGATGTCAACATGCTCGCAGTGTGGGCATGTGAGAATACCGAGAGTGAGATAAGCACGTGACTATAATGGGGGGGCACCACGGGAGTGTGACTCACCTGAGGTTAGCCTCGTCTTGGGCGGGCGGGTTGTCCTGTAGTGTGCGGTCGATGAGCACCAATCGCTGCATGCCATCTGGCAGCCCCGCCAGCGCAGAGAGGTCGGGCGGTGGCAGGGGGGTGGGAGGGGCGTTGGTGGTGGGGCGCGTGAGAGTGACGTTGCTGGGAGGGGGGATGGGGAGGGGGAGAGGGGGAGGAGAGGAGGAACGGGAGGGAAAAGGGAGCATAAGGGAGGCACAGGGAAGAGGGGTTGAGGAGGCAGGGGCCACAGCAGAGTGAGCTGAGAGGTTGGCCATGGGGGATGGGCGATAGCAGCACCTGACCATTCACCTGAGCAGGCTGCTGGCAACTGCCACGTCATCAGGCCCCGCCACCAGCACGCGCACGATCACAAACACACTGCGAGTCCTGCTGCTCACGCCCAGCACGGTGTCGCTGCTGCTCGATGCCTTCTCCCCTCCCCCTCCCCCTCCCCCTCCCCCTCCCCCTCCCCCTCCCCCTCCCCCTCCCCCTCCCCCTCCCCCGCCCCCTACCCCTCCCCCGCCCCCTCCCCCTCCCCCTCCCCCACCCCCACCCCCTCCCCCACCCCCACCCCCACCCCCCCTCCGCCCCCTCCTCCTCCCCCTGCTGCGCCTGCCTGACTAGAGTCGGTCCCCTCTCCCCCCTGCCCCTGCCCCTGCCCCTGCCCCTGCCCCTCCCACTGCACCATGACCGCCAGCGGCCCGGCCCCATGGGTGCGGGCACCGAACACAGCAAGGACGTCGCTGTAGGGGTCGAGCAGCAGCGCGCTGTAGTAGCGCGGCTGGGCCACCAGCGGCAGGGAGAGCAGCAGCGGCCCTGAGGCGAGGTCCAGCCATGCTGCCGCGTACAGCGTGTCCGTGTTGGACAGCGGGATGGTGGACTGGTGGGAGGGGGAGCCGGGGGTTGGAGGGACGTAAGGGGGAAGGGAAGAAGAGGCGGGGGGATGAAAGGCAGTGAGAGCAGCACGGGACCAGAAGCTAGGTCCAGCCATGCTGCTGCGTAGAGCGTGTTCGTGTTGGACTGGGGAATGGTGGACTGGAGAGGGGGAGGGGGGAGGAGGAGGGATGTAAGAGGGAGGGAAAGACGGAGAAGAAGTGGGGGGACTGGGGAAGTGGGGAGGAACGGGGATTTGAGATTAGTTTTGAGAATTCTCAAAACTAATCTCAAACAAAGTGGGGAGGAACGGGGATTTGAGATTATTTTTGAGAATTCTCAAAACTAATCTCAAACAAAGTGGGGAGGAACGGGGATTTGAGATTAGTTTTGAGAATTCTCAAAACTAATCTCAAACAAAGTGGGGAGGAACGGGGATTTGAGATTAGTTTTGAGAATTCTCAAAACTAATCTCAAACAAAGTGGGGAGGAACGGGGATTTGAGATTAGTTTTGAGAATTCTCAAAACTAATCTCAAACAAAGTGGGGAGGAACGGGGATTTGGGATTAGTTTTGAGACGTCTCAAAAACAACCTCATCACACGGGATTTGGGAGGAGTGGGAACTGGGAAAGGGGGAGGAGAGGAGAAGAAGAGTGGTGATGCATGCATTGATGCAGCAGCCCATGCACATGGCAGCGAGCACACCTGGTTACCCAGTTACCGAGCCAGCCAGGCAGCTGGTTGTGGGCGCACACCTGGTCTTCAGCAGTGGTGATGTTGGTTTGGCGCAGCAGGGCGTTGATGGCGGGGAAGGTGGCGGCGTTGCGCTGTGACGTCACCAGCGGCTGCCCCCACACGTTGGCAGTCAAGCCCCCCTGCAAGTACCTGAGGGCGTGGGGGCGTGGGGGCGTGGGGGCGTGGGGTCATGGGGGCACGAGGTGCGTCCTTGGGTTCTCGCCTCGCCAAGGGGTCGTGGTGCTAAAGGCCATGGCTGCTCACTCATTCCCCTTCACCTGCCACCGGGCGACACGCTCAAGAAATAGGTGTCAGAAGCACCGAATTACATGCATATAATCACATGCATCGCATTGCATTCACCTGCCATATTCGCCATCCAGTATTCCGCTAATGAGTGACGCGTTATTGCGACTGTACAATCCATTCCCACCCGCCGTGACGCCCAGCCCGTCTCCGCCAGCGGCGGACGGAAGAAGCAGCGGCGCCGAGGCAGACGTATTCGCAGACGCAGAGACGGAGGCTGGAAGAGAGGCAGAGGGCGGGGAAGTGGAGGAGGGCGGGGAAGTGGCGGACGGCGGGGAAGTGGCGGAGGGCGGGGTTGAGGCGGAGGCAGAGGAAGGAGGCGAGTCAGCAACGCCATAGGAGCTCTGCGCGGCGACTAAAACGGCTGCGATCGACGCCAGGAAGAGCACGAGGACGAGCCGCGCGGGATGTGAAGAATGCGCCGCCATGAGTGGCCGAACGAGAGGAGCCGACACCATCGCGCGCAATGACCGTTAAGTTGCCGTGCCTGGACGGTATAACTTGAATTCGCCTCATCAGCACAAAATGAACGATGAATTCGCTTATCAATCTTCTTCCAACGCGCGGCTAAACGGAGGAACACAAGTTCGGACGACGGCGAAATTCGACATTGGTCGTTCTGTCGCCTCAGTGGCAATGACCACCTCGCGAAGTCCGTCGACTGATCTCTTCTCACATTTCGACTCGCCGCGACCTCAAAAACGCTCCTAAAAAACGCTCTGTCGACTGATCTCTTTTCGGCACTACCCCCCGACTCCTGGCGTGAATGTAGAGTCACGCCAGGCGGTGCGCGGCTGACGCCAGGCATGGCAGCGGTGTCGCGAAGCGGGGGACGAGGCGAGTGGTCGCGACGTGGAGGGCGAGGCGGACTGCTTGTTATGACTCGAGCCGAGAGCCACTGCCGTGTGTGCAGGTGAAACAGCAGGTTACGGCAAATTCGAGGCTGAAACAACTCGACAGCTGGGGTAGAATCAGGTGTTATGAGCGGTTGAGGGCACAGCCAACATCGAGGCGATGTGAATTTCTAGGTCAGACAAAAGGAGAAATCTGGCCAGGTTGCGCTTCAATCAACGCAGAACACCCAGCTAATTGTACGAAACGACGAATAGATTGTTTTGTTACACGAACCATCCAATCACATGTGAATCGGCACTCAAAACAATGTCGGGATCGTCAATACAGAGAATAGGCAAAGTCCACGTACCCAAGATCCCCAGCAACAGCAAGCCAGCAATGAAGTGGAGACTGCTCGCTATTGGAGTGCGTTTGTGCCGCGTTAGAGGCTTTTCAGCTCTGCAAGATTAGAGTCGTTCCAGCCATGGCAGACCTCCGATCTTCCAGGTACGCGAGCCCCGCCTCTCTCTCTTCGCTTCCCGCCCCACTGGCTTGTCCCCTTCCCCTGTCTTGCCGTTCTCGCTGCGCCTGCCGAGCGTCCGCGGGCTTTGCCCCTCCCCCCCAACCCTTGCGCGTTTCCATTGCGCGTTACTCGTGCGCTGGCCCGCAGGGACGAGGAGAGCGAGGAGCGCGGGGGTTGGGCGCACGACGAGAAGGCGCGCGGGGAGCAGGGGCGCGCGCGCGAGTGGGAGGAGGCGGAGCGGCACAGCCGCGAGGCCAAGCTGGGACTGCACCCGCTGCAGGTGCGCTCCCGCATTGTGACTGTATCGAGATATTGCAACCAGGCGTCTGTATTTACAGAGCTTCACCGAGTGAATCGAGTTCTTGCATTGACCACCCCTCCATCCGACCATCCGTTCACCCCTCCATCCCCGCTGCAAGCAGACGCGGTACGTGCTGTGGTACACGCGGCGGCAGCGGCAGCCGCCCGGGCAGCGCAGTGCGACGTCGTATGAAGACAGCATTCGGCGCATCACTGACTTCAGCACCGTGCGTGACTGTGGCGAGGGGGGGGGGAAGGAGGGGGGGAGGGGGGGAGGGTGGTGAGGTGGTGGTAGGAAAGGAGAGGGGGGTTAGGAGTAGGTTGTGGGGGGCAGGTGCCTGGCAAGACAGCATTCGGTGCATCGCGGACTTGAGCACCGTGCGTGGATGCCGTGGGGGGGGCAGGGGGGAGGGGAGTGGGGCTAAGGAGCACTGTAGCAGCATGAATGCGCCAGTGTGTGCGACACTTCCCTTCCATCCCCGCCATTTCACAACCCCACATCCTCCAACCAACCCCCCTCACTTCCCATTGCCCCTCTCCTCCTCCCCCTTACATCCCCCCCCCCAGGTGGAGGGATTTTGGGCGTGCTACTGCGGCATGGTGCGCCCATCCGCGCTTCCCGCGCCCACGGACGTGCACGTCTTTAAAGACGGCATCCGCCCGCTCTGGGAGGTGAGCGTCCACCCCCCACACCGCTCAACCCTCTCTCCTGGCCTCCTAGTCTCTTTCCTCTCCCTGCCCAAATGCGCGAGCCTACCCTGCTCGTCTCATTCCCCCCATTGCTGATCCGACCCTCCTTTTTTCCCTCCTTTTCCCTTCCTTTTCCCGAACGCAGCAACCTGTTTCTCGCCCCCCTCTCACCCTCTGTGCGTCTGCCCCCCCCATTACTCCTTCTCCCTTCCCGCTTCCCCTCTCCTCCATCGTCCCCTCCCCCAATCCAACCCCCCTTCTCCTCCATCGTCCCCTCCCCCAATCCAACCCCCCCTCTCCTCCATCGTCCCCTCCCCCAATCCAACCCCCCCTCTCCTCGCGCCAGGACGTGCACAACAGGCGGGGGGGCAAGTGGATGGTGCGCCTGCGCAAGCCGCTCACTAACCGCATGTGGGAGCAGCTCGTGAGTGGGTAGCAGGGGAGGGGGGGGGGGCAGCGTTGAACACGAGAGGAGAGAGGGGGGCAGCTTGTGATGAGTAGCAGAAGTGGGGCAGCTGGTGAGCACGGATGGGGGGTGAGAGGCAGAGGGGTTGGGGTGCAGAGCAAGAGCAAGAGCAGCTGGTGTGACTCGTGCCTTCGTCCTCCTCCCTTTCAGCCCCCAGTTTAACGCTGCAGTTGATGGCGATGGTAGCGGAGCAGTTGGAATGGAGGGAGCGGAGGAGGTGTGCAGGGTGGGGTGGGGTGGGGTGGGGTGGGGTGGGGTGGGGTGGGTGTGCCAACCTGTGTCCTCGTCCTCTTCACTTCAATCTTCCGTAATATCCCCCCTTTCATCTGCTCCAATCCCCCTTGCAGTTGATGGCGGTGGTGGGGGAGCAGCTGGAGGGCGCGGAGGAGGTGTGCGGAGTGGTGCTCAGTGTGCGCTTCGGCGACGACATTCTCTCCATCTGGAACCGCTCTGCACCGCACAGCCTGGTGGGTACAGCAAGGCTGGTGGGTCAGGCAGCTGTCACACAACCATGGAGTCTTCGGGTTGATGCTATGTGATTCTTGTGACTTGGTTCAATCATCCCTGTGTTAACTCGTGTGGTTGTGATTGTATCGATGCTTGCGCCCGTTCATAAGCACGAGCGTGTATTCCCCTCCTTCCTACCATCCATGGCATGGCATGGCATGGCATGGCATGTGGCAACAGGCGAGGGACAGGCTGTGTGAGTCGATTCGGAAGCACCTCGGCCTTCCATCATCCTACACCATGGTGAGTCATGCCATCCACCCTCCTCCCATCCACCATCCCCTCCTCCCATCCACCATCCCCTCCTCCCATCCACCATCCCCTCCTCCCATCCACCCTCCTCCCATCCACCATCCCCTCCTTCCATCCACCATCCCCTCCTCCCATCCACCATCCCCTCCTCCCATCCACCATCCCCTCCTCCCATCCACCATCCCCTCCTCCCATCCACCATCCCCTCCTCCCATCCACCCTCCTCCCATCCACCATCCCCTCCTTCCATCCACCATCCCCTCCTCCCATCCACCATCCCCTCCTCCCATCCACCATCCCCTCCTCCCATCCACCATCCCCTCCTCCCATCCACCATCCCCTCCTCCCATCCACCATCCCCTCCTCCCATCCACCACCATCCCCTCCTCCCATCCACCATCCCCTCCTCCCATCCACCAATCCCTCACATCCGCCCTGCCCTCACATCCGGCCTGCCGTCACATCCGTCCGCCGTGCCCCACTGTGCCACCAGGAGTACAAGCCACATGACGCATCACTCAAGGACCATTCCTCCTACCGCAACACATGGGTGCGCACGTAGCCTACGTGCCACACAACCACTCGCACACATGACGTAACTTACCATGCAACAGATGCTGCGTCGCGCACAAGCAACCATGTTCTGTCGAGACTACCACCAGCCAGTGCGCTTGTGTGCTGCAGCTGCAGCTGCAGCTGCATTCAACCTGCCTTCTTTGTGGCACCATATTACTGTGCTTTGTTGCAGCCACTATGATAAGCGTTCTATTCTAGGCCACAAATGGTCTTGGGCCACAATCACCCATTCCTAGAGTTGGCCATAGGTTGATGACCTCAGGGCACAACCTGTTGTGCTTATGTGATGCATGCTGATCCCTCAACTCCAGAAATCATATCTTTAGGAGTCTTACTGTACTTCACAAAAGAGAACATGCTCTATTTCTTCCCTGGTTAACCTAGAATCCCAGAAATACAGTGATGCAATGGGCAGGTGGTGTGTTCCACTGGGGCGGCTTTAGCAGAGCGGCATTCCCCATGTGCCGTGCATCACAACTCACGCCTCGTCGTCCCTGCGAACGGTTCACTCAGCAGACAGGCTGCTGCATTGACTGGATTTTAAGCGGCAAGAATAACCCAATGCTGCATGTGTACACAGCAGTATTTAAGCTCTATTGCAATTAAATTAGAAGCGGCTACATGCCATTGCATACAGCCAGTTACGGTACACTGAGATCGCCTCTCAATCGAGCTTCCTCAAGACATTTGGCAGGAGGACTTGGTAGAGACCTCGAGGGCCTGTCGCCTAGGTTAGCATCCCCTCAGACGACCTCAGGGAGCATGCCTGTGCGGTCCTCCTTGCATGCCTACCTGACTGCTTCGTTGGCTGCCACAGCAGCGCTTTCCTGCTCCCAAGTGGGTGCCGCATTGAACTGCAACAATACTTGGACATGCTGAAACTCAAGCACTGCGTGCACGCAGCTCAATCCAACTCATTCCTCGCTCTTCGCACCACCAGTTGATTCCTGGGATCTCCGACACACACTTTCTCAATCCTCCCCGCACACCAATGCGGCCTCACAACCCTCCCGCCGCCACTGCTTCTTCTGCCGATATGACGCCGTTTGGACTCGATCCCACACCCTTCGTTTGCCGCACTGCCGCCTCACCCTCCCCATGGCTACTCCCCAAAACCCCCCCTCCATACTCCCCCACTGCTCTTTGCACATCCATTCCTTCACTCATGCTCCCTCCCGTCCCCCCACTCATTGCATCTCCCCTTGACCCGCTCCCCCCCAGTCGGCTGGCCCCTAATCTGTTCCCCCCAGAAGCACTCCCCCCTGACCTTCCCCCTTCCCCCAATGCCCCCATGCTGCTGCTGCTGCTGCTGCTGCTGCAGCAGCTGCTGCTGCTGCTGCTGCTGCGAGTAGGACTGGAACATGGGAATTCCCAGCCCTGCCACTGCTGTTGTCGCATCCAACCTTGCCGCCTCCCCGCTTGCCATTGGCGGCTGCTGTTGCTGCTGCTGCTGCTGCTGCTGCTGCTGGTACGGCTTGAAAGAATGCAGATCTGCCTGCACCTGCTCGTGTTGTTGCTGCTGCTGCTGTTGCTGGGCTTGGTATTGAACCGCCTGCTGCTGCCCTTGCTGTTGCTGCTGCTGCTGCTGCTGTTGCTGCTGCTGCTGCTGCTGCACTCCTGCCTGCCCCTGCCCCAGCACCCCACTCCCCTGCGCGGCCTTCCCCTCCCCGCCATCCTCGGGAATGGACTTCATCTCAGGGGCCCCAGGGGGGTGCTTCACTCTCCCCGACGAAGTGGGCGACACGGACGGCTTGGGCTTGGCGCGCACGTGGCGCTGCTTGCGCGCGCGCGAGGGGCCGTGCACCAGGCGCGTGAAGCCCAGGAAGCTGACGGTGCCATCGAAGTTGGTCCACTCGTCCAGCAGGGCCGCGTTGGCCATGGACTCCACTTGGCCCAACTCCTGTAGTGGGTGGGAGAGAGAAGTATTGAGGGGGGCAGATATGGAGCAAAACGTACGTCAATCAGCGGTATGCCTGATATGCCAAAAGCAGCGACTTGAGAGATGAATCAAAGAGGATAAAAAAAAAAAAAAGAGGATCAAAAGCACCTAGGCAAGAGAGACGCCTCACCTTGACGAGCTCATCGATGGTAACATGCGCCTTGCCCCCCCTCACGAACGTCTGGTACGCCACGCGCGCGCGCTCGGGCCAGTTGGGCAGCGCCTCCAGCTGAAACACATTCAGCGCCGCTGCACAGAAGTCGGTGAAGGGCATTCGCGATATGCGCGCTGGCTCCAACTGGTGGGTGGAGGGGGGAGGGGATATTGAAGAGGCGGGGACAAGGGGGGGAGGAGGAAGGGCATTGAGTGCAGCAAAGAAGTCGGTGAAGGCCATCCGTGATATGCGCGCTGTCACTAACCAATCCCTCTCACCGTTTTGAGCAGGTCGATGGTGTGAGACTCCCTCATGGCGTCTGTTGCCACGCGCTGCATCGCCTGCTCGCACCAAAGTGGAGGGTGTAGGGAGGGAGGGGAGATGGCGGAGGAAGGTGACTACTGGATCAAGTTGGCCAGCCTCACGGATGGAAGACGAGAGGAGGGGGTGCTTTGAAGAGAGGTAAGCTTGAGTTGGGATGCTCAAAGGAGCTGGAGAGTCAACAGAGTCAGGATCATATCAGAGTCAACAAAAGTCAACGCGGGTCATGGCTCACGTTTTTGAGGTCGTTGAAGTCAATGAGCCCGTCCCCGTCCACGTCCATGTACCCAAACTGCGCCCTCAGATACACCAGCTCGTCCTCCGTCAGCGTTGGCACCAACGCCTGGAGAGAGGAGGGTAGGGAAAAGAAGCAAGGAGAGGATAATGTTTCAATTGGCTCAAAGAGTGCGATTCCATAAGCGTTTAGATTACCCCCCAAACTGCGCTCCTCAGACACACCAGGTGATCCTCCGTCAGCGTTGGCTCCACTGCCTCGTGGTGGGGAGGGGAGGAAGAGGAGGGGAAGGAGGGATAGATGAGGGAGGGGAGGGATTTATAGATGACTCGAAAATCGTCTCCCTTCATATTAAACTGATAAAACCGCGCCCACCACTCAGGACAGGTGGGCGCAGGGAGAGCAAAAGGACACGCAGTGCGCAGCATCTCTCAAACCCCAACCTCTCCCCATTTCCGTCACCCCCTATGAGTCTCGCCCGCCCGACCACCCCCCAATGAGCCGTGCTCGCCCCACCGCTCACCTTGAGCCCAGCGCGGCGGAGCGGAGAGAAGGAGAAGAAGGCGCGCAGGCTCTTGTACACGGCGATGTCCAGAGGGATGCGCGCACTGCTGCTGCGAATCCATGGGTGCGCTGCTCACCGGCGGGAGTGGGGAACGCGGGGAAAGGAAGGTTTTAAGAGGAAGGGAGAGGGGGGGAGGGGGGGGGGGGGAGTGGGTTGATAAGAGTTGGGGCAGTGAAACGTGTGAGGAGGAGTGAGGGATGGAACGATAATCTCATTTGCGTGCCACTCACTCAGTGCCTGGGCGGCAGTGGGGCGGCGGCGGTAGTCCTTAGTGAGCAGCCGGTGCACAAAGTCCCTTCCGGCATGCGACACCGCGGGCCACGGCGCGTCTATCAGGTTCGGCTCCAGGCGCAGCACGGCGCGGAAAATACCCGACTCCGTGCGCGCCCAGAAGGGCCGTGATCCGGACAGGAGGATGTAGGCTATGACTCCCACGGACCACACGTCAGCTTCGGTGCCGTAGGCTCGGTGGAGGACCTCCGGGGCGATGTAGTACGCCGAGCCTACGATGTCGTTGAGCTTCTGGTCCGGCCGGACGAAGTCGGAGAGACCAAAGTCGATGGCTCGTAGCGCCGAGCCTTCGTCTCGCGACTTGAAGAGGAAGTTCTGATGGTACAGGGTGGTGGGTGGGGTGAAGGGGTGGTGGGTTGTGTGTGGCAGGGGGGAAAAATGAGGGGAGGATGGAGGGATGGGAGGGAGGTGGAGGGTGGAGGGATGGCCGAGGATGGAGAGGGAGAGGGTGGAGGTGAGGAAAGGAGTTAGGAGTTGGAGTGGCAAAGGAGGGGTTACTGCAGTCAAGGCGAGAAGGAGCATCATTACTTGCCAATCACTTGCCCATCACCACTCTCGTTTTAGTCTGCTTCCCTACAGGGCCCTTTCACAGGTGGCTTTAAGTCTTAGTTGGTACTTTACGTTTTTTTGGGTCACGTAAACGTAAACTTACGCTTGAGTTTACCTTTACGTTTTCTTACGCGTAATTTTACGTAAAGTCGCACGGGCATGGCAAAAAAAGTTTTTCCTTTTGTCTGCGAAATGGGAAAAACTGACTGATATGAGGTGGGAGAGGCTGTGACATGTCCGTGTAGATTTGGGGCATCTGTAAGTTGATGTAATAATGTGCTAACATGCTTGGGCATAGAAGAACCAAGCTAGTGATAGATTAGGCGCTTCCCATGCAGCCACTTAGTCCGATGAATTCTTATCTTTCCGGGCAGGCAAAATGTTTCTGGCTGACCGTAAACGTAAAGGCGTTTTGGGCCCACGTAAGTAAACGTAAGTTTACTACGTAAAGTCAAGTACACGTAAACCCCCGTAAACGTACAATGCCAACTAAGCTTTAAGTGGGTGACGGACCTCGGGCTTTAAGTCGCGGTGCACGACGCCCTGCTGGTGCAGGAAGGCAATGATGTTGAGGATCTGGCGCATCACCTCCCTCGCCTCGTGCTCCGGGTACTTTCCTCCTCTGGTGGGGTAAGGGACGGAAAAAGGGGGAAGGGTGGTGGGGGGAGAGTCGAGACAGTGGAAGAGGGAAAGAGTGCGTTGAGAGAGACGTGGGGATACGGATTGAGGAGGGGACGAGAAGGTTGCAGCAGTGAGGGAGGAACGTGATGGGGCGAAGGAGAATGCAGATGGGAAGAGGTGGAGAGTGGTGGGGAGGAATGGAATCCGGAGAGTGATGGAGAGCAGTGGAGCGGGAGGTTGTCAAGCAAATGGGACAGGAAAGTTGACGAGAAAGGAGTTCAAGACAGAGGAAAAAGGGATGGGAATGGGCATTACCGTTGCAGCAGGCGCTCGAGCAGCTCGCCTCCCTCACACAACCTTATGGCACATGGCGACAGACAGGGGGGGAGATGGGGAAAGGGGAAGGGGAAGAGAGCAGGGGAGAGTTGTAAAGAGTGCATGGGATGGGATGGGATGGGATGGGATGGGATGGGATGGGATGGGATGGGATGGGATGGGATGGGACGAGAGGAGCAGCGCAGGAGGGGGAGGAGGGTTGTAGGTTGGGCCGTGAAACGGATGATGAGTTAGGTAGCTATGTATGGTTATACTCGTTACAGCAGCACTCACTCCATGGCTATGTACACGTTGAGTTGGTCCTCATAGGCATCAAAGGAGCGCACTGCAAACTCCATGGCTATTTGTACTCGTTATAAGCAGAACTCACTCCATGGCTATGTACACGTTGAGTTGGTCCTCATAGGCATCAAAGAAACGCACTGCAAACTCCTGCGGGCCCAGCGCTCGCATCAACCGCACCTCCCTCTTCACGTCCTCCACCGCTATCACCGTTGTCATCTGGGGGGGAGGGGAAGGGAAGGGGATGGGGGAAAGGGGGAGCGGGGAAAACGCAAGGGGACAGGGGCGAGGGGATCAGCCGCACCTCCCCCTTCACGTCCTCCACCGCTATCACCGTTGTCATCTGGGGGGGAGGGGAAGGGGGACGGGTGGAGAGCAGCGGGACAGTGGGGAGGGGTTCTGGAGAGCCGCACCTCGCGCTTCACGTCCTCCACTGCTATCACCGTTGACACCTGTTGGGGGAGGGTGGGGCAAAGGGGAAATGGAGTGGGGGAGGGCAGGGGGACAGGGGGGAGGGGGTCCGTAAACCGCACCGCCCTCCTCACGTCCTCCACCGCTATCACCGTTGTCATCTGTGGGGAGGAGGGATGGGGGGAGAGGGAAGGTGGGGCAGGGGGGTGGGGATGCGGAAGGGGAAGCTCTTAGCTGACCAGCCGCACCCCGCGCCTCGCGTCCTCCACCGCTATCACCGTCATCTGGGGGGGGAGAGGGGGTTTGGCAGGGTGAAGGGGGGGACAAAAGGAGGGGAAAACTGATGGACAGGGTGCGGTGATATTGCATGAAGAGTTGGGGCGGGGGAGAGGGAAAAAGCCGGGGAAGGGGAGTAAGGGCGGGCCTAAAAGGGCGCAGCAGTGGCACGTCCGCAAAACCCTAGAATGCGTCTCACAAGCATACACCGTTTTCTCGGGGTAATCCCCCAATGTACGCATCTGCGTGGCTCACAACAGCCCCGTGCGCGGCTCACATTGGCCTTGGGAATGACTTTGATGGCGCACTGCACGCCCTTCACCTCGCCCTTCTTCCCCGTCGCCGCGCATGTGTGCCCGAAGTGCCCGCGCCCCACCTCGTGTTCCAACTCGTACTTAGCGTTAATGTTCCGCGCATACCCGAACTTCTTATTCAACTCCTTCCCCTCATGCCCCTCCCCCGACCCTCCGCTGCTCCCCGCCCCCGCGCTCCCTGCGCCGAACCCTCCGCCGCCCCCTCCGCCGACCACCACGCCTACGGGGATCTGGTTCCCCCCTCCCGCGGAGCCCTCCGCCGCGCCCATCTGCTTTCCGCGCTCGTCGTCGCGCAGCCTGCTCACGCGCGCCTTTTCCGCCGCCTGCTGCAGAATGCTCCCCGCGAGACCGTCGAAAGTGGCGGGCGCGGGGGAGAAGTTGGACAGGTGGATGGCGGGAGTGCCCATGACCGACATTGCGGGCGACTCGAACACCTTGTTCCGCGGATCCTCGAACGGGCTCAGTCCCGCCCTTCCCCCACCGCCTGCCCCGAACGCGCCCCCCCCGCCATTTCCTCCCCCTGTTGCTCCTCCCCCGCCCGCGCTCGATCCTTCCGCAATTTTGCCGTTCCGCTGTTGCGTTTGCGCCTCCGCGATGCCTTTCTCCGGCGGTTTCTCGTTCGCGAAAACCAACTCCTCCGGTTCTTCCGGCGGTGCGGCATTTTTGTGTCGACCCTTGTGTTTACCCCGCCCCCCTTGATGATCGCCGTCCGCTAATGGCTTGCCCAGGCACGCACCCATGCGTGGGGTTACTGATAATCTCCCGAAACTACGTGAACCGCGTGAACGATTACCTTGCAATTGCCTTAAATTTTACAGATGCTTTTCAGCTCATAGCGTCTACAAAACGATCGTTACGACAGGTCGGTAAATAAAACGGTTGGTTGTTTCTATGTCGGAACCAGGGTTCGCTGCGAGTCTCGCCCTAATCGATCGAACCGCGACATAACTCTGATTCTTCGAAGCCGTGCACGTTTGAGTCAATCTCTCTTTCCAGCTCACTTACCAGCAACCCTCAATGCCGACAGGATGGCGGTGGGGTATCTCTTCTCAACGATGACATTAGGTGACTTGCCATGCCAGCAGTGCTTGACGCGCAGCGTTTCCACGCTGGCGGAAACTCTCCTCTTGTGCGCTACGCTCTGAGCCACCTATCATGCGCGCGCGCGCCTATCTTCAGCGTCCCGCATGGTTGTGGGGGAGGTGGCGGAGTCGACGAGGCTCTCAAACCTAAGCGCTGGTTGGTTTGAATCACTCACATTGCTCCCCGAAGTCAGGGGGGTCAGAGTTGAGGCTCTTCATTGGCTGGTTTTGACAAGTCAGGCAAGCGTGATTGGTGAATGGAATAGGCTCGGGGACGCAAAAGGGTTTGGCCGGCTGGTGCAGGTGTAGGGCAGCCTGGGCCGGGGAATGTGCCGGGCTGGGTGCCCTGCCTGGTCTGAATGTTGGTTGGGGTATCGACACTTGATTGTCTGGCCTGCTTGCCCGCACCAATCACACCGCTTCTGGTGGCTCCGGATCTTGTCAACTGCCAGCGGGGCTTTGGCTGCCCGCTGAGTGTTTGACGAGTCAGAAAATTTTCTCAACTGCATTCGCATCAGCGTCAGTGATTTCCATCGAAGTTGCTTCGTGAAGCTAGTTGGGGGGAAAAATATGGGCCTCCATAAAGTGTACAGTAATCAGATGACACTATATCGGGTGTTTCATTGCAGCGATGCTTAATCAGGTGTTCACATTGATATCTAAAGAATAAATTACAAGGTGGTAGTAAGGAAGCAAACAGCAAATATGCAAGGATTTCTGTACGGCAATCAAATCCAATTCTCAGGTAGTAGCAGGTGCTAATCGCAAGAGCACAGTCAGTGCTTCTTGCCCAGTAACACCACCCCTCACAACGCAACCCTCTTCCTCACAGCCCCCTCCCTCCCATCACAACCACCCCCCTCCATCCCCGCACGTCATCACACCCCATTGCACCTCCCCCCATCCCATTACGCCTCATCCGGGGGGAAATCCGGGCGGCGCGGCACGGGCACAGGCAAGTGGTCGCCCTTGGCGCCCTTGGACAGCGCCACCGACCCCGACTTGCTCGACTGCGCATTCGAATTGTCATCCCCCGGCGCCCAGTGCAGCGTCTCTGAGTAATTCTGATAGCTGAACTCCGATGACTCAGTCGTGGACGGATACGACGAGGACGGCAGTGACGTGGCGTCTGACTGGGACGACGACATGATAGACGCGGAATCCCGGTGGCTGCCGGCGTAGCTGGACGTGGCGTGGCCGAGGTTTTCCACAAGGGCTTTCGCGACGTCGCGGATGGTGGGGCGGTTGACGGCCTGGTCCTGCACGCAGGTGCGCGCGATGTCACAGAGCGCGTAGAGCTCGTCGAGATCAAAGTTGCCCTCGAGCTTGGGGTCCACCATGAGAGGGGTCTTCTCCCTGTCCGCTAGGTACTCCTCCGCCTGTGTGCCCCCACACGTGAGATGAGATGACAACACACACACACACACGGGGGTCGTACACAAGGATCTCATTAGCAAGGGATTAAAAGCAGATCACAAGAATTCACAAGGAAAGAATGGACATACGATACGCATGCAGCCAGCAGGCCGCGAAAGCTCGCCCAGCAGGTCACACCCAGCACTCGCCCAGCACTCACCCAGTAAGCAAGGGGCTGCCACTCGTGGATGGACTTGTGGCCCGAGATGAGCTCCAGCAGCACCACACCGTAGCTGTACACGTCAGACTTCTCTGAGAGGATACTCGTGTTGACGTACTCGGGGTCCAGGTACCCAAACGACCCCCGCACCGCTGTCGCCGTGGGCACCAGCTGCTCCCCACCGTCCGCGCCCGCCCCGATGGGCGCCTCCTTGCAGAGACCGAAGTCAGCCACCTTTGAGTAGCCGTCGTCCGACAGAAGAATGTTGGCCGACTTGATATCACTGTTGGGTGGGGGAAGAGGGTGAAAGGTGGGTGGGAGAGGCATGAGCAGCAGGGGATGGAGTTATCCGGGATAACAGAGCAACCCGTGGAACATCGCACGAGGCAGCACGCATGCACGAGGCAGCACGACACCGGGTAGAGAACGGAGAACGCACCGATGAATGAGGGGCGGGTCGGCACCATAGTGCAGATACTCAATCCCCAGCGCCACGTGAATCGCAATCTTGGTCCTGCTATCCCACGACAGCGGGTACTCTTTTGCGCTCTCCCCATGCAGATGCTCATACAGCGACCCCATCGCCATGTACTCGTAGATCAGCGCGCGCTCGCCCTTCTCAGCGCAGAACCCCACGAGGTTCACGAGATGCCGGTGGTGCACGCGCGACAGCAGCTCCACTTCTCGGATGAACTCCACGTCGCCTTGCTTGGATACTTGGTCCAGGCGCTTCACGGCCACGAGTTGCCCGTCCTTGAGCGTGGCCTTGTACACGGTGCCGTAGCCTCCCTTGCCGATGACCGTCTGCCAGTTGTTGGTCGCTGCCTTCATCTGCTTCAGTGTGAACTCGCGTGTCGCCTCTGTAAAAAGGGTTGGGGAGGAGGGCGAGGGAGTAGAAGGGAGGAAGAGCGAGTGTGAGATCAGGGGAAGGAAGAAGAGAAGGGGAAACGAGGAGCAAATGCGTACGACAAAGAAGCGAGGAGAGGAGAGAGGAGAGAAGAGAGGAGAGAAGAGAGAGGAGAGAAGAGAGAGGAGAGAAGAGAGAGGAGAGGAGAGGATGCGGAGCGGTGCAACAACTCACGGCGGAGGCCCTTGGTGAACATCTTGGAGATGCTCTGGCCGCGCTTGGTGTAGTAGAGGAACCAGATGGCGCCCCCCACAGCAGCGATGGCGATGGCCAGCGACACGGTGATGCCGACGATCATGGGGGTCTTGGACGCCGGCACGTACTCCGTGGTTTGAACGGTCTCCGTTCCGTTATAGCTTGCGCTTGAGAGCTCCGAGGCTGGCAGGGGGAGGGGGAAAGGAGGGGAGCAGGGAGGGCGAGCGAGATGGTGATGCCGATGATCATGGGGGTCTTGGATGCCGGCACGTACTCAGTGGTTTGGACAGTCTCTGTTCCGTTGTAGCTCGCGCTTGAGAGCTCCGAGGCTGGGGTTAGGGGGAGGAAGGGGGGGAAGAGGGAGAAAAGAGCAGGTGGAAGAGAGTGGGGGATGAGGAGTGAAGGGGAGAGGTGCGCGAAGAGGAGTCACAGGTGCGAGAAGAGGAGTCACAGGTGCGCGAAGAGGAGTCACAGGTGCGCGAAGAGGAGTCACAGGTGCGCGAAGAGGAGTCACAGGTGCGAGAAGAGGAGTCACAGGTGCGAGAAGAGGAGTCACAGGTGCGAGAAGAGGAGTCACAGGTGCGAGAAGAGGAGTCACAGGTGCGAGAAGAGGAGTCACAGGTGCGAGAAGAGGAGTCACAGGTGCGAGAAGAGGAGTCACAGGTTCGAGAAGAGGAGTCACAGGTGCGAGAAGAGGAGTCACAGGTGCGAGAAGAGGAGTCACAGGTGCGAGAAGAGGAGTCACAGGTGCGAGAAGAGGAGTCACAGGTGCGAGAAGAGGAGTCACAGGTGCGAGAAGAGGAGTCACAGGTGCGAGAAGAGGAGTCACAGGTGCGAGAAGAGGAGTCACAGGTGTGAGAAGAGGAGTCACAGGTGCGAGAAGAGGAGTCACAGGTGCGAGAAGAGGAGTCACAGGTGCGAGAAGAGGAGTCACAGGTGCGAGAAGAGGAGTCACAGGTGCGAGAAGAGTCACAGGTGCGAGAAGAGGAGTCACAGGTGCGAGAAGAGGAGTCACAGGTGCGAGAAGAGGAGTCACAGGTGCGAGAAGAGGAGTCACAGGTGCGAGAAGAGGAGCCATAGGTGCGAGAAGAGGAGCCATAGGTGCGCAACTGACGGCGGAAGGGGCAGGGGCGGCAGTAGGGGCGCAACTGGGCGGCAGTAGGGCACAACTGGGCGGCAGTAGGGGCGCAACTGGGCGGCAGTAGGGCGCAACTGGGCGGCAGTAGGGCACAACTGGGCGGCAGTAGGGCACAACTGGGCGGCAGTAGGGGCACAACTGGGCGGCAGTAGGGGCACAACTGGGCGGCAGTAGGGGCACAACTGGGCGGCAGTAGGGGCACAACTGGGCGGCAGTAGGGGCACGACTGGCCGGCAGTGAGGCACACAAGGGGGGGATGAGCGGGGGAGGCTGGGTGGGGGGGAGAACGTACCGAATTTGAGGGTGTTGTAGAACTTGGTGCATTCCGCGGGGTCCTGCGGCGTCTGATCCTGCAGGGCTGGGTTGGTAGATGCGTTGAGACAGTTGGTGTAATACCTGCAATGGGGGGATGGGCGAGAGCAGGGGGGCAGGGAGCGAGGGGAGGGCGAGAGGGAGAGCAGGGTTGGGGAAAGGGTGGGAGGGGAGGAGTAGAAGCAGAAGGGAGGGAGGGAGTACAGCGGAGGTTATGGCGATGGCTGCTGGGAGGGCTACGGAAAAATCGAGGGAATTTTGCAAGTCGATGGAGAGGGGGTAAAGCGAGGGCAGGCGATGGCAAGGGGGGGCAGGAAATGGCAGCAAGGGGGGGCAGGGGACTGACTTGAAGTCGATGTTGCGGCCGGCAGGCACTGCCGGTACCGTGCCGTTGAGAAAGTTGGAACTCACGTCCCTGCTCGCCGAGGGGACAGGGGGATGGTGACAGGGGGATGGTGACAGGGGGGAGTGGGCGGAGATGGGAGGAGCCGTAAGCGGGGAGTTGAGAAGGGAGAGGAAATAAAGGCGGACGAGGCGAGAGGGCACAGACGAGGCCATGTGGGAGGGATGGGGAACCAGCAGGCAGGGTGTAGGGGGGTGTTGGGGGGTGTAGGGGGGTGTTGGGGGGTTGTGGGAGGGCGGTAAAAGCAAAAGGCGCGGAGCGGGGAGACGGGTGGAGAAGGGCGGCGAAGGGCGGAAACGGGGGGAAGAAAGGGGGAGGTGCGGGTGGGCGGGGCAGGAGACTCACAGTGCGGTGAGCGTGCGGGGCGCAAAGAGCTCCTTGGCGGGCGGCAGTGGACCCCACAGCTCGTTGTTGTACAGCACACTGCGCGGAAGCAGAGAGGGGGAAAGTGCGGGGAAGGAAAGGGGGAGAAGCAAAAGGGGGGAGAGGAGGGGGAGATGAGACGAGCGAGGTAGCGAGCGTAGCAGCAAGAGGGGACGAGCAGCAGCAGGTGAATGCGAAGCGAGATGAAGAAGAGATGAATTGGAAGGAAAACTGGTGGCTGCGGCAACAGCAAGGCAGCGAGAGTAGCAGCAGCAGACAGAAAGCGAGGAGAGGGGAGGTGGGGACTCGGGCAGGAAGACAACCAGGGAAGGGGAGGTGTTGTGGGGGGGAGATGGGGGTGGTGTTGGTGCAACGGCTGAATAGCGCACTCACATGTCGGAGATGTTTTTTAGCTTGAGCAGGAAGGACGGGAAGCGGCTCTGGATGCGCGCGGCGGGCGCCACGAAGTGCTGCAGCGACGTCATGCCCGCCCACGAGTCGGGGAACGAGCCGTTCAGATTCAGCTTCTGCAGATTGCTGCAGCGGCAAGCGCGGGAAGGGGGAAAGCGCGGGAACAGGAAGCGGGGAAGACGGAGGGGGGAAAGAGTTAGGACAGCGAGGAGCGAGAAAAAATGGACATGGACAAACGATGAGTCAACGGAAGGTGAAGGGGAGGGGAATTTGGAAATACGGCATGAGAGGGACAAGGCGACGGTCAAAGCAGCACACAGGAGGAGATTGATAAGCAGGCATGGTAAGACTGATAAGCTGATAAGCACTCACAGCAGCTCTAGCTTCTGTAGTTTGCCCCAGCTTTCCGGCAGCGTGCCTTGAAACGAGTTCCCGCCAATGTCCCTGCGATGCGAGCGTACCACACGAAGTCCCCGATATGAATCACCAGCAAAAAGCTTAGATTTCGTAAGTGAGCATGCACAATACTCAGACAGTTAAATACCACACGAGAGATAGAGCGCATTGAGGAGAAATTGCTCAATAACGACCTCGAGATTGACGAGAGGACGAAAGGTCGAGTCGCGAGTGCGTACAGTTTTTTTAATTGAGTCAAGTCGCCGAGCTCGGGAGGCAGAACGTCGGCCATCTGGTTTTGCGAAAGCGCGAGCCACGTCAGATTGGCCAGCGTGGCGATGCCACGTGGAATTGACCCCGTGATTTGGTTTAGACTCACGTCGCTGCGAGGGGGAGGGGGAAGGGAGAGGCGAAGGGAGCGGGGGTGGGGGAAGAGGGGAAACGGTGAAGGCGGGGTTACGGCGGGGATTGCGCATGATAGGCCGTCATAGACCACACGATCCATCACAATCAACGGCGGCGGCGAACAGCAGCAGAATCACAAAAAAACGGTGGCAGCGCCCGGAACGCGACGGCAGCGGCGGAAGCGGAGCGCGGCGGCGAGCGTACATTTTCTGCAGGCTCTTGAGCGCCGATACCTCCTCGGGCATGGGACCCACGAACCGGTTGCCCTCGAACATGCTGCTCGCACCGCACCGCACCGTACCGTACCACGTCGCATGCACAACCACACGGAGGGAAAGGCAGATGATAGGGTTAGATAAGAGACGGATGGGCAGACGAACAAGGATTCGACTAACAACAATGAAGGGCGAGGAGTCGGCGCGGAGAACTATCGGGATTAACAAAACCATTCCACCAGCAACGGAAGCTTCTCAATGCCTTCGCGCCCGAACGGCACAAACAAACGAGACTAGCGAACGACGCGAGGGCAGCAAATGACGGAATAAAATGGCGGCGCGGCTCACATTTCCTTGAGCTTGGAGAACTTGGAGATTATCGGCGGCAGCACGGGACCGTAGACGTCGTTGCCCTGCAGATTAATGAGCACGAGGTTCTCCAGTGCCGTCATCTTGGCCCACGGGATCTGCCCCTTCAGCGCGCCAGGCGACCGCCCCTTGCCGTACGACGGGTCCTTGCCCACCATCATGGGGTTGCCTATGTCGCTGCGCGCGCGCGGAGAAGAGAGGGAACGGTGGGCAGGGAGGGGAGAAGTTGAGAGAGTGGGGGGGAGTGGGGGTGGGGGGTGGGGGGGTAAGGGGGGGGAAGTGGGGGAACGGGGGGAACGTGGAGGGAGGAGGAAAGGGGAAAGCTCAAGGGCGGGGAGAGGCAAGTGCATAGAGCGACTTGGGGGCGGCGGGAGTGGAGGGCGAACACGTTGGGGACGGCTTACATGGCGTTAACGCGGCCTTCGCCGTCGCAGGTGATCCACTTCCAGAACTGCACGCAGGGCTTGGACGTGTTGTACTGCATGCCCAGCGATACGTTCGCCCACGACCCCCACTTGAAGAACACCGGGTGGTTGTCGAAGGCTTTCGCAAATGCCAACAGTGCCGCCTCTGCGCAAGCGACGGCCATGGATAGATGACGGTCAGAAGCGAAGAGGCTGTTAGTTTTGCGGAACGGCAATGAAACTGGTTGTTGCCGTTTCGATATGCGGAAACAGGCGCACGAAAAAGGAGCAAGCGGCAGAGAGGTGATTTTTATTGGTGCCGTGAAACGGCAATGCGAGAAGCAATGTTCGTACTTTCGGCCAAGGCGACGGAATCAGGAGTGGAAAATCCTGGAATCGGGGTGATTTCATTTGCGGGATCCCCTGGTGGTAGGGTGGGCGGTGGTTGCGATTGTGCGGAGACCGTTGTTAGTGATATTACTACTACTAGAACTGCTAATAGTGACGGCCAACACAGCCGGAAACCCATGCTGAGCCAATCTAGAAATGCGTGGCGGTTGTCAGTAAGACGAACGTAGAATCGTCTCAAAACTATACTGTCCTCTAGAACTGTGTTGTAGACTTCAAACGCCCGTCCTCAAATCGCGAGGTCAGTAGACTAGGCGGACTACCTTATTAGCATAACATTCACGGGAGCACGAAAGAGAAGTGTTTCGTTGACGAAAGCTGGTGGGGCTTGAGAGGAGACGCAGGTTGGTGGGTGGGTGAAAAAATCAATCCCAGCTGAGAGCCATGCTGAGGGTTTTTGTGCATTCTCCTGTACACCGAGATTGAGGGGAGTGCAAGCCGGGGTGGGGGACCTGGGGGGATAAAAGAAAGGGGAAATGCGCTTCTCCCTCCCCTTCCTCCCCCTTCTCTTGCCCCCACGACTCAGGCCACACCAAACCACTGTAACGGCAACAGCAGCTGTCTTTCCGCGCGTAACCTCCATGTTCTGGTAGGTTGTGGGATGCGCGCATTGATCATCCGCGTGCCATCTGAAACACCTGTGGTCTGAGTGGGAAACCGCTTTCTGTCCACCGAAACCGAGAATGAGTGCTGCACTTTATCTATTTTTGCTTCAATTTCGAATTTAGTGCGGCAACCCAGCCGAACATTTGGTTTAGTACAAATAACTACCACGGAGACCACCAAGCTCGCTGCTTGGTGTTGATGCCCCCTTCCCATCCAGCACAACCAGCACCTCGGCTTTTAAAATTTGAAAAAGGTCCTAACAGTACATTCTTACAGTTTCTTCCCGGTCGCATGAAATGTTTCCCCCCAGCCCGCTTTGAAGTGCAAACCAGGGGGTTACTGCCAACTGGCACATGTCTACAGAGCTGCTCCCTACAGTGCTGCCTGAGGTTCGCTTCTGGTCCCCTGCCGTAGGAGTCTCGAACTGAAAAAAGGCCCTGTCTGCTGAGGTAGGTAAGCGGGACAAGAATTGCGGCCCCGCCCAAACCAACGCCGTTTCTCATTTGGTGAGCTCGCCTGCCTGACGTGTGCACCACCAGCGCACTTCTCTCACCATTGCTGCCATCTCAGGCATTTTCCCAGGCTCCGTAGAAAGAAACCAGAGGTCACTTTGCACATAATGCGCTGTGTTGGAAACACGCCCTTGCAGCCGTACATCTCGTCGTTTAGACCGGTATCCACCTGAAGCACAAGTGGTCAGTCTCGACAAAATCATCGCACTGTGTGCATGTCATCTCATCACTCACGCCATCCGAGGCGCGGGGACAAGAACATCAGAAACGACAACACCATTTGGCACGTGTCACACATGTCGCTCCAGTCAGCACTTGACATGCGCTTGAAGCGGGTTCGTTACGCATAATCCAAAAATGGTACAATCATTCGAAAATTGTTTTGGAGCTTATAGTTTCTACTCTTGTAGGGGGGTTTCCCTGCTAGCTCATCACAATCAATTCAATGCATCGAGGAATTTAAAATTTCAAGCACACACTATTTCGGAACAATCTGACATAGCAGTTAATATAACATACAATTTATGCAAGGCAAACTACCAAAACCAGTCCATATCTCCAGACTTCTCATCATCGGCCCAAGCTCCCCACCGCCCCTTAGATGTCAAGGCTGAGCCAACATCCTCCCTTCTACCCTCCATTCCAACCGCTCTACACTCTACACCACATCCTCCTCCACCACCGGGTACACCTTGAGCCTGCAGCCCAGACAGCTGCTGCAGGCCCCCATGCACACCTTCTACTCCACTCACACTCCCCACACCACCATCCTCCCTAGCCGAAGACGGGGCAAGCAGGCTGCGGCGGCGTGAGGCAACACCGCTTTCCCTGGTGCCGTTGGTGTAAGAACCGCTCTCCTGCGACACACTCCTCGGCACTCCAGCCGAACTTGGGACCTCCAGAGACGAAGAGCGTGGCACGATGCGCGTAGATGGAGATGAAGAGAGACGGGAGGAGGGAGAAGATGTGTAGCTGTCATGGGACGCCGAGGGGCGGAGAGACGACGGGCGCGAGGAAGACGAGAAGAACCGCGGCGAGCCAATCAGGGGCTCTACTCCCCCTCCTCCTCCCCTCCCACCACCACCACCAGCAGTGACACCATCAGTGCCATCTTCACGAGACGAGGCACACTCTGCAGATGCGGAGGCGAACAGAGAGCCGTGGGAGCGGCGAGGGGAGCTGACTGCCTCAAGGGCCTTCTTGGCAGCACCAACCACTCCCCGGTGACTCAGGGCACTGAACAGCCGCCGCCCAGGCGTGGATGCCTCTCCTCCGCAGGGCTGTGAGCCAGCAGATAAACCGTTGGGGTCGGGGGCGGTGCAGAGCGGTGCTGGGATGCTGTTGAGGTCGTGCTCTGGCTCTGAGCGCTGCTTGCGAAGCCGGCGGGCGTCATCGGAGGAGGAGGAGCGTGCGATGAGGGAGGGAGTGCGGGAGGGCGGACGAGAGAGGGGTTGAGAAGGAATGGAGATGATAGCGGGAGAGGCGGGGCTGGTCTCGCTTGGTGGTTCCGAGTCGTCAACATTGAGAGGTGACAGCGATAGCTTTAGCCTTCCCCGAATGCTGTTGCTTCTTGTGACAGTGCTGTTGCTGTTTTCAAGACTGCTGCCTGTGCCGCTGTCAGTGCAAGAGACAGAGCGAGCATTCAAGTCCTTAGTCTCCTTGTCTTCCCTCACAGGAGATCCCAGCCAGAAAAATTCCTCCTCTTGCTCCTTTTCCTCCTTCCCTCTCTCCTGTTGCACCCCCACTCCGCTCCCCCCTCTCTCCTCCGCAAACCGACTAGCAGCCACCCGACGATCCTCACTCCAGTCCTCCGCTTCACCACTCTCGAGCCTGCTTGACCTCCTAGGTTCTCTCTTTGAAGGAGACGAAAGCGAAAAGCTCACTCTCCCGAAGCTCATCGCCTTGCTTAGGGCTGGGCCTTTCCGTTCCTTCTCCCTCTCCCGCACCTTCCCCTCATCATTGCCTTGACCATAACTAGAGGCAGCTGGGGCGGCAGGGGACTGTGATCGCCCCATGCTCAGGCTCATGCGCAGCGATCTGCCAGCATGGCTATCGCTCCTAACGCTCCGCTCACCCCGCCACCCTCCCTCCCTGTTTCCTCCTCCCTCACTTTCCATTCCTTCTCCCCCGTCCCCCGCCCAGACCCCGCCCACCCACTTCCCGAACGCCCGCTTCTTGCCCTCCTCCGCGCCTCTCCCCGCCCTCTCCCTCTCGCGCTCCCTCTCCCTCTCCCTCGCTACCTGAACCGCTTGCTCCACCTGCTGCTGCTCCCGCTGCTGCAGGCGCTGCTGCTGCGCGGCCCACCGCTGCTTCACGCGCTCCCACGACTCCTCGTCCTCGTCCTCGTCCGATATCGCGTCCGCATCCATCTCGCGCCCTCCGCGCGCCAGGTGGCACGATCTCCGCGCCGCAAGCCTCTCACGAACGTCCGAGATATGCCGTGCGACTGTCGCGCTCTCCCCATCCCTGCCATCCCCGATATACGCGTCCTCATCATCGTCGTCGTCGTCTTCAAATTCGTCCTCCAGTTCCTCGAGAGGCGCGATTGGGAATGTGATGTCGTCGGCTTCTGCTTCACTGTAGGCATCCTCGTTAGGAGCATCCTCGTCGTCGGGATCTTCTTTTAGAGCTAATGCCAATCCTTCTTCGTCTATCTCCAACCCATTTTCCTCCTCTTCTTCCTCCTCCTGCTCGTCCTCCTCTTCCCCCTCTTGATTCTCAACCTTGTCGCATCGCGATCTGCTTCTACAACGAACGGACTCTAACGAGTCCTGAAATTGTACCGATTTCATTGAACCTGTGCTGCTGACACGTGGCACGGGCGGCTTGCGCGCAGAGTGATAGCCCCCGGTACGCGTCCGAGAGCCGCTTCCCCCGTAGCTGTTTCCGCGGGAGGGGCGAGGGGGGCGGGAGAGAGCGCGAGGGGGAGTGGTCGACCCGGAGGGCGCGCCAAACGCGGAAAACATTGCGCTCCGCTGCGCGTGGCTTCCCCTCGTTGCTGCTCCTCCAATGCCGTTTTTCAAGCCCTGCTGCTGCGACTCGCTCTCCCTCGACCAATCGCTATTCGTCTCGCTTCCCGCCTGCCAGTCCGACCCTGGCGAAGTAATCTGTTCCTGCGGTGACGTGGAATGGGGCTCTGCTGACGTGGAAGAACTCTCGAGAGAGTTGTCGCAGGACTCGCCACCTATGCGACTCGAGTCCCCAATCCCGTCGCCAAGGCTGTCGCATTCTGAGGCTCTAATGTCTTGGTATTTCCAAGGGATGCCATTAATCTCTCGACGTTCGACAGTTACTCCCATTAGAGCGGTTTCGGCAGCCCCTTTACCCGTCGTTTCTTGAAGCGCGGCCTTGGGCCGTTCTTCTATTATCACCTCCACGCGTCGCACCCGGAAACCGCTGGCCGCTCCCGCCGCCGGCGCCGATGACTGCGGCGGCGCTGGCGACAAGTCGCCGAGGAGGAATGCTGGCGACGGTCCATCGCCTGCGACGCTCTCTTTGTTGCCTGCGACAGCCAGAGAGAGAGCAACGCGCGTGCCGACAAGATCGCCAGCTCTGTCGCTTTTCAGCAGCTTGAAGTGAATTCGCACCGAAGCGCGACTGTTCTTCGTCACCGCCTCTACGGCTCTCGACCAATCAGCTTCATAGAGTCCATCCGCCAAATCGTACAAGCTTTTCCCGCCAAAATCTTCAGGGCTGGTGTAACCCAAGTCGCGCAACAACCCCTGGCTGACGTGTGCAATGCGGCCTGAACGCGCTTCCAATAACAGCTTCGGCTGCTCTGAACCTTCAACCGCCGACGCTACCCTTGCTGAGGCAGTAGCCTGAGGAGCTTCCCAACCGCCGCTGCCGGCTTCACCCGAGCCTGTGCGTGCTGCTTCGGAATGCAGCCCGGCAGGTTCGGCTGCAGACGTAGCATTTGCGGATAACCCGGAGGCTGAAAGTGCAGAGACGTTCGATTTGACGTCGTTTTTGTCGTTTCCGCGCGAAAATGAGGAGGAGCGGGGAATGCCGCCTCGTGGCGAGAGGAGACGGGAGAGCGAAAATGCTCGGTCGGAAGGTTCGAGGGAAGATGCGTCGGCGAGTCGAGCATTGGTGATGGACTTTCGCAGATCGAGGGCCATGGCGGAGAGAAGGAAATAGAGGAGGAAGAGTTGGCTGCGGGATGAAAATATGTCACACTCGAATATCACGAACGGAGGAGAATCCTACAACGTGGTAATGGAGTAAACAACCGTGTCGTTATATTATTTGACTGCAAACATGGCTGTCAATGACCGGCATGGTAATCACTGAAAGTAACAAGAAGCTAGGTGTAGAACGAAGAAAAAAGAGTTACGGTGTTAGTGGGGGGATTGCATTGAAAGAGCGGAGTAAGTTGGGCGGACAACACGATGTGGTGGATGGCGGCTGGAAAAATGGGATGGAGATGAAGTCTGTAACCGTGAAACAAAGCCGAGTGTTTGGGGGAATGTTGTTGTTACGCAGACAAGCACGATGTCGGATTGGGCTGTTGTAACACGGCCTCCTAGGCATGGCGGTTGGATAGAGCCACGAGCAGTTAGGATGGAGAACAGTGTACAGAAAGAAAGGACTTCGTAGGGGTTGTTGCGTGATGTCAACTGAGGCGCTGCTTGCAGTGCACGCCTTGGATGGAGGGGATGGGATGGGATGGGATTGTGGGAGGGAAGGGAAGGGAAGGGAAGGGAGAAATGCAAGATGCTAGGGGAATCCAGTGCCAAGGGCGGTGAATGGCGGACAGACCCCCATCAGCAGCAGAGAAGGGTGAGTGGACAGGTACAACGGGTTCAAGAACGTCTTAGCGCGGTAAAGAAGTGTTTCCCAGTCCAAGCTGTGAGACAGGTGACCAGATAGGGACAAACATTCAATTTGTGGGGTGTATTCACATCGAGCCGCCTTGACATTGGTTTGGCAGAGCAGTGATTGGGGGGATGGTCGGTTGGTGGGGTGACTGGTGGAGCGGGGCAGGCTGGGACGAGGCATTGCGCCGCACAATTGCACTGATGCGGCGAGCAACTCAGGGCGCGTTCCTGACGCGGGTCAAACTTCCGGTCTTCCCGGGAAGACCCAAAGGTTTAGGTCAAACTTCCTGTCAAACTTCGAGTCTTTCAGAAACAGGGGCGATTTTTAGCTGGAAGACCCGAAGTTGGTCTCGCATGACCCGAAGTGGGGCCAGCTTCGTGTATCCCTGGAAGACCGGAAGTTTGACACGCGCCAGGAACGCGCCCTCAGGAAGGCCTGAAAATTCCTGCCCGAATTAGTCCGCAAAGTTTCGAAGTTCACAGAAGAACATCAGATTCTGGTGGGGCCGGGCTGTTCGTTGTGAATGTTTTGTTGTGTGGGCAATGCTGCTTGTAGAACCCGGACTGAGGCTAATGTTGCCAGGGTAAATGCTGCTGGAAAACAAGTTCATCAAATATGTACTGTACGTGGCCAAGAAACGAATGGTCGTTCCGCCAATCACGATGAGTTGTCATCATGAGCACAAACGACGCACACAACAGACCACCACATTTGCTCATCTCGTCCCCATCGCAGGCGCGGAGCGCACCACATTTGCTCATATCGAATCATAACGTGATACAGCTTCTCGACCATGCACTGCAATTTCGACCAGCCATAAAGTCCATTTCATCTGCATCTGGACTTGGAATAGGCGGCTTGCTGCTGCTCCACTAGGCTAATTTTTACCTATGTCGGGCACAAAAGCTCTTCACCATACCAATTGAGAAGTATTCCCACCTAAATGTGAATTCTCGAACTGCATGAATCAAATCATGCTGTGCAGCCAATATTGTGCACAACCCCTCACCACGTTCCTACAGCGCCGTAACTAAAATCAGACTCACCGCTCTCTCCTTCCCAAGACCCTTTCCCCACATCCCCACTTTCATCATCATCATCCCCTAGCTTCTTGCTGGAGCCCTCTTCTGCCCCCTCCATTGTCACATCTTCATCCGACCCAGAACCTCCCTCCTCCCTCCGTCCAGGAGTCGTGCAAACGACAACATCAACTGCCATTTCCCCTCCCTCCATATCAACCGCTGCATCCCCTCCTTCTCCACCATCCCTTCCCATCAACCCTACACCCATGCCCACATCTACAGAACCTATAGCATCTACAGCATCTACAGCTTCTAGGGTAGCCTCAACCCCATGCTCCATAACCCCATCTAGAATTTCCCGCCCCTCCTCAACATGCCCAGTAGCTTCCCACGGTCTTTCTGCCCCTCCACCATCAGTTCTCCCCATCCCTAACCCGCCCACTCCTGTCATGTCCACTCCACCCGGTGCTGACGAAACCGGACCCGCTGCATTACCGGACAAACTACTCCGCCCCTTGCCGCGCACTGCCAACCCCATCTCCCGCTTTATAGCACCCCAGTGCCCGTCAATATTCCCTGAGAAGCTTCTCGCAAGCTTCCCCACCCCCCTGGTAGCCTTCTCCACGTTCCTCACCGGCTTCTCTAGCATATTAGCCATGCGGGGCGTGGGAGGTAGAACTCGGGAAGGCCTATCTGGGGCAGGCGGCGGCACCCCTCCTGTCGACACAGAAGCCGCCGCCGCCGATACCTTATCAGCAGCCGGCCCTAACCCCGACCCCTTGGAGCTAAATGACCTTCGTAACAGCTGCCCGCGGGGCGACGACGATTCCCCACTAGAGCCGCCCCCAGAGCCCCCGCCAGGTGTTACCACCTTGAGCCCTGTGCCAAACTTGTGCAGCAGCTTCTTAGCACCTCGGGGACCAGAAGCACCAGATGAACCGGCCCTTTGCTGGCCTTCCACGCTTGGGCCTGACCCCACGCCTTCCTCTGCACCTCGTAGCTCCATCTCCCCTGCCCCAACCTCATCCTCTCCCTCACCCTCCCTCCCTTCCGCCACATCCCTCCCGTCCAGACTCCCTCTCCCTCCAACACCCCCCGCTGCTCCTGTTTCCTCTGCTGCAATCTTCCGCCGCTCCGCATCCCAGTCCCGCCCAAACGCCGGCCCGCCTTCCGACAAGTTCCTTCTGAAAAACATCTTCGTGGGGACTCCGATCCGGGAAGCCCGGCGCTCCTTAGCCGTAGGATCAGACTGAGGCGCGTTTTTGCCGCTCCGGAAGAACCCAGGGGAGGGAGGCACGTCTCTTCCCACAGGGCCGTCATGAGAAGCCATTCTCGTGTGGTGTGGCGCTGGTTTTGGGTCTCTCCTCTTCCTCCACCGCTCGGCTGCTGCGGCTGAGACCTGCAGAGGGCCGCTGGCTACCCGTCGGCTGAGCTCCTTGGGGTCTACTGTGCCGGCTAGCCCGCTGCTGGGATGCACGGGGCTGTCACTGGCGATTCTAGGCAGGTGCGAAAGGGAGAGGCTGTGGCTTTCGTCCTGTGAGAGTTGACTTGCTTGACTCAGTTGACTGTCCTGTGGCGACCAGCACGGTAGGGAACTACTGGAAGCATCAAAAGGGCTGCCGCTGCTGATGCTGCTCCGGTTAAAGACTTCCCCTGCCTCCCCTGCTGCCATGCCCGTGTCCTCTGCCTCTCCTACCCCGTCCCCGTCCCTTCTCCCTTCGCTCCCATTCACCTGCCCTGCTGCTGCCCCTCTCCCTTCCCCTCCATTCCCCTCTGCCTCCCCGTCTTCCCCCATCACCACGTCCCCCTCCTCCCCTCCCCGCGCATCTAACTCCGCCTCCTCCCCCTCTCCCCCCATCCGCGCCAGCAGCTCATCCTTATCCGCGCCTACCCCCTCACCCTCCTCCGCCTCCCCCGCCCCCTCCCCCGCCTCCCCCCCTTCCCCGCCACCCCCTTGTCTCTCCTTACTTCTCTGCCGGGGTTCCTCGAAAATCTCAATAGTGGGCGGCTGGGTGCAGTAAACAAAGGCTTTAAGCGCCGCACTGCCGCCCTCCCTTAGAGGCTCCTGCTGCTTCCTCTCAATGAGCACTCGCAGTAAGTCCATCACCTTCACTGCGTGTCTCAGGCCCATGATAGGGTCGAGCACCTGGTGATTTGAGGATGGGAAGAAAGGACTCCTTAAAGGACCTGAAGGAGCAACTAATGGTGCTACTATCTTTTAACGAGCCCTCGCAGCAGGTTCATCACCTTCACTGCGTGTATCAACTACCATGATGGGGTTCAGAACCTGGTGACGATCAGATCACCTGGTGATTAATTTACTATGTAATTACAACGAGTGAATTCAACCCACCTGAGTCATGTTGGGCGCGAACACCATCGCGATGTTCCGAGCGTTCATCTTGTTGCGCTCCTCGAATTGCACCACGTCCGCCATGAGTCCCACCACCCAGTCCAGCAGCATGCTCTGCGTCTCTGGCAGCTCCGCCACGAGCGCCAGCATCTGCTCCTCCGTCTCGCACGCCGCCACCACCTCCACTGGCAAGGAATCCAACAGCCCTTGTGGTAGCTCGCGGAACCACGCCTGGGGAGGGGAGGGGGTGAGAGGGGGGGAGGGGAGGGGGAGGAGGAAGGAAAGAAGAGGGGCAGGTAAGCCAGGGGCATGCTCTGCGTCTCGGGCAGCTCCGCCTCGAGCGCCAGCATCTACTCCTCCGTCTCGCACGCCGCCACCACCTCTACCAGTGACGAGTCCAGTAGCCCCTGCGGTAACTCGCGGAACCACGCCTGACGCGAGGGCGGGGCGGGGAGGGGGAAAAGAGATTGGTGAGGCTGGCAGCGTGCTGTGCGTGTCTACAAATGGACGCACGTAAGGCTACGTTTAAGGCGCCTCTAACATCGTCTCCGCGGGACTGCACCAACAGCGCCCTACAGCCTACATACGGAGGCACAAGGGGCCCGTTCTGGGCTGCTGGCCTTGACCCGGGATGCTACGTTTTGCCATACCCTAATGGACTAGCATGCAACTTAATATGGAACGAACCTTTCCCCAGCGCTCTTGCAGTACTAAGCCTCTCACCTTAATCAACCCCGCGAGCGCGTGCACGTTGATGCTCTGCGGCACGAGCCCCATGTTGACCTGGTCCCTGATCTCGTCCTCGTGGTCGTTCTCCGCCGCCACGCGGAATATGCCCTCCGTCTGTGCGAGAGGTGCAGAGATGGGGTGGGAGAGCGGTGGAGGGGGAAAGGGACAGAGGAGGTGGGGAAAGCAGAGGAGGGGGTGCTTGAGACTAACCCCTGATCTCATCCTCATGGTCGTTCTCCGCCGCCACACGGAATATGCCCTCCGTCTGTGCGAGAGGTGCAGAGATGGGGTGAGAGAGCGGTGGAGGGGGAAAGGGACAGAGGAGGTGGGGAAAGCAGAGGAGGGGGTGCTTGAGACTAACCCCTCATCTCATCCTCATGGTCGTTCTCCGCCGCCACGCGGAATATGCCCTCCGTCTGTGCGAGAGGTGCAGAGATGGGGTGAGAGTGAGGTGGAGGTGGGGGGGTTGGAGGGGAGGTGGGGAAGGATGAGGAGGGAGGAACATAAAGACTGCCGGAGATGGAGTGGGGGGGAGGAAGCGGGGGGGGCCCGGAAAGAGAGGGAGAGGGGGGGGCGAAGAAGAGGCGGGAGGGAGGGAAAGAGGCGCACCTCCAGTCCCTTCTTGACGTATAACAGCGCCTGCAGCTGCAGCAGGATGTTGAGAATGCTGTTGCCGAACTCGTTGAGAGCAGAAAAGAAGGGAAGATGGGGAAGGCTGCGGGGGAGGGGGAAGAGGCGTACCTGTAACCCCTTTTTGACGTTTAACAGCGCCTGCAGCTGCAGCAGGATGTTGACAATGCTGTTGCCGAACTCGTTGAGAGCAGAAAAGAAGGGAAGATGGGGAAGGCTGCGGGGAAGGGGGAAGAGGCGTACCTGTAACCCCTTTTTGACGTTTAACAGCCCTTGCAGCTGCAGCAGGATGTTGGGAATGCTGTTGCCGAACTCGTTGAGAGAAGAAAAGAAGGGAAGATGGGGAAGGCTGCGGGGGAGGGGGAAGAGGCGTACCTGTAACCCCTTTTTGACGTATAACAGCGCCTGCAGCTGCAGCAGGATGTTGGGCACGCTGTTGCCGAACTCGTCCTGTGAGCACTGCAGCAGCTCCGGCTGCACGCCGAACACAGACCGACTGGGGGGAGGGCGGGAGGCGAGGGGGAGGAGGACACGGGAAGGGGGCAGGGGGGAGATGCGAGTGGGTGGGGGGGAGAGAGGGATGAGGGCGGGGGGAAACGAGGGAGTGGAAAAAAAAAAAAAAAAAAAAAAAAAAAAAACAAGGTTGCGCAATGGCGGAGTCTCAAGGGGCGTATTGAACGACCTTCTACCGCTCCGTCGCGCCAACAGTCTCCATCCCCACTGCCCGCTCCTGGCTGCACGCACTAGACGCGCGAACCACGACCACAGCCTACCCTTACGGCGCATCAAGAATAGACTGCCCGCACACTCTAACGGGCACTGACACGCACTGATTACACGCACTAGCACCCACAAGCAGCGACGGCAGCTCACCCCGCACTGGGCGCGCGGCACGGCAGCTCGCCCTCGATGTCTTCTGGGAGACCCAGGAAGCCCTTAAATCGGTCGAACGTGACGTGCGCCACGTGTTTCACGTCCGTTGGCTCGCCGATCTCCAGCGGGTGGCCTTCCTCGTCATCGTCTGAGCGCATACGGCGGGCGTGAAAAGGGGTGGAGATTAACATAACGGAAAAAAAAAAAAAGAGGCACTGCCACGTGATTCATGTTAAATGGCTCAACGATTTCCATGGGAAGGAGCTGTCGTTATTATTTGAGGGGAGAACGGCGGTGCGGAAAGCGACGGCAGACGGCAGGAAGATGGAGAGTGTTTGAAAACGGTCAAACACCGCGTGCGCCACGTGCTTCGCGCCCGCCGGCTCGTCATCGTGCGAGGGGAGACGGTGGACGGTAAACAGACGGCGGACGAGAAACAGCCAGCGGACGGCAGCCAGCAGCAGGCAGATGGCAGGTGAACGGCAAACAGACGACGGGCAGCAAACAGACCGCAACGTCAACAGTGGAAGGGATAAACGACGGAACAAAAAAAAAATGGCGCTTAGAGATGGATTGCAACAACAGAAATGACGACGCAAGACACGTTAATGGGTAAGTAGGGTATGTCAACTGTTTGGCAGCATGTTCGCTCGACGGTGAGCACACGCATCGGCGACACTAGTGCACAGGCCAGTTTCACGCATCGTTAAGATGCTGTGGAAATTTATTACCGAATTTTAGAAGCACAGATCAGCGAGCGGTAAATGGTCGCAAGATAGACTTGCCAACCAGTTAGTAGTCATTGGAAACCAGAAAAACGAGGCGAAGAAGTCCGATAATTATGCATTGGTAAAAATGCTCATCGTGAGGTGCAATAAGAAACGCCACGGAGGCCGGCTCATACGAGTGACCCATGACGGTGGAGACCCAGTCTACAGACATGTCGCGACCTACGCTGTTCATCTGCACGGATGCTCTGTACTGTGCTGCAGGGATTGGAATAACGATCTGCACGAGCTTAGGAGGGCTACATTCGATAGAGATTGTACCATTGGCCTGATGCTACGATTGGGTTGCCTGACGCGGTAAGATCAGTGAAATAGGGAGCTTGGAGAACATACCGTGGCACTAGGAAGGAAAAGGGTATTAAAAATAATGAAGCCGAAACAGACAGCCTCTAAGGAGCCTCTTATACGACCAGTGAAGCTTCCTACCACTCTTCACTGTCTCATAAAGGACGCTCTCGAATAAGATTAATATGTTAAACGAGGTGTTCTAGGAGCTTAGACCAGCGACGCGTGGCGTTGCATCCTGGTCGAACCGTGGAGCAGCAGCACGACCACCACGTACCACGATCTCTCTGCTTGCCGATACGACCGAGAGTCTTCACTACGCCCTTAAAGCCGCCGTTTATAACGTCCATCTCAAGTACTGCTGGAAACCCTAACCGTCGACCTGGAAGAATAAATACTCCAGAGCCCAGACTGGGGGAAGACGACTACTGAGGAGCAGCCATAACTAGGTTTGGGAAGCGAGACGGAGTCGGTGGGGAGGAAATGGAGAGAGGGGAGAACATGGGGGAACTGGGGAGTGGAGGGATGGAGGAAAGGGAGGAAATTGAGGTAGGGGAGCAACGGAGGCAGAGAAGGAATCGAGGAAAAGAGGCATGGAGGAAAGGGAGGGATGGGGGAAGGAGACAACACGCACGAGGAGATTGGAACAGGTGGGGCCATGCAAAACTGAAAACGTTCTGAACGTTCGTTATGGTCACAGATGTTTGGCTTCCCGAAGCACGATCGTGGAGTTGCCAGAGTGATAGTAGCGAAGGGCTGTAGACTCGCTGTGCCGCGCGGGTTGCTTTGAATTCCGGCTGTCACCACTTGCAATTGGGGAAGGTCAACTTGCTGGTAAGGCGAGCATGTTGCTGTATACACAACACTCGTTAGAGAAAACAACCGGTAGTTCTAAAAAACAGTTCTTACAATATCAGGTAAACCAGTTGGCAAGTGCTTAGTTCAAATACTGTATCACAGGTTGTCCTGAACTCAGCGACATACTGACGGGGAGCACCCGGTGAGTGCAAGTTGTTACAGGTTCGAAGAGATTCTGTATTCAAATTTTCACCCTTATTTGATCCACCATAGCTTGCTAGCGCTGAGAGCCTACAAGAGATGCTGCAGCAGCAGCACGAGCACCAAACATCACTACGGAAAAACGCGGACCAAACACCTCCTCTTGGTACTTGAAGCTTCCTAAAGTTGAACCCAACTGTGGTGCTGTTCCTGGAGTACATCTCCAGCCAGGCATCTGATGTATGCAAAGTATGGCAACCCATGCACATATAATACAGCTTGGCATCATACTTCATTCTGTTCAACATAATCCATCCATCTCGGTTGTCATTCCTCCTTGGCACCTGCAAGGTAAAGACCACACTTATTCAGTTTCGTTTGCGGCTTGATGTAGATCCGCATCTGCAAAAGGTTGCGAACTAGGGATGGCTCACCTGCTTCAGCCAGCAGAGGAACCAACTTGCCCTGCATGTGCAAGGACACCGTTGCTGCACACAAGGACAAATGGCGTGACGGTGCAATGAAAATTGGTAGCAGCATCATTGTAACAGTGAGAGGCCATAAGAGCTTAATACCCTTCATAACATAAAACGCACACAGATTCGAGAATTTTGATCCATAGCAGGACTCACCATCACAACCGCCAATGTGATTTCCACCAATAAAGACGTTGGGAACAGTGCGCTGGCCAGTGAGGTCATACAGAGCTTGCTGAAGCTCGTCCTCCTCCACTGCACCCAAAAATATCAAGTTCAGTAGCTTTCCATCTTGAACGCAAGCACCAAAGAAGAGCAGACGCAGCTCATTCGACCAACAGCGACACTGTCCCGCACCCTTGCTTGTGTCGACTCACCTAATTCATCCAGCTCCACAACTAGCATCTTAGTGTGAAGCTTGGTGAGGAGACGTTTCACGTCCATGCAGTATCTACAGCAACATAAAGGAAGCAGGGCATTGACGCGGGAATTCATGATGCAGGATGCTGTGAAGGTTGCACATGAAAGCCCAACAAAACTTCATAGCTAACTGATCGGGAACCACTTGGTTCTTTCTGTGCTCAGCAAAACTCCTTGCGATAATCCGTGGGAGTGGTTACGCTGCTAGAAACAACTTGTCAGTGCTTTGTTCATTCGACTAGACAAAACTCGTTCCCAATTGCGTTTCTGAAACAAACTCAATTTCCCTCTCAAAAACTCACGGGCACCATGTTTTGGAGTAGACGACAACGGGATGTTCTCCGTTCTTCTGCTTCACCAGCTCCACCAATTGCTCGATCGACTTGGTGTCGCTGCGACCCATCGCTCGGGCGCCAGCTGCAGCCGAGAATCGCCTGCGAGCCTTGCTAGCGGTAGGGTCTGACAAGGCATGGCTGATCTGGCAGCCGCTGAAGAAAGCCAATTGGCTGCTGTGAGCTGTGAGAAGCGCGGTAGACACGAGTCTGCCGAAGGATCGGCCAGCTGACGATGTCTTTTGAAGTGACCTGACTGCCGCACGTGAAGGCAATGATGCGGCGACTGCTCCTGCTGCTACCGCTGCTGCTGCTACTGCGGCCATTGAGAAATCGAGAAAACGGATTGGTCGCACGAGAGGCAAGCGTAAAATTGCAGTAACAACTCGTCTCACTCGTCTGAATTGGACGATGAGCGATCAATAATGCCTAATCTGCAGCAGGACGCGTTGATCTTGGGAACTCGCAAAATTTGTGAAACTAATCCACACTCGAGTGAAGCGTCAGCCCAGTGAGGGTGTGAGTGGTCTCCTCATCAACCCAGACCTTGACATCCTCGTCCCGTCCACACACTCGACTGGATAGCTGGTGACACAACCAATGCCCCTGTCAGGTCACAGGAGCACGGAACGTTGGACAGCTGGCTTGCTTTTCCCACGAAAGACGTGGATTGGGCGAACTGTGCGATGGATTCACGAATTGTCGCTGCATATTTCCGAAGGGGTAGGAAAGGACCAGGGATTGTCTCTAGGAGTGAAGCCCTTATCCTCGATAACAGCGTTCTCATATGAACATGAGGAAAGAGCACTACACTTCGTACCAGGAGTACGTGGAGTTCTACACCTGTATTTTACACCTTCAGAGCCACGTCGACCACCTTCGTTCCGCCCCTCCTAAATTTAACCAATCAGCACTCTCCGCTCAGCCGTCACGTGGTGCCGAAAGTCGTTTTAAATCCCGACGTGCCAGGTCATCCCAAATCGTGGTCCACGCTCTACGAGCGAGCGTGATTGGACTGAAACGGTAGCTGGTTACCCACAATTGCGGCTCCTTCCGTCAACCCCCGTCCCCACAGTGTTCTGGAACGCCCCCGCTAAAACCCCTCCCCTACCAAATCCCAGATAAATACGCAGGGAATGTACCGCACTGTACTCACCAGATAAATATTTTCCATTTTCCATCCAGGGAAACCATCATCCACCTGAGATCCTTCCAGCAGGCCGACATTTTCTTCGTCCTCCAGATTCATTCTTCCCAGATTTTCTCGATTCTCCAGCCTGGTAGGCTGCTACGCCTCGTACCTCCTCCCTCCTCCGACCTTATTTCCTCCTTTCAGTCGATCCAGCCATGGCTTCCGCAATGACGCTCCGGTTCTCGGTCCAGAGCAGCGAGTTGCTAGGCAAGAGCCTGGTGAAGGCTTCCAGCCTGAAGCCTAAGGTACTGCTTAGTCACCTCGTGATCTCGTTCCCTTTCCCCTTATCTGATGTAATTTTCTTACCCCTTCCGTGTGCGTTATTTTTTGTGCCTTTTCCTTTGACAGAGCACAGCCAAGTGCAGCTCTCGCTCTCAAAACTGCCCCCGTCTCGTCGCAAAAGCCATGGCTTCTGGTGAGCGATCCACCGCTAGCAGCTCGTTTCTTGCCTTTTCACAGCAGCGTTTGATCTTGTTTTCTTCTTGGAATGAGACATTTGTCGTTGAAAGACCAAAAAAAAAAACAAAAAAAAAACGCAGAAGAGAAACATTCATGGACTGGAACATCCTTTCCGTATAAAGAACAGCAGCCACCTACTTCAGGAGCTCTCGATCGTACAATGCACTCATAAAACCTCGTTGTCCATTCCCCTTCGCACCAGCTGCTGAAACAGCGACCAAGTCAGAGGGCGGTCTCCGCGGCAACCTCAAGAAGGTTGTTCTCGCCTACAGCGGCGGACTGGACACATCCGTCATCGTGCCATGGCTGCGTGAGAACTACGGCTGCGAGGTGGTCTGCTTCTGCGCGGATGTGGGTCAGGGCGTGGGCGAGACCGACGGGCTGGATGCCAAGGCGAAGGCGAGCGGCGCTAGCCAGCTGTTCATTGGAGATCTCAAGGAGGAGTTTGTACGCGATTATGTCTTCCCCTGCATTCGCGCTGGTGCGGTGTACGAGCGCAAGTACCTGCTCGGGACGTCCATGGCTCGCCCTGTCATCGCCAAGGTGAGCTCTTTTCTTGCATTGTCTCGCCCTGGAAGCCAAGGTAGACTCACACGATTTCCCGTTACTGGAGTCCGCATCTGTCGTTTCTGTCTCCGGACGATTGCATGAAGCTTTCGACAAGTCGGGGCTGTGCTCTTCTCACGATCTGCTTGTCCAATCGAACACTGGAATTCTGCATCGTCGCTATTGAGTCATAAATTCACCCAGACATTCCTGATCCATGGCATGCCACCAACCTGTGGCCCGTGATCGGCCCTTGATCTCGAGCCAACTCGAATCCCTAGCAACATTCGCACTTCCGAACCTCCAATCTCCCCATCCTTGTTTTCTTCCTCCCCTTTCCCCACATGCCCCGCACCTCCGATGCCCCGCCACCCGTCCCGCCAGGCGATGGTGGACGTGGCGAAGCAGGTGGGGGCGGACGCGGTGGCGCACGGGTGCACGGGGAAGGGCAACGACCAGGTCCGGTTCGAGCTCACCTTCTTCTCGCTCGACCCCAAGCTGCAAGTCGTCGCGCCGTGGCGCGAGTGGGACATCCGCGGCCGCGAGGACGCCATCGAGTACGCCAAGAAGCACAACGTGCCCGTCCCCGTTACAAAGAAATCCATCTACAGCCGCGACCGCAACCTGTGGCACATCAGCCACGAGGTACGAGCAGTGCATCTGCAACCCCTGCCTTTCTGAGAGTGATTTCCCTCCCTGTGGCCTTGGCGTGGACAGTTTAAGGACGAAGTAAGATACGTAATGCAACGGTATGCGACAGTCACCTTGATGACCATGCTCCCTGAATAGCAATCTTGCCAGAATAACTGCCCCTTGCCACCGCCCCTTGCCTGCCCGGCCCACCTCGCCTCCCTTCTCCTGGCTCCGCATTTGGCGCATTATCCTCTCCTCTCTGCTGATATGTCTTCACGCTTTTGGCTCCATCCGAGCACAAGCTCCCGTTTCTCTCGTCACTCACCATTCCCAGCTCCATCCTCATTTCACCCGTTCTTCCCCGCTCTGATCGACATTCCCCCCTCAAACCCTTTCTGCATCTCCCAAATTGCCTCCCATCTGCCTCTCCAATCCCCCAGGGCGAAATTCTGGAGGGCCCGGCGAACGAGCCAGCCAAGGACATGTGCGTGATCTCAGTGGACCCTGAGGACGAGTTTTGAGTCATCTCAAATCTCTACCCCCCATTGCCTTCCCTCCCCCAGGGCGACATTCTGGAGGACCCAGCTAACGAGCCGGCCAAGGACATGTATGTGATCTCAGTGGACCCTGAGGACGCCCCCAACACGCCCGAGTACGTGGAGGTCGGCATCGAGAAGGGCATCCCCGTCTCCATCAACGGCCAGACGCTCTCCCCGGCCAACCTCCTCGCAGCAGCCAATGAGATCGGAGCGCGCCACGGCGTCGGCCGCATCGACATGGTCGAGAATCGCCTTGTCGGGATGAAATCCCGTGGCGTGTATGAAACCCCCGGAGGGACCATTCTTGCAACTGCGTGCCGGGAGCTGGAGGCGCTGGTTCTCGACAGGGAGACCATGCAGACTAAGGACCAGCTGGCTCTGAAATATGCCGAGCTTGTGTATGCCGGTCGGTGGTTCGACCCCCTGAGGGACGCCCTGGATGCATTCATGGTGTCTGTGAGCGAGAAGGTGACTGGGTCTGTGAAGCTCAAGTGCTACAAGGGGTCGGTGAATGTGGCCTCGCGTGTGTCACCGTTCTCGCTCTACAGGGAGGATATTTCGTCTTTTGAGGAGGGCAGTGGTGTGTACAACCAGGCTGATGCTGCTGGCTTTATCCGCCTGTATGGGCTGCCTACCCGCGTGCGTGCCATGCAGGAGCAAGGGTTGTAAGGTCACGGCTTAGGGGGTCTATTGTGTTACATTCTTCCATGTTGTAGACGACGCACGACCCTGCATGATGACAAGGCAGCTCATAGAAATCTACGAGTTTCGTATATGGTCCATCCATGCATTTTCAAACCACATTCATACGTTGAATGAAGCTGTAGCTTAAGTATCACTGAGTTTCCTCAGCTAGGCGCGCTAAGAGCGTGTTACGTACCCCTTATTTTGGTGTTAGGCCCCGGTTGCCTCCAAAAGTCGACTCAACCTGACTGGTCAGGACGCGTCACAAGTAGAACATCGATCCTGCCTAGAATCGGTGTTTATGTGATCGATGTGCCCCTGTCACACACGATCGTGCAATTTCGTCCACATCGGGCAATTTTGCCCCGTGTTTTTACGATCGTGTCACTTGAAACTTCAAAGCAGTCGTGACACACCGATATGGCGATCGGTTTGACAGGTTCGGTGAACAACCCTGATCCTTCCTCGATATTTTACTTGTGACGCGTCCTCAGGTCAACCGGGGCTGTCAACTTGGCCGGTTGGGTACCTAGCAGGCAACCTGCAAATGTACCACTCGCCTGCTTTTGGGACCCAACCGTGCCAACAGTATTTCGGGTAGACCCAACAGTCACTGTGTCAATCTTAGTGGCCAAAATTTGATGAAATTTTGATTGCACCAGTCACATCAAGTCTCGCTAGTGCAACCTGCCCGCAATGTTTTCGTGCACCCTCTGTTTGCGCGGCGGTTAGGTACGTTCAACCCTGGTTGCCTCAATACGGTTGTACCTGGTCGAGACCAGTCGGTTGCCCGACTACGTGGTTGCCTCGATCAGCTGCCAGACGGGTATGGTACGCACGTACATTACTGTACACTGTAGAGCGTAGGGTTATCCGGTAACCCTACGTTCAACCCAACCAGCATGTTTGAGACAACCGCGACCGGGCCCCAAAATAAGGGGTACGTAACACGCTCTAAAACTGTATCGAACCGCAGAGTTACAGCGAATCGGGGATTCTGGCGCTGTTGCCAGCTCGCATGTTACAGCAACGCGGATGGTTGCGCAGAATCTCAAATCCCCCTGAAAATTCGGGTCAGTCGTACAGCTGGTCGCATACCTTGTGGTCCGTGTCGTTTCATTATTTTCAGCCTTGCTAAACACGTCAGATTACGTACGATTACAGTTCATCCCACATGGGCTGGATGATTCGGTCTTGGTTTGGTAGGCAGGATTCACTTGTCCACCATGAAACGCGCTCTGCAATGCGCCGGTTCTGCTGTACAGTACAGCAGTACCCCTGGAACCAACTGAACTGGTTCTGTATAGTCGGCTGACACCAAACGCGTTTCATTCGGTCGTTGTCGTGCTGGCATGACCTTCTCGTTCGGCTGTTTTTGCTGGCATCGACGTGCCACTCGGCTGCGGACTAGTGCACTGTATCCCGAAACAGGCTCAGCGATTCCGCTTTCCAGGCTCATGTCGGTCGAGACGCGGTCAGCCCACCCCACGTACACATCCTCAAATGCCCCCTCATCTCAGTTGAAGGCCAAAGCATTTCTCGCCCAGCCCAGCTCGCCTGACGCCCAACTTACCCGATTCCTCCTCGCAACGCTTTTCGGTACTCTGCATTTTGCCGCTTGGTTTTATAACAACCCACGCCTCTCCCGCATCCTCCTGTTGACCTTGCCTCGCTATTTCCACCTTGTTTCAACGCAGCTGCAATCGCTGACTCCACTAACACCACTCCGATAGCACCTTGACGTTCATTCTATTCCTTAGGACTAGGAGTTTTTCCGTTTTAGGGTTTCGAGTTTTGCGCACAGCCAGAAGTAACGATGATAGGAGCTGGAGGATGTTCGTCCTCGCTTCAAGGGTCTCCCCAGTCACCCGACAAACGCTTCAAGACCCTTCCCCCGGCAGAGACACTACCCAGACATGAAATTTTAGGAGGTTACATTTTTGTTTGCAACAACGAGACGATGCACGAAGACTTGGAGCGACAACTCTTCGGGCTTCCCCAGCGATACCGCGACTCCGTGCGAGCAATTCAACCAGGCCTTCCCCTCTTTCTGTACAACTATACTACCCACCAGCTCCATGGAGTATTCGAGGTGATAATACGTTACTATAATCGTTTTCCGCATCGCTTTCTTTCTTTCTTTGAAACGTCGGCCTGACAAAGCTCGTTCGCTCATGATAGGCTGCAAGCTTTGGCGGCACAAACATTGACCCGACGGCCTGGGAAGACAAGAAGGTGAAAGGAGAGTCTCGGTTTCCTGCCCAAGTTCGCATCAGAATTCGCAAGTTCTGTCGAGCCCTTGACGAAGAAGCGTTTCGGCCTTTCCTCTTCCATTACGACGGTCCCAAGTTCAGACTAATGCTCTCCGTCCCTGAGGTGAGCGCCGTTTCACAACAGTTCCTGTATTGCAAGCAAGCAGCGTACTTTGATTACTAATTCCTCGTCTGCGGTTCGTGTTACAGACACTTGCACTTCTGGACTTATTTGAGGAGAACAATTTCCCGTATCAATACTTCAGTCACTTCAACAGCTGGTGCCGCAAGAGTCCTCCTCTCTCCTCTCCGTACCACGGCTGCAGCCGCCTAATGGCTGGCTGAGAAACCAAAGACCACTGGTACTCGCAGTACACTAATAATTAAACGAACGCAAGTTTGGGGACCTCCTAAGAGTCTTCAGTTCCGATGAAGCAGCTCGCTCGTTGCTTCTATTAGGAATAGCGGCATAGGTAGAAAATGCGTGTACATACCATTCAATATTCAATGGAAAGGCTATAATTCCTTCGGACTGAGCAAATTAGCAGAGTGCACTCTCTGGTCATGGAATGGCTAAGGCTTGGTGAAGAGCGTGCTCCAAAAATCTAAACTGAGAGTAAGCTTCCAAGCTGTTACTCCGCACACCTGATGATTAATGGCGCTGAGCTAACAATATTACAGCGAACGAACGGTTTAAGCAGTTCCCTGCATGTTTGGTTGCTGCCTGACATTACCGGTACTAGTGCTGAGCCTGCTGTTGCTGCTGCCGCCTCGGGAGGTTGAATTGGCCTCTTCAACTTGTGCTTTTGCGGACATGCTCGGAAACACTTCCTATAATAAGTTGCTGTCTGCTTTTTGAAAGGTACCGGTCTTGGGCGAACTAATGCCAACAGAACACTGCCAGATAAGGCCTTTTTTACTAACGAGTCAATTTGTAAGAGGTATGCTTCGTCGTCACGCGAGCTTGCAATGGTGAGGTGACGTCGCTCTCTTGCCCAACCCTGCTGCTGAGTATGCGTGGCAGAGTAGACATCGTGCGTGGCATCAAACGGTGGCTTGAACGGACTTTGGCTGGACTCGTGGGCTGGATCCCTCCTTCCTCACAGGATCTACGGAGCAAAAGTTTCTGAGGACTTCAGGGACTCCATGCCCGCGATTTCACCAAACCTGACCAAAATGGACCTTGCCATGGAATCGGGAGGAATCTGGATCTGGGTGCGGCGGAGCGGATCCCACTCGGGCCTCATCAAACGTTTCTGCTGGTTGGTTCCCTCCGCTCTGCCTCGATTGTTACTCTGCCGGACCCGAGCAGCAGCTGAAGTTGGTGGTGGTGTGCCGAAGTTGCCCCGCGCTTTCGCTGTCGGTGCATCCAATCGAACCCCCAAACAAGGGTGTGTACTGAGTTTTTAATTCTGCTGGATACGATGCCCGTTTTATGATTTTTGTCGTAGCTGTTGTAGTAAAATTAGGTTTTGTTCCCCATTTCATTATGGATTTTAAATAAGAGTTCCTTGCGAGATACGTCCAATGGGGGCCAGTACCGTTCATGACTTCAGCCGCACGGGAACCTTTACGAAGATTTTGGTTGGTCAGTTTGCGTGTCAAAGTTGCGTTTCCAGCTTCGCAGTCTGTCCCTTTACCCGCACGCCCGGGCGCGCTTGGAGGATAAACTCCGGTATCCTCGGGAACTTTTCCGTCACTCGATTTGCTTCTTCGCCTCAAAGTTGCATGAACTCCGCTGAATCCGAACTCCCATCACTCCAGCCAAACCAAAATTGCTGTTTTGCCTTGCACCCAAAACAACGCTTCCGTCGGAGCCAGATCCAGTCTGCCCCTTCCAGCCGATCTCACCGGAGCCAGCCCGGAAAACTAGATCCGTTCCCGCCAAGTCTTGCACTTCGCTTCAGCCTTACGACCCCCCCTCGCCGAGTCGTTCATATCTAGACGTTCCCAAGCAAGCTTGCTTATCCAGCTCCTGAATAGTTCCTCTCGGATTCACACGATCAGTTTCAAGGTTTCGGGGTTTCTGGGATATCGAGATGACAGGAACGGGTGTGTTTTCGCTAGCTGTTCTAAAGTCGCCAGGCATCATGCAGTCACCAGCGAAGCAGCCGCAAGGCACGCAGTCACCCAGCACACAGTCATCTCCAGAAAAGAAGCAGAAAACGCTGCCTCCCTCAGAGTCTCTCCCAAGGCACGAGATCTTAGGAGGATACATCTTTGTATGCAACAACGATACAATGCAGGAAGACCTGAAACGCCAATTGTTCGGCCTACCACAACGATACCGCGACTCGGTTCGCTCCATCCAACCCGGGTTACCGTTATTCCTGTACAACTACACGACGCATCAACTACACGGGGTTTTCGAAGCCGCGAGCTTCGGAGGCTCCAACATCGATCCGACCGCGTGGGAAGACAAGAAGGTGAAAGGCGAGTCGCGGTTCCCGGCGCAGGTTCGGATCCGGATCCGCAAGGCGTGCAGAGCGTTGGAGGAGGACGAGTTTCGACCCGTGCTGCATCACTACGATGGCCCGAAATTCCGGCTCATGCTGTCCGTTCCCGAGGTATGCCACGTCGGATGCTCCTTGTCAAGATAAATGTTTTTCGCGTATTCATCTCGTGCTTTCCTCATCGTTTTAGTTTGTGACGCTAACTTACTGTTTGTTTGTGTACTTTCCTTTTCTTGCAGACGCTGGCCTTGCTTGATCTATTTGAAGGCAACAACTTCCCGTTCCGATACCCAAGCAACAGCAGCAACTCCTGGTGCCTCAAGACCCCTTCCCTACCGCCGCAGCAACTTTTCAAGCCCAAGCGGATTATGGCAGGATAAGGATCTATTCAAGCAGAACCATTCTGCCAATCCATTCTTTTTCGATGGCGCCTTGGAGCAGCGACTGTCGACACCAAAACTGTGGATAGCTCCGGAAATAACCCAGAAAACCTGGACTATGTGAAGATTCAGTCAGCTCAGCTGCCTGCGAGCTGTTACCTGTACCTTCCAAGATCCCTCTTATTGCTAGGCCATGGTTGAATGGAGGCTCGGATGAAAGCAGCTAACGTGGAAGGGATATGTTTCAGGCTTGGAACAAATATCTCGTTGGACCTGCTATGCATGTCCAACTTTACCGAGCCTAATGCTGTAATGCTAGCCTTTTAGGTCGTTTGGTCTGGTGATGCTCTCCAAGTTCGAGCAAACGTTTGCAAAAGGTGCTTACTTTGTGTATAATCATTTACAAGGATGATACATTGCACTGCGAAACTACATGTTGTATAACAAACAAAGCTACTACTGAAAATGTTGACAAAACAACCACCTCAAAAGAACCACAGACCGCAATTACTTTTGTGTTCCTACTTGCTCACTGGCAAAGCCCAGCCTTGGAAAGGATGCAGCCAAGAAAATGGTTTGCGCGCACCAGACCCCCTTGCTTCTCCCACAGAAACTCTCCTTGGAGTTACTCCCGAACCTGCTCCTCCCCCAAGGGCTCCCCCCGCACCTACCCCGGCTGCAAATATCCATGCCCTCTGTGCAATACCTTGTGCACCAGGCGGGAGGTCTGTTCCTGTAAGAGACGTGACTATGGGAGTCGATACAGGGACTGGCTGGGGGGATATTTGTGGACTGCTTTTGGATGGTTCAACAGATGCGATTGGCTGATTGGACAGGGTAGGGCTAGGCAGGAAGGTAATGAGTGGAAGAGGGGGCGATGCTGGTGGTGATCCTGATGCAGGTGACAGTAACGAGGATGTGGGTGTAGATGCAAAGGGAGAGGCGATGGAGGCTAAAAGGGGAGGTGGGGGCAGGGGAGAGGAAGGAGGAAAGCGAGAGGGGGAGATGATGGCGAGGAATGCTGACGGGCTGATGGGGGAAGGATTGATGGATGGAGGACTGATGGGCACACGATCGCTTGGTATCTCAACCTCCCCCATACCCTCACCAAACCCATCATCTTTCTCCCTCCGAAACGACTTACTGCCCATCTCCTCTCCCTCCCCTTTTTTCTTCCGCTGCACCATCACCCGCCGCTGCTCCTCCCACCACTCCCTCCTCCTCTCCTCCTCTCTCTGCGCCTCCACCCTTCTCCGCCTCTCCTCCCCCATCTCCCTCTCCCTCTCCTGCCGCCACCTCTCCTCCAAGATCGCCTGCCTTACCTCCTTGAAAAGAGGCCGCCCCCGGCAGTGCCCCGACACAAAGGGATGGTCCAGCATCTGAAGCAACGAAGGGCGATCGGAGGGATTCTTGCACAGCACCTGGGAGCGCAAGGGAGATAAGTGTGAAAAGAGCAGGTTGCTTAAGAGTGAAATCAGCCGGAACAGTGGCCGCCACTTGTAGATTCCATGCATGGGTAGCATGTGGCAACACATCAGGTACGAGCTCCTTGTGCATGATGTTGGTGGCTGTGTGCATGTTGGTTGGTAAGCAGGATTGCACCAAGTAGAAAGGCCCTGTGGATGCACCTCACTCACCTTGCAAATGAAGTCCTTGCAGGCGGGAGACATGGCATGCGGCAGCGCATCAGGCACGAGCTCCCGGTGCATGATGTTGGTGGCTGTGTGCATGTATGGGTGTTGAATGCTACGTGGGACTGCGCGGAGGATGAGAGCCCTGTGGATGCACCTCACTCACCTTGCAGATGAAGTCCTTGCATGCAGGTGACATGGCATTTGGCAGCGCATCGGGAACGAGCTCTCGGTGCATGATGTTGGTGGCTGTGTGGGTGTCGGATGACCCCTCAAAGGGCGGATGCCCCATCACCAGCTCGTACACCAGCACTCCACATGCCCTGGTGGAGGATGGGGCCACGTGGCAGGAGGAACACGTGGTAAGCACGTGGCACATAAGCATGGCCCATCACCAGCTCGTACACCAGCGCTCCGCATGCCCTGATGGATGAGGAACAACACGGGTGCAGTGCGGTACGCATGTGGTAACCATGTGTTGAGCAATGTAACTGGCAAACGCCCAGCACGAACCCATGCGATGAACTACCAGAGCCACACTCACCAAATGTCCACCAAGGTGACTTTTGAGTCGACTCAAAAGTCACCCATGCGATGAACTACCAGAGCCACACTCACCAAATATCCACCTTCTCATCATACGCCCCTTCTAGAATCGTAGCAGCACCAATCTTATCCTCCCCACCACCATTAACGCCACCAGCGCCACCAACAACCTGCCCCTGTCCTGCTGCCGCCCCTCTTGGTTTCTCGTCCCCTTTTCCCCTCCCCCCATGCCCGGCCCGCCCGCGCTGCCCCCGTGCCATGCGCACCACCTCGGGCGCCATGTACTGCAGCGTGCCCAGGCGGCTGGCTGGCCGTTCCTCCTTCATATTGATTGCCAGGCCGAAGTCGCACACCTGTAAACAGGAAGGAGAGTGGGGGAAGGGAGGAGAGCAGGGTGGATTGGCATGACCAGGCTATGCGCTGCGCACCACCTCAGGCGCCATGTACTGCAGCGTGCCCAGGCGGCTGGCCGGGCGCTCTTCCTTCATATTGATTGCCAGGCCGAAGTCGCACACCTGATTGTGCCATGAAATCAAGGGAAGAGAAAGAGCGGGAGGGGGTGGCACGATCGTGCTATGCACACCACCGCAGGAGCCATGTACTGAAGGGTTCCTAGGCGGCTGGCTGGCTGGCCGCTCCTCCGCGCGCATATTCATGGCAAGGCCGAAGGCACACACCTCCGTAACGAGGAGGTTGGGGAGGTGGGAGTGTGAAGGGGAAGAACGGGGAAGGATGATACCCGCCCGTGCCATGCGCACCACCTTAGGCGCCATGTACTGAAGGGTGCCCAGACGGCTGGCAGGGTGCTCCTCCTTCATATTGATGGCAAGACCAAAATCACACACCTCTGTGTGAAGGAGTGGGGGGGAAGGGAGTGGGGAGAAAGGGGGTAGGGAAGGCTGATTATCCTCATGCCATGCGCACCACCTCAGGTGCCATGTACTGGAGCGTGCCCAGACGGCTGGCAGGGCGCTCTTCCCTCAAATTGATTGCAAGGCCAAAGTCGCACACCTGTGTGAGAAAGCAGAGCGGATAGCAGTGGCAGCAGGATGTTCTTTGCTGTTATCACCCCCTGAGAGACACGTGTCCACAGCACCTCACCTTGAGAGTGCCATGGAAGGTCAGAAGCAGGTTTTTCAGCTTCAAATCCCTATGCACAACATGTGGGGCAGGGCGGACAGCGGCAGCAGGATGTGCTTGGGGAGAAAGAGGGATGGCGATTCCGAGCCTGTCTGCTCACCTTGAGAGTACCGTGGAAAGTGAGCCACCCCCTCTGCCGCTGCTAGATTCTCCGGCTTTAAATCCCGGTGAACCACCCCTCGAGTGTGCATGTGGTGCAGAGCGGCCAGCAGCGGCAGCAGGATGTGCTTGGCTATGCGTGCCTCCCCCAAGTGCCCAACTGTCGGCCTACCTTGAGGGTACCATGGAAGGTGAGAAGAAGGTTCTCCGGCTTTAAATCCCGGTGAACCACCCCTCGAGTGTGCATGTGGTGCAGAGCGGCCAGCAGCGGCAGCAGGATGTGCTTGGCTATGCGTGCCTCCCCCAAGTGCCCGACTGTCGGCCTACCTTGAGGGTACCATGGAAGGTGAGAAGAAGGTTCTCCGGCTTTAAATCCCGGTGAACCACCCCTCGAGTGTGCATGTGGTGCAGAGCGGCCAGCAGCGGCAGCAGGATGTGCTTGGCTATGCGTGCCTCCCCCAAGTGCCCGACTGTCGGCCTACCTTGAGGGTACCATGGAAGGTGAGAAGAAGGTTCTCCGGCTTTAAATCCCGGTGAACCACCCCTCGAGTGTGCATGTGGTGCAGAGCGGCCAGCAGCGGCAGCAGGATGTGCTTGGCTATGCGTGCCTCCCCCAAGTGCCCGACTGTCGGCCTACCTTGAGGGTACCATGGAAGGTGAGAAGAAGGTTCTCCGGCTTTAAATCCCGGTGAACCACCCCTCGAGTGTGCATGTGGTGCAGAGCGGCCAGCAGCGGCAGCAGGATGTGCTTGGCTATGCGTGCCTCCCCCAAGTGCCCGACTGTCGGCCTACCTTGAGGGTACCATGGAAGGTGAGAAGAAGGTTCTCCGGCTTTAAATCCCGGTGAACCACCCCTCGAGTGTGCATGTGGTGCAGAGCGGCCAGCAGCGGCAGCAGGATGTGCTTGGCTATGCGTGCCTCCCCCAAGTGCCCGACTGTCGGCCTACCTTGAGGGTACCATGGAAGGTGAGAAGAAGGTTCTCCGGCTTTAAATCCCGGTGAACCACCCCTCGAGTGTGCATGTGGTGCAGAGCGGCCAGCAGCGGCAGCAGGATGTGCTTGGCTATGCGTGCCTCCCCCAAGTGCCCGACTGTCGGCCTACCTTGAGGGTACCATGGAAGGTGAGAAGAAGGTTCTCCGGCTTTAAATCCCGGTGAACCACCCCTCGAGTGTGCATGTGGTGCAGAGCGGCCAGCAGCGGCAGCAGGATGTGCTTGGCTATGCGTGCCTCCCCCAAGTGCCCGACTGTCGGCCTACCTTGAGGGTACCATGGAAGGTGAGAAGAAGGTTCTCCGGCTTTAAATCCCGGTGAACCACCCCTCGAGTGTGCATGTGGTGCAGAGCGGCCAGCAGCGGCAGCAGGATGTGCTTGGCTATGCGCGCCTCCCCCATGTGCCCCCCGCTCGCCCTCAGCTCCTCAAACAGGTCCCCCCCTGACGCCCACTCCTGCACTATGTACACACACTGGGGGTCTTCAAAATGACCTAACCACTGAATGATGTGCTCGTGACTGCTAGGGAGGGAATGGAGGGGAGTGGGCAACGGTAGAGGGATGTGGAGAGGGGTTTTGGGGCTGCGGGGTGGTGCCACAGGACTCCCCCTGATGCCCACTCCTGCACTATTTACACGCACTGAGCATCTTCAAAGTGACCCAGCCACTGAATGATGTGCTCGTGACTGCAAGGGGGATGGTGCTCGTGACTGCATGGGCGGGCGGGGGGAGGGTGGAGATGTGAGGGAAGGACGTGTGGTGAGTGAGTGAGTGAGTGAGTGAGTGAGTGGATGAGTAAGTTCATGAGGCAGACTGTAATTTGAGAAAACAATTGGACTTTCCAAGTTTCTCTCTCACTTACACGAGCACCAACACAAACACCAACACAAACGGCTCTTACTTAAGTGTCATCAGTAGCGCCACTTCTCGGTTGATCCTGTGTCGGTCCAGGTCTCACTTGAAGCAGACTTAACGTACGCCTTGCCAGCTATGTGGGAGAAAGCAGCAGCACTTACTCAAGAGTCATCAGTAGCGCCACTTCTCGGTTGATCCTGTGTCGGTCCAGCGCGCTTAGAGCAGACTTGACATACGCCTTAACAGCCACCTTGCGACCCGTTATAGCACACGAGGCTGCATACACCACTGCGTTCCTGGGAGAGGGGAGGGGGGAAAGGGAGAGGGGTAAAGGTCTGGGCGTCTCAAAAAAGAGGTGAACTGCGGAGCAGACTCTCCCTTTCTCCCTTCCTCCCCCCCCTCTTCCTCCCCCCTCCCATTACCCCCATCCCCATTACTAACCGTCCAGAGCCGATCTGCTTCCTGTTGACAAAGTCAGCAGCCGTTGCCCGTTCGTACAAGTTCACACCCACACTCCTCCCATCACTCCCCTCACCGCCCCTCGCCCTACTCCCAGCGCTCATTCCCCCCACGCCCACACCCCTCCCCTTCCACCGCACCTCCCTCCTCTTCACATCCTCCCTCGGACTATCCACCCTCTCGTGCACTCCGTCCCCCTTCCCCTCTGCGCCCCCCTTCCCTTCTCCACCCCCCTTCCCCTCTGCGCCCCCCTTCCCCTCTGCGCCCCCCTTCCCCTCTGCGCCCCCCTTCCCCTCTCCGCCCCCATTCCTCTCTCCACCGCCCTTCCCCTCGCCGTCCCACCCCTGCCACAATCCCTCAATGCCTTCGTCTCCCACTCCTGCAGTTACCACAGGCATTGGCCCTGCTGCTGCCGCACCTGCTGCTGCCCCTGCTCCTGCTGTTGTTGCTGCCACAGCTGTTGCTGCCGCTGCTGGTTTCACTGCTACAGCTGCTGCAACCAGTGGTGCTACTACTGCAGCGAAAATTTCTCCTTCTCTCCCACCCTCACTTAACCTCTTCTCATCCTTCCCAACCGCATTCCCCTTCCCCCCCACTCCTGTAGCAATACCCCCTCCCCCAGTCCCAACCGCATTCCCCATTCCCCTTCCGGTTTCAATTTCCCCCTTCTCTTCCTCGCCCGCCTCCCCCACTTCCCCTGCGCTCAGTTTCCCCAGGCCTCCCCCCAGTAGCTCCGCCAACACATCCGCCTGCAGCCCACAGCCACCGCAGCTCCCACTTTTTGCGCCCTCCCTGGTTCCGCCCTCCCCCTTTGCCCCCTCCCTTTCAGTGCTCCGCGTCCCTGCGGCAACCTTACTGCCACGCACAAGCTCATGCCCACAGGTACACTCTGTACTCGCCACAAGCTGATGCGCTTGCTTGTGCTGATGCCCCCCATCCGCCTGCGCATTTGCACGCTTATTCCCGCACACATGCAACGTGTCAGTGCCATGCGCAGAGTCAGGCTCTATGGACTCGTTAACAGCAGACTCGTTACAACAAAGTCCGTGGGCAGCAGCGTTGGTGCCAGCCTGGGGGCAAAGCGCGCCAATGCAAGGTGTGACCATTCACCGGCAGACACGTCAGGCGTTACAACTCAATTCTTTCTACTCTAACACGGAGTTTCAACTCAGGAACTGCGGCTTCCAGGAGTGAAAACAGCCGTCGAACAAATGTAGGAGAGTTCGAGGCGAATCTAGACGAGGCGAGATGAGGTGGGAGCGAGATAGGAGCACGACTGAAACTCGAATAAGACTGAGTAGGACTGAGGAGAGGTGGAGCACGTCTACGTCAGTCAAGAATACGAATCTGGAAGCCGTGAGAAGCGGGTGTACTGGCAAGATTACTGGCGGGAATAGGGCGCACAACTAACTGCGATAACCACGTCTTTAAAAGCTCCCGGCGAGTTCTGCTGCATCGGCTGCAACCAGCCACGGCAGGCGGCACGCATTCGTCCTCTCAACTCCGCCAGATGGCTTTGCGCGGCAGCACGAGTTGCTCGTCAGCAAATCGCTCCGAATCACCAACGGTGACGGAACAGAACGAATTCGGAACGGAAGCCGTCCGCCCCATCAGTCTAACGGCGCGACTGTCGGGTTCCTCGGGAATCTCGGCACGCGCGGCACTCTCTCGTGGGGCAATCGCAGGCCTTGCGGGCGACTTTTGTGTCAAGTGGAAAGTGAAATTGCAGGTTGCGAGGGGCGGGGTGAAGATGGAAGAGGCGGCGGTGACTCACGGTGAGGGGGACGCTCTTAGCGGTACGGCTAGTACTCCTGGGGGTTCTCCGCAAGGCGCGCGCAAGAGCGGAATGGCACGTGATGGCGCAGCACTGTCTGGCAGACAGCCTGGCGCGAGAGAGAGGGGGGAAGGGGAAGATGCGAAACTGCGAGATGGGAATCCGCGCAGGAGGAACAGAGAGATGCGCCCCGGCGGGTGGTTGCGAAACTGCTTGGGGGGGACGGAAACGACGTCTGAGCGCCGCAAGCAGGTGGGGAAACCCGCGCTAGGGGTGAGGCGGGCCATGATGACTCGGGGGAGAGACGATGAGGGAATAGCGAAGAAGGCGCGGAGTTGAGGGCGTGACAGGGACGAGCGGAAACTGGGTTCGCGTTTCCGCGCGGCGGTTCGTCCGGCGCGATGGAGGATAGACGTGACATTTCGACCCTCGATCCCTGAGGCAAGGCAAGGGGGGGAGCGAGCCGGTTGGGTGACGAGGTGAGTCGACGCGACGCGAGGGCGCAGAGAAGCGGGCATGGACGCGCGGAGTGCGGACGGAAGCGCATGCATGTTGGAAATACGTGAATGAATGAGCGGAATGCAGTGAGCATGGCACACTTGAAATGGGAGAGGAGAAACCTGGGCTTGCGAAAGGTTTGGGTGGGATTGGTTGGGTTCCCAACGGACGAGACGCGATGGTGCTGGGGCAGTGACGAATGCGGAGAGGCGCGAATTTCCGCCTCCGAATTCAGGGAGGGGCGCAAATTTCGTTGCTTTTGGGGGAAGGAGCGCAAATTCGAGCTGGAGATTCGTTTCTGACACATTATTGTCTGTTTAGGTTGCTCTGATGAAGATGTGGTTCATGTGATCAATACCCGATAAATCGTTTCTATCCATATGGAAACAGAAAAATTATTGTAGAAGCATCTCTTTGACAAGAATGAAAGGAACCTAGTATTGTGATATAATGAACGCTGCAATGCTCAGCCTCATAACGAAACAGTCAGAATTCCTCGCCCCCCACTTTTCCCCTCCCCCCTCCCTCGACTCTCAGCCCGCAAAGTTTAGACGCTCAACCACCGTGCTTTCGCTATTGTCACTCGTCTGATATGGTCGCGACAGAGGAGGCTTCGTTAGAAGCGTCGTTTGCGAATCCGTACTCCGCGTGCGGTTTCATCGGCGGTATCATCTTCTGCGTGTCAATTCTGCCGCAGCTGATCAAGACGTACCGTACCAAGTCCGCCCAAGACCTCAGCTATTTCTGGTCAGAGGAATTGGCTTTACTTACATCTCTATTTGATAATTCTCGTAGGCGACCATTTGAGGGCTCTTATTTTGGTTACTCAGGCATGAATCCTGCGATTAGCAGAATCCGCGCTCAGTGCTGTCAGTCTCTCTCCTCCTTGCCCCCTCGTTTCGCCTCGCCTCTGGGACCACGCACAGACAGCGACCCTCTCATCACCCTCTCCCTCTCGAGCCCCCGTCTCCTCGGTACTCTTCCGCCCCCACTCCCTTCCTCCCCTCCCCCTTCCTCTCCCACCCTGTGTCCAGCCCTTATTCCCCCATCTCCCCTCCTTCTGCCTTTTTCTGTTCAATTCAAACTTGCTCATCGTTCTCCTCTTTTCCCTAGTCCCTTCCATTCCCCCTCACTCCCCCTCACCTCCCCTCTTCCATCCACCCCGCACATTCCCCCCCCCCCCCCAACTAGGCAAGCATGCTATCTGCTAGGACTAATCGGAATCAGCGTATACGGCGTGGCGTACAAGCTCTGGCCCGTTGCCATCCCCCTTATAATCGAAATCGTTTTCATGGTAACCCTTACTGTTCTCAAGTACCGGTACGACAAGCGGGCCAAGAGAAAAAAGGCTGCTGGTGTTGGTGCTGAGGATGGAGGGGGTGTGACTTCAACAGCTGCTCATGCTGATGTTGCTGATGGTGATGCTGCTGTTGATGCTGATATCTCCAATAAGGGGTGTAGTGGTTCTTCTGATGTAGAAGAGGCTGTTGAAGGGGATGTAGATGATAGTAGTACTGTTGTTATTGCAGCAGACACAGATGGGGTTTTAGAACACAGGAGGCATTCAGGGTCAAAGGAGCCCTTGGATGTTGCCACTACCAGCGAGCTGGAGATGAGAAGGCTGTAAGAAGGCTGGATGTACATATTTTTCACTTGAGCATTGTTTTGCCGCTTGATTCTGCCCAGTCCATCTCCTGTTAGTACGGTACTTGCTGCCCAATTCGAACAATCAGAATATATGTACACCTCTGAAAATATGCATTTCACCTTCACATCATGGTAAATCACATGTGCTTGTTACGTGAGGCAAATCTACTAATCTGGCTGAGAGCATCCCCTTATCTCAGTCGGCGTGGCGCGCGAGGGGGGGCACGGAAGGGAGGCTGAGGCCCACGGCCAGGCGGGCCGATGGCCTGGATAGTCATGTTGAGCTGCAGGAAGCTGTCTCCCACCAGCCCCCCCGCCTGCTCCCCACCGCCTGCTGCTGTGATGAGACCACTGTAAATTAGGGCGACACAGGGTGGGGTGCAATAGCTTCAGATAATCAATGTAGCTTAATCATGTTGGATGGTCAAAAGGCAATGGCCAATGGTACAAAAAGGAGAGTTTGGCCTGATGTAGGATGGAAAAATGCAGGTATTCATGTCCATGTCTGTATGCATCTAGTCAGATGGAGGCATGCATACCTGAGAGAAATGCAGACATCCTTGAATAAATGTATGCGTATCATAGGATGGAAGCATGCATACCTTAGAGAAATGCAGACATCCTTAAATAAATGTATGCGAATTAAAGGATGGAAGCATGCATACCTGAGAGGGACTTCGAAGACTCCACTTGACAGCAGCTCGTACTGTGGCCCCTGGAACACACAAGCCAGTAAAATGGACAGGACGATAATCTCAACCAGCAGCTAGAGCGCAATCGAAGTGCAATTTTTATAATACATGGCGTACAACATACAACATAATGGAGCATGCACTGGAACACATGGTGAGGCGTTCTTACCCGAGCGATGAGCTGACCGTTGAGGTTGGGAATGTTGTCAGAATCAATGGGCACTTGCAGGTTCTGGCTGTTCACGTTGGTTCCCAGCAGCGTGCCTGTGAGGCTCTGCACCAGAAGCACTGCGTTGTCCGGCTTGAAAGAGTAGTTGAGGTTCTTCACATCAAACTTGCCTCCTGTGGAAACACACATTAGAGGAACAAATTCTCACATTGAGACCTCAGGCAAGCACGACGAATGCCCAGGTGACCATGCACGTTCTCTGTATGCTTGAGAAACAAAGGCCATGCACAAACTGTGCAGAATGGTTGAGAAGACGCATTGACGTGGTTGTCTGAATTGACTTCTGAGTGAACTACCCCATTCATTAAGGCAATTGACGAGGATAGGGCATCAGGCTAAATGGCTGGAGAGCCCTCCCCACCGTATATCCACATCTGCGGGTTCTGCATGGTGAGATTGGCGATGCTGGATCTGGTCATTGCTGATGACAGCTCAGCAGTCCACGTGGAAGGATCAGTGCTGATGTTGGACGATGTCCAGACCACCTGTGCAAGCCAAAACGACAGGAAGGCATGTGAATAAAAGCAGGTAACTAGTTTGGAATGGAAACGAATTAATGTGAGTTACTTAGGAGTCACAACTTATGGAGTTGAAGAAACAAATAAGAGGAGGTGGTCAAATGCGGGGAAGCTGGGAAAGGGCGCGAAATTGATGCCTTATCATTCCCCCAACAATTAAACATCACTCAGAAGTCTAGAAAGACGTGCTATCAGGCTAAGACGTTAAAAGCAACAGCGTCACCTTCGCTAGGCCATTATAAAACGAGAGGGTGGCTTACCTCGGTGGGTTGGAATGTCTTGCTATCGGCCTGCGAGATGTTGAGCAGCACGGGGCCCATCTCACGGAACGAAGGCGGTGACGTGTTCGCCGTGACACCTGGCAGCTTCTGAATGGACCACGTGGACACGGAGTTCTGGGGGATGATGGTGAGAGGCACTGCTCCTGTCTGTGCTGACACCCCGACAAGGAGAGAAAGAATGAGCGAGAGGAGGAGGGAGAGTGAGAGGAAGAGAGAAAGAGGACGGATCAGGAAAGTGAAAACCCTGGAGGAGCAGCGCGAGCTTCTAGTAGCACCAGCCATTGGCATGGATGCCTCTCAGCAAGCAACTGGAATTTCGGAGAGAGTGAAGCTCAGCGGGAACTGAAGACAGCCGAGAGAACGTGCCGAAAACAGCACAGGGGAAGCCTCAGCCTAGAGCTGACGAGACCCGTGAGGGCTAAGTGATAAAGCAGACGTGAGAGCAGACGGAAACTAACTAAATTCCACGAAATCAGAGGGACCAGAGGGATCGACTCTTGCGAAATGAGCTTACGTGGAAAAACCTGCTTCGCGAATCGGGACATTCCAGAATACCCATCAGGCGCTTTGCGACCCGGTTCGGAAGCTACAGCTCAGGCCGCCATCGTCGACGACGAACCTCGGAAACGCTGTAGTAGCGCAATACACGGGCGACTTTCCACGTCCGATCTTCCTGAACAGCCGCCATAGCGATTCCATGGCTGGCATGAAATAATACAGCTGCGAGGAATTTCTGGAATCTGGATTTCGATGCATCACAATCCCAACGCCAGCCAAGAATTCCCTCTTCCCCGGATTCAGCAACAGCTGGAGGGGGGGTATCAAAGGGTACTTCACCCTGGAAATTTTGTTAGGGACATTTCCGGGCAGGCTATCAAACAAGGTCAGGGCTTCCCTTTACGCCAATTCACTTCGTGTACACCTTTTCGGTTTCCAAATGTGACAACATTGACAAATAGCATGGCAGGCAGGGAAATACTTGTTCTTGCTGCCTCCCCTTTCAGACCATCAACTTCCAAGATATATATATATATATATTTCCGGAAACTGGCATTCCCAAGAATTTATATTCCATCAGCATCAGGGACAGGGAGAGGCACACGTAAAGCAATTTTCCTGAAGAGGCACCAAGATGCTCAGCTCACCATCAGAGGGGCAATGTCGATGCGTTGAATTAGGCATCTCGCATTGTCGACAGCAGCGACTGGAATGTCAGCATTCCGTTGAGCCGCTTCACATTCTTGAATGTACCAGCTTGGTGCATCGGCGAGGTTCAAAGTGGTTGAACACTAGCTGTCACGTTTCGGGTGGCTCCTAACGAGGCCTAAGAACGAATCCGTGCTGGAGAGGTCTAGCTGTCAAGTAATAACTCTTCCAGAAAATGCGCTGCATCTGCGTCGTAGAAACCGTTCATTTCGCGCGTTTCCTAGACCCACCATGGCGTGCGACGTGGATCACATCGACGAGCATTTCGCGAACAATGCGATGGCGTCAACCACGGCGTCGCTCTCTCGTCGCCGATCCTCGCACGAAAACGAAATCGTCCTGACTTGTTCGCTATAAAGCGCACTCCTTAACGAGTTTTCAGCAGCATCCGTTTGCCTCTGGAGTCTTCAATTTCTCTTTCACCACTTGCGGATCTGCCATCTCCTGCGGCCGCGTCTAGCACCCCTCCGTCACCTGCCTGAGCACGCCTGCCTCTCCTCCGCTGCAGTCCCTTCCTCTCGACTCCTCGAACTCTCATCGTCCCTGTAAACCCGCCTGCACCCATGGCGCTGTACGACTCCCTCCGTCTCCTCCGCATCCTCGTCTCCCTCTCCCTCATCGCGACGCTCGCCTCACTTGCCGCACCCGTCGGCGCGCAGCCACAGCAGCGCGGGCTAGTGGATCTGAAGACCATACCCGAGAATTCCGTGTCGTCATGGTCCCTGCAGGGCCCGCCAGCGCTGCGCAAGGAGAGCACTCCGGGGCAGTTCAAGTTGGTGGGGCCTGTTGTTATCAACGTGCTCAAGGTCATCCGCCCGCAATTCACGCCCATCCAGGTGAGTGTTTTCCAAACATTTGAATGTGGAGCTTCTCAAGCTGAAGCTTCTTTATGCGGTTCCTTTTTTCTTCTTCGTCTTTTGTTGAAGTATTTTCTATTTCATTCCATTTTTTAACTCCCGATTGGCTCTGCAGGCTGAGTGGGTGTCCTCCAATCTGACGTCAGATCCTGCCACGTGGACAGCTACCATAGGTCCACCTTCAGGCGCCAACGAGTTTGCTAACCTGACCTTCCAGGACCCCCAGGTGCAAATCTGGGGGGGGCGATTTGACATTGACAATACCACGAGCGACTATTCCTTCAAGCCCAACAACACCAAGCTGCTCTTCTCCCGCGTTTCTGGTACCCTGCTGCGATCTGACGTGGACAAGCAGAATGTGGTGATCACGCTGCCTGCGGGAAACATCCCGACACTGAATGGGAAATTCATCCGAAGGGTAGGCATTACTATGCTTACTGTCCCCTCTCCCCTCCCCACCCTCTCCCCTTCCCCGTCTTCCATATTTGTTGCTATTCTATTTCATTGATAGTGTTACATATGATTGGTTGATTCCCGTCATTCTGCTGCTCTTTTCTTACAGGGTCCTGTCTTTGAGCTCATTTCTGGAGGCGAGCTTGACATTCCACTCCGGTAAGATCCAAAAACTATCAGGCTCTTGTGTGTTTACTTTTACTTTTCTGGGCCCCTCAACCCAAACGTTCATTGATCTAATGCATGTCTGCACATTTTCTCTTCCTTCCCCCCCCCCCCCCCCCACTTTCCCCACAACCCCCATCCTCCCGAACCCCGTATTCCATTGCCACACTACACAACCTTCCCAACCCACCGCCCTTTGCAGTGTAATTTTCGCAGCCATTGCTCCTCCTCCCCGTGGACCTGCTCCTCCTCCCGGTCCCGGCATCGATGCCTCCTTTGCTCGCATCCTCCTCTCTTTCAAGGCCGCTGGGGCGTTTCGCAAATAAACCCAACACCGCCACTGAGGAGCAATGCACCATCCCCCCACCTCCCTGCTCCATGCTCTCCCTGTTCCCCCTGCTTTCTTCTTCTCTTTCCACTCCCTAACCTACCCATCCCCCCATCTCTCTGGCCTTACCAGTGCCTTGGTTGTTGCTCTAGGTGTGGAACCAGGCCCTCCTCCTCCTGGCCCCAATTTCCCTGACGAGGTGGTCATGAAAGTCAACCTCAGCCTGCAGGCCATTGGTCGGCAGCCTCCCCGAACCATTGGAGGGCGTCCCGCACCTGCTGGTCCGGGGAGGGAGCCTCCCCCTCTGGCTGGTGTCCCTTCCGCTGCTCCTGCTCCTGGCCCTGCTCCTGTTCCTGCCCCTGCTCCTGCTCCTACCCCAGCTTCTGAGAAATAGACTCCCTAGATTGGAGAGAATTAAAGGATGTTGCTTTGTGGGAAAGCATTGTCGGAGCTGGAGTTTTGAAAGGAGGTTACGTACTACCTACTCATGTACATAAGGATTAATCAATGCAACTGTTAATTGTGATTGAACGAATAGAACGTGACTGAAAGTAAACAGTTGCCATTTTGAACGAAAATGACGCATTCAAGTCCAATGATTGCGAGCACTGACCATGTCTGTGTTATTGTAAGTTGTACTTGGCCAATTTGAGAGGAGCAGAGGCTATAAGATAGTGTGCTTGGACGAATGGGAAGACTCTCCTACTGGCTGGCCCTGTTAGGAGGCATTGTGCGGGCACAGGGGCTACAATGCATCATCTGTTACGTATGTGCCCATTGCCCGGATGCAACACATGACTCGCAGGCAGGCTCCCGTATAGTAGAGCAGTTGCCTCAGGAAGAATGCAAAGCCTCGCCTGTACAATCTGGCATTGCAATATTCAGAAATTCCTATAACAGGAAATTGTTATCATCCCAACCTTATTCTTATAGTGAAGGACCCACTGGTATATTATTTAATGTGAAGTAACTACACTATGGAGTTTGATAGTGTGCTTCTAATTTAGAACAAGAGTACTCCACGTACCGAGGGTGCATTCCGCGCTGGACATGTCCCAATCGAAAGTATCTCAATCGTTTCTACCGCACTGCATCGTATTACACCAAATTACACCCTAGTTTCGAAATTTTCGCGTCTCTGGTTTAGTTCGGTTCGGAGCGGTACACTCGATTGGGACACATCGATTGGGACATGGTCCACAGCGGAATTAGCCCTGAGTATATGGTACAGAGGTTCTGAACTGACCAACTTCCAAGGCGAAAGTTCTTTTCGTGGGCAAGTCGAACACTCATCACGGCCCTTCGCCACGAGCCCCGAGTCCAGCTGGCACAGGTTCCAGCGCCAAGTGCTCTGGAATCTCCACGATTTATCCGAAGTCAGGCTGGATCTGACGGTAGCTCGTTTCGCGATGGAACCAAACCAATCACAAACATTCAAACAGCTGTCGCAAAAACAGATCGCATCGCACGAGAAGCATTTACGAGCCGCATTTCGGCCCCAGATTCTTCCAAATTTGCAACCAAATTTCTGCCCCACCCCACATTCACGATAACAAGAAGCCTCACCCCTCACTCTCCAGCCCAGCCAGCTTCACCTGGTTTCTGCGCCTCACGCCGTCAGCGTGCCTGCTTCCCTGTGCTCTTTCCTTTCTCGTCCCGCGCTATCAGCCCTGAGCATCCTCCCTTGGCCCTTTGACTTCCCACCATGGATTCCCGATCACTGCTCCTCCGAGCAGTCCTAGCCTCCCTCTCGGTCATTCTGCTTCTTTCCACGTTCACAGCACCGAGTTGCGCACAGCGACCGCCACGTGTGATGCGCGGACTGGTGGACCTTAACACGATTCCTGACAACTCCTTGTCGTCGTGGTCGCTGGAGGGGCCACCGGGGCTGCGCAAGGAGAGCACTCCAGGGCAGTTCAAGCTGGTGGGGCCTGTCGTTATCAACGTGCTGAGGGTCATCCGCCCACAGTTCACGCCCATCTTTGTGAGTGAAACGCTTGTAGTATCGTGAGTAAGATCATGAATATAGAAGAACGAACGCTATTGTTATCAAAATACTAGACTGCTTAATTGACACAATTATTTGCTTAACACAACTTGTGTGGCACCTTGTGATGTGCAGGCGGAATGGCTCTCATCGAACTTCTCCTCAGACCCTGCCACGTGGACGGCTTTCATTGCGCCACCTGCAGGCCCGAACGAGTTCGCGAACCTGACCTTCGACAATCCCAAGGTGCAGATCTGGGGCGGGCGCTTTGCCATCGACAACACAACGAGCGACTACTCGTTCCAGCCCAACAACACCAAACTGCTCTTCTCCCGCGTCTCTGGCACGCTGCTGCGCTCCGATGTGGACAAACAGAACATCGTCGTTGACATTCCCAAGGCCGACGCCCCCACTCTCGACGGCAAATTCATCCGCCGCGGGAAGATCTTTGAGCTGCTCTCTGGTGGATCCTTTGACGTGCCGCTCCGTTCGGTTGTTGAAGCTCTTGGGGGCACCACACCCCCTGGCCCCACCCCGCCTGGAGCAGCGGCAGTGATGCGGGTGAACCTTAACCTGCAGGGGATAGGCCAGCAGCCGCCCAGTGCCGTGAGCCCCTACCCAGCCCCGTCTGCTCCTGGCAGGGAACCTCCTCCTCTGGCTGGTGTCCCCTCTGGTGCTCCTACTCCCCCAGGCTGTGCACCTGTTCCTGCGCCTGCTCCCACCCCTGCTCCCACCCCTGCTCCCACCCCTGCTCCTACCCCTGCTCCCTCCCCTGCCCCTGCTCCTACCCCTGCTGCTGGTGGTAAGACCCCTCCCCCTCCTCCTGGTGCTGCTCCTGGCCGTGCTCCGGGAGCTGCTCCCGGTGCTGCTCCTGGGGCTGCTCCGGGAGCTGCTCCTGGTGCTGCTCCAGGCGCTGCTCCCGGTGCTGCACCTGGCCGTGCCCCGGGTGCTGCTCCCGGAGCTGCCCCCATGGGCTGAACACTATAATCTTGTCTTCTATGTGCTACTTGTAACACCAGGAACATTGTCTTGACATCAGGAATTGATACTAGCTATGCTCCAGGATAAACATATGGTTGTACCAGTAAATCCGGCTGAAATACTCTGTTTAGTAATGACTTCTATTCCAACCTTTGACATTACCTCCACAAATTCTTCTTGCCAGCTGCGAGAGTCAATATCTTCACAGGAACGAGATGTTCCTAATATTGTTGACTGGCAGTATTGAAAGTTAAAGTCGTTTGCAAGCTATTTGACGAGAATGCTCATATACTAACCCGCTGCTCAACTCCCCATACTGAGAGCCGGTACAATTGAAACGTTGAAGTACCTGTACAAGCGGAAGGAAAAAAAAAGTATCTATGCGCATGACAAAGATTGAACGGCGAAGAAACAATCAAAGCAGGATGGAAATCAACAAAAAACGATCAGGAGAAAAATTATAACAGAAACAGGCGTGAAAATTCATAACAGGTACGGAGAGCTCAGTTCGAGTAGGAGGTTAAAGAATTTGATTCGTCACGGGCCGGTAATGGCCTCTTAAGCACTGATCGTCATCGCTCTCCTTGCATTCATTATCATCCACACGACACAAAGCATGCGCCATGCGCCATGCGCCATTATGGTCGATGTCCAAGCAGCAAATCCATCATGAGTGTCGCACGAACGCAGCGTACCTCGTGTGAATCCTGGCATCGACGACAGCAGCGAAGAATCCATCGTGTTAACTTCTTATCGCTCCTCCGCAACTTGGCATGAACTCGCGGCAGTATTGCAGCCTCACGTTTCCCTTAGATGCACCCTCACGCCATGCCACACGCGATCGACTCGAAAGACAGGAGACCCTTTTGAAGCTGGCCATTACCAGGAACTGAAACACCTGCAAGGAGCGAGGTTACCGGAATGTTGAGCGCCAGGAACGAGAACCTATCTATGCGCGCTGCGACACGTCCAACGAAAACAACATTGTCATTGTATGCTAAAAAGGAAAGGTTAGTATAGTGAACCTCCCCTACAGGGACGGTCAAGAACCCTGTGGACTCCCCTCCGCCAATCAGAACGGACGGGTAAGTCACGGGAGGCTGGGCGATGTGTGCGACTGGGAACGAGTACGTTGCGACAGCGGAAATCGCATCCCAGGACAGGCAATGCGAACCCCGTGAAGGGATCGCACGCCGTCGCGTAAGATGCGAGCCGTTCGAACGACGCACTAGCAATTGTCGCAACTAGAATCATGCGATAAAGCACCTGGCATGAAGCCTCCAGAACAGAGATATGTCAATAGCATATCGAGTTGAAGCACAGAACACACATTCTCAGATGAGACGCCACGTGAGGAGATCAGACGAGACGAGATGCCTTGAACCGACTGGATAGAGGCGGCCTTCAACCCCGCATATCCATAGGCTCAACTTCCGACCGCCGATGTCTTGTTGGCCACCGATACCGTGCGGTTTCCCATCAAGTCAAGCTTCTGGTTAGGCAAAAATGAACAAAACCATGAAAGATAAACATGTTTGGTTAGAAGAGACTGCCTCAAACTGAAACTGCGGAATAACAGTACATTTGCATCGGAGGTAACCAGTTATCCATCAGTCCCATCAGTTCTCCAAGGTTGAGTCCTCAGTTGGCCGAAGGCCATCGGACGCAAATTACCACATCAACATAAATTCATCATTCGGGACTCGTCCGTTACGAACATTGAACGCATGAGAGGAGAATGATCAGGAGCCCGACTGATACTACCGAGTGTGAAATGCGAGAACTCCGACACACGCGAAATGCAATGCAAATGCGACGCCAAGTTCAGAATGGTGACAGACGAGTGCTGGGAGGGAAGGAGCAGGAAACGAAAGGCTGGATAAGAAAGACCTTGCTAGATTTTGAAGTCTAAGGTTGCAACGCGCGGCTCAGAACCACAGCTAAGGTATTATTGTACATTCCTCACGGTGAAATCGGAGGTCCAGAAACATACATCATCACAGCCGCGAGCACATAGAGTCAACCTGAACGATTTTCATAACTCAGATCGCGAAAGCAAATGCTTTACAGAATGAGAGAGAAAGAGTGGGGGGGGGGGGGATGCATAGGAGATCGGTAATGGCTTACCAGCTTCCGTCGTATAATAGCTGGCAGCACGAAAGGATGAAGTGTGTTGAAGGACATGGACTAAGGTGGGAAAACTTCAGGACTAAAAAAAGCAAGTTCCTCCAGAACAACTTCCTTATCCCTATGAGTCCCACATATAAAATACAACTATCGGCTCGACTCGCCATAAGTGAGAATGACGCAGAGGGGAACAAAAGTGCCAGCTGTTGAATTTGGTGCTCTGGGAAAGTGCCACTGTGATGGGATGTGAGGGGTTTTGGCGGTACGTTTTGGGATGCGCAAATGACCACCTCGATTCGAGGGCTGGTTGGAAGTAATATCAATAAATCGATTCACACAATTCTGCAAACTTCGATGTATAATTGCCAAGGTGTAATGATGCAACATCGAAAAAATGGCTGGCTGATGTCACCGCGTCGTCACGGTCAATCAGTTCAGTCCTTCCACATTGGTCTCATTAGACATGTGTGGCAGGCAGGAGAGAAATGCGCGACTCGGAATGTTTGACGCGCGCGCTTCGCACGTCACCCTCAAGCTGACATTTCCGACGCGAATCAACACTCGAATGGTTTGAGAGAAATTGGAAAAAGTTGGGCGTTGAACAGTAACTGAAGGATCACTCACCTACAAATAGCCGTGTCAGTACAACCAATGCTTCATGCAAACTCATCTCCAAACCAGCGGTTTCCTCATTTTCCTCGCAGCGGGTTTTCGTTTTCACCAGGGGAAGATTTGATCAGACACATACACTATCCAGATTCTGTTAATCCGATATCTCCTGCTCATGGATATCCGGAGGAACTCAGTGAGCCAGATCATGCTGGCCGTAACCTCATTCGCGCTTCTTGCCTCCCACGCCGCAGCTGTCGTCATCCTCAACTTCGTACCAGCTGAGTCCGTGTGCCACGTCACCCTTCAGGGCCTGCCAAGTGGCATCACGGCAGAGCTCAGTCCCAGCTCCGTCAACCTGATTGGTCAGATCAATCTGCGTGACTCGGCAGAGAACTCGTCTGCCACACGTGTGGTGACGTGGCAGGCAGCCACCGCGGGCTCGCGCCCAGATGAAATCACAGCCGTCCTTTCAGCCACAATGGGCGTTCCCCTCGCTACAATCAAGGTCTCCCAGCCAGTAGTGGAAATCTCAGGTAAAGAGAAAAAATATACGTGTCAAATATCGCCTGGTCAATAGAGTGCGCAGACATTATCTCACCCAATTTTCACATTTTCCCTCTTTCCCCTCCTTTACCTCTCTCTCTGCACATGCCCCATTTCACTCCTCCCCACAGGAGGTCAGTTTCAGCCTTCCCCAGATGGAACCTTCACGCTCACACCCAGCCAGGTGGTGCTGCGCGCCGGTGCCCTCACAGGAAGCTTCCTAGACTCCAATCTGGACCAGGCGAAAGTGACTATAACGGCGCCTCAGGATTCTGTGCCTGCAGTGAGCGGAAGGCTCACCAGCCGCCACTTCCAGTACCGTGTGGTGCTGCAGGCGTCGGTGTCTGTTCCTATCCGGTAAGCCACTGAGGGCACCAAGCACTCACAGAACTCACCAGTCTCCCAAGTTCCTCACCAAGGTTTTTAAGAACTCACCAGCCGCCTCTCCCAGTACTGTGTGGTGCTGGATGCGTCTGTCTACCGGAATTCATTTGTGGCCGAGGTTCTTCAGTTGCATAACCACGCGGAGACTTGGAGAGACATCAAAAGCGTGACTACTGAAAGGATGAGCAGAACTGTCCCTACCCCCACCCTTCCCCTGCTTATCCCCCCACTCTTCCCTACACCCCCGGGCCACTTCTGCTCCCCCTCTCCCCTGCACGTATCAGCTCTGTCCTTGCCAATTCAGGTGCAAGTGACTCTGCCATCTCAGCAGCAGCAGACGCCCGTGTGTTGGTCGAGATCAAAGCCCTGGCTGTTGGCACTAGTGCATAATGCACTGGTAGTATGATTGCAGACTGGCTGATGCAATGCAGCATCAGACCTGTAGCTGCAGAAGGACTTGCAGTGGTGCTTGACAGTCTGTTTTGTAATAATGATAGTACTATTAGCATACCAGGATGGCTGCCATACTGATATTGGAGATTTAAGGATTTGATAGGAGCTGCTTATTCATCACACCACATTCAACCACTACTCCGATCCCGGAGAAAGCCAAGAGCCCTACATATAGATTAGTTGCTACACCTACACTGCAGCAAGCTAATGAGCTCATAATTTACAAACAACCCATAGAGAGAACAGGACATAAGATCTGACTAGCCTAACCTGCATAAGCCTTCCAAGGTGCAGACTACAGCTACACGCCCAGCCAGAAGATCTAGGAGAAGAATCTGCTCTCGCCAAACGGCAGGTCATAATCCTCGTACATGAGAGGGCTGGCCCAAGCTCTCCATACTGCAACATACAATAGTGAGAAGAGCGCACAGTGCACTCTCTCACAGCACTCCTACTGCGCTTACACGCCCAGCCAGAAGACCCAGGAGAAGAATTTACTCAAGCCGAACGGCAGGTCGTAGTCTTCGTGCATGAGAGGATCGGCCCGAGCCGCCTTACGTCCAGACCAGACGTAGAGGCCTCGTTCGGTGGCTGTGCCGGGCACAGTGTTGTCGAGGAGGAAAGCAGACATGAAGGCGATGGCCATGGGGAGGGCGAGGAGTGAGTTGAGCACAAAGTTGAGCTGCAGGGGGGGATGGGAAGGGAAGGGACGGAAGGGTTGCAACAGCAGAGAGGGGACAGGAGAAGACGAGGGGATTAGACGGGAGACATGAAATGCCTCCCTCTTGTTGCGTTGCCCCGTGCCGTGCCATGCTGTGCCGGGCACAGTGCTGTGGAGGAGAAAAGCAACTATGAAGGGAGCTGGGAAGGGAAGGAACGGGGAGGGGTTGGCAACAGCAGAGAAGGGACGGGAGAAACAGAGGAAAGGATTAGACAGGAACCACGGGGAAAGGAGTCATATCGCGTTGTGCCGTGCCGTGCCGTGCCAAACACTCAACACACACTCACCCCCGAGCACGATGTGTTGATAGGTCCGTGCCCATTCGAAGCAGTGTACGTCTTAAAGTAATCCAGGACCGACAGAGACAAGAAGAGTGCGAGGCCCGTGATGAGGAGGTTGCGGGAGGAGCCCAACTCGGCCCAAGGCTACAGAGGCCATAGAGGCTACGACGGATACAGCTCCCATGTGGATGAACTCAGCACTCGACACCGACTCACCCCAGAACTAGAAGTGTTGATCGGCCCGTGGCCGTTGGTAACAGCGTACGACTTGAAGTAGTCCGGCACGGAGAGAGAGAGGAAGAGTGCGAGGCCCGTGATGAGGAGGTTGCGGGAGGACCCCATCTCGGCGTAGCGCAGCGAGGAGAGGCCGAGCGATGCTGCCATGGCTGCCATTATGGTGAGGAGGCCGCCCACCATGACTGGTGGCATGGAGGCGAATAGAGCGCCTACTTTGCCTGGTAGATGAGGGGAGTTGAGGAGGTAAAGACGATGGGCGAGGGAGTGGGGTTGAGACGAAGGGAAGCGGCTTGTGTGAAGAGATCAAGGGAGAAAAGGAGACCAAAGGGCAAAGATGCTCCTCAAAAGTCAACTCATGGCAGTGCGTCCTGCCATGCACGGCACTAGCCCCATCCCCAAGACCCCCGTCCCCCACCTACCAAACAGCGAGAAGAAGACGAGGAACGCCGCCCCGACGATTATCGTAACGCGCGATCCCATTCTGGTAACCGCAACGAGGTGAATGTTCTCAGTGAGCGTGGTGGCGCCTCCCCCCGTGCCCCACATCCCTGCCAGCACGCTCGCCACGCCCTCCATGCCTATCCCCCGCCCCACCACCCCGCCTGTTGGGGGCCGCACCGCCACGAGGAGAGAAGTCGCGTGGTAGTTGCTCACCTGCCAAGGGCAGGAAAGGAAGGGCAGAAGGGGGGAACGATACAGAAGGAGAGGTTGCGATCAGGTGAGTGTTTTCAGTCACAGTGGTGGCAGCAGCAGCACCGGTGCCCCACGCCCCTTCCACCCCCCGTGCCCCACATCCCTGCCAGCACGCTCGCCACGCCCTCCATGCCTATCCCCCGCCCCACCACCCCGCCTGTGGGGGGCCGCACCGCCACCAGCAGGGAAGTCGCGTGGTAATTGCTGACCTGCGGGGTCGTGGATGGAGGGGAAGAAGGAAGGGAGGGAGAGAGAGGGATGGTTAGAACAGGGAGGGTTGCAACCAGGTGAATGTTCTCCCTGACTTTTGAGGCGCCTCTACAGGCACCGAGGTGGATATTCTCTGTGAGCGTGGTGGCGCCCCCCCCCCCCCCCCGTGCCCCACATCCCCGCCAACACGCTCGCCACGCCCTCCATGCCTATCCCCCGCCCCACCACCCCGCCCGCCTGTCGGAGGCCGCACAGCCACCAGCAGGGAAGTCGCATCGAAAGGGATGAAAAAATAGGGACGGAGGGAGGGACAGGGACAGAGTGGACTTTCCAGGGCTGCTTTCCCATCCACCTGCCCAGATGTATTCACACCCATCCACCCACACGCATCCACCCACACGCATTCACCCACACGCATTCACCCACACGCATCCACCCACACGCATCCACCCACACGCATTCACCCACCCACCATCCTCAACTCACCGTGTCGATGGTTGAGATGAGCGCCGGCAGCAGCATGACACGAATGGACTCCCCTTGGAAGATTGGCATCTCAATACTGACACGGGTACAGAGGCGCCGCCCACTGCACAGTCCTACCTCCATCCCCAAATCACCGTGTCGATGGTTGAGATGAGCGCCGGCAGCAGCATGACACGAATGGACTCCCCTTGGAAGATTGGCATCTCAATACTGACACGGGTACAGAGGCGCCGCCCACTGCACAGTCCTACCTCCATCCCCAAATCACCGTGTCGATGGTTGAGATGAGCGCCGGCAGCAGCACGACACGAATGGACTCCCCTTGGAAGATTGGCATCTCAATACTGACACGGGTACAGAGGCGCCGCCCACTGCACAGTCCTACCTCCATCCCCAAATCACCGTGTCGATGGTTGAGATGAGCGCCGGCAGCAGCATGACACGAATGGACTCCCCTTGGAAGATTGGCATCTCAATACTGACACGGGTACAGAGGCGCCGCCCACTGCACAGTCCTACCTCCATCCCCAAATCACCGTGTCGATGGTTGAGATGAGCGCCGGCAGCAGCATGACACGAATGGACTCCCCTTGGAAGATTGGCATCTCAATACTGACACGGGTACAGAGGCGCCGCCCACTGCACAGTCCTACCTCCATCCCCAAATCACCGTGTCGATGGTTGAGATGAGTGCAGGCAGCAGCATCACGCAAATGGACTCCCGCCGGAAAATCGGCTAGCAGTACTGAAACGGGTACGGAGGCGCCACCCACTTGGCGTCCGACGGAACACTCGAGGCGTCAATTCCCTTTCCCACCAACCACCACAAGAGGCATGGTTTCCCCAACTCACTGAGTCAATGGTAGAAATCAGAGCAGGCAGCAGCATGATGCATATGGACTCCCATCGGAAGATCGGCATGCCGTACTGAAACGGGTACGGGGGCGCCACCCACTTGGCGTCCGACAGAACACTCGATGCGTCGGTTCGACACGAGGCCATGAGGGCTTGCTTCTCGAAGCACGGGGAGGAGGAGGGGTAGATGGCCGAGGGCGAGCAGTCGGGGTAGCTGTAGACGCCCGCTAGGGTGACCACCAAGGCATAGAGCCACGTTATGGCCAGACCCAGGGAGATCTGCGATGGATGGGAGGGGGAGAAACGGGGAAAACACGTTGAAAGGGGAGCAGTCGGGGTAGCTGTAGACGCCCGCTAGGGTGAGCACCAGGGCATAGAGCCACGTTATGGCCAACCCCAGGGAGATCTGCAAGTGATGGGATAGGAGGGGGGGAACGGGGGAAACACAGGAGAGGAGGGATGAATAAGTTGGAAGAAGAGCAGTCGGGGTAGCTGTAGACGCCTGCTAGGTTGAGCACTAGGGCATAGAGCCACGTTATGGCCAGACCAAGGGAGATCTGCAAGTGATGCGCCTATAAAGAGCTGCAACTGAACTGAGCAGATAATGTTTGAGGCGCCTCAAAAACAGCTGGAACTGGAAAGAGCAGAGAGCGAAAAGTGCAGGGCGGGTTGAGGGGCTTACTGCGTGGATCTGGAAGAACCTTGAGCCCCAGAATGACACTCGGCGCAGGTACTGTTGAGAGGGAGGCACAGAGGTTGAGAGATATTCAAGAGTCACAAGCCGACGGCAGTGACTTACTGTTTCATTGTTGTAATGATATTGAAATATAGCATAACGTGGCAGAAGGAATGTGCTCATCAGGGCGAAGATGACTATGAGAATGAGCTCTGGCAGGCCAATGGCCACGCAGCGGCCGAGGGCAGTGAGTAGCTTGATGTTACAATGCTGCTATGATACAATACATTAGTTGCACTCAAGCCACATGCTCACCAGGGCGAAAATGACTATGAGAATGAGTTCGGGCAGGCCGATGGCCACACAGCGGCCGATGACAGGGAGTAACTTAGTGTTACAATACTGATGTAACATCTCGCAACACCTCACAAGAACGTAGTGACAGTAGCTTGTGCCACATACCAGCGCGAAGATGACGATGAGGACGAGCTCTGGCAAGCCGATGGCCACACAGCGGCCAATGACAGCAACTTCGGGTTACAGCACTGCTAAAGCATATAAGTTTCACTTGGAAGCGAATCAGTCACGTGCTTACCAGTGCAAAGATAACGATGAGGATGAGCTCTGGCAGCCCGATGGCCACGCAGCGGCCGATGACAGGGAAGCCATAGGAGAGGAAGGAGAGACCCACGGCCATGATGGTGGGGGCCACTACCACTGGGTTGATGAGCCTGCAGTGGGGGCCGGGGCATGTGTGATGGGGGATTGGGAGATGAAGGGGGAAGGGTAGATGACAGGGAAGCCATAGGAGAGGAAGGAGAGACCCACAGCCATGATGATATTATACCAGAAATGACAGAATCGGTGCTTACTCTATGAGGAGCGACATGAAGCCCGAATAGCCGGCAACGACTTGCAGCAGCGACGCCACGATCACTGCCCCCATCGTCTCCCGCATTGTCAACGAGAATCGCTGTGAGGGATCCGCGGTGAGGTTGTGAGGCGAGTTGGCGACGATGATAGCCGGTGCCAAGTACACGAGAGAGGACCCCTGCACGAGGGGCAGCCGCGTGCCCAGCAGCACGTGGAGCGTGGTCGCCACGCCCGTTACCATCATCACCGACTGAATCACCGCCGCCTTGTCGAGCTGCGATCAGGAAGAGGAAGCAGGGAGAACGGCGTGGAGGGCGGCTTATTGAGATTTTAAAGCACGTGGAGGGTGGTTGCCAAGCCCGTTACCATCATCACCGAGGGTGATCAAAACTCCAAGCGGTAGCGCATAAGTGGCATGCTAGTAATCTTTTGAGGCGCCTCAAAAGTCATAAGTGGCATGCTGATTATCCTGCCAAGTGCGATTCTCGCCAGCACCGGGAGCAGAGCAATAACTGATGTACTTACGTCGGAGCCTCCCATGGCGGGGACGAGTATCATCGGGAACACGATCACGTTCGCTATAAGCGCGATCATGTGCTGTAACGCGTACGCCACCATCCACCCGGCCTCGGGCCTCTCCCTCATCTCATAATTCATCACGCCCGTCCGTTCCTCCATCCCCTCCCCTAAAGGCATGTCGTCTACAATCACATCCTCCATCCCCACCCCTTGTTTATACATATCGTCATCTCCCCCCATATCCTCCCCCTCCGCGTATCCATATTCCCCCTCCGCCATCCGATACTCCCCCTCATACTCCCCCTCCGCTTCCCCCTCTTCCCCTTCCGGATACGGCGCCACCTGGCCCCCGCCAACCCTTCCGCCGATCGCCGCGCCTACGAATGCTCCGCCAACCCAACCCGCCGCTGCCGCTCCGCCAGCCTTCCCCCCGTGTCGGCTCGACACCTCTTCCGACCGTCGCGCGCTTCCCATTCCCGCGTCGCTCTCCTCAATTGACGAAACCCCCTCGTTCTCCGCTTCCGGTATAGTCGCAGAAGCGACCGCCTGGGGAGTTTTAGGCGACATGCTCCCGGCCCCGATACTGTCACTACTCGCTTCGCCCCGCTGCGCGACGGGGTAGCGGATTGAAGGCGCTTTCTTGAACGCGGATCGTCCGGGCGGTGGCGGAAGCTGCGGAGCGGAGACTTGCCCCCCGTGTCCCCCATTCCCCCCGTGACCCTCGTACCCGTCGTATCCCTCGTGTGCCGAGTGCCCTTCCCCCTGACCGTGAAACCCGCTCGCTTGGAAACTACTGCCGTCTGCGCTGCTAGCGCGGGACAGCGAAGCGGGTTCGCCTGGAGCGGGTGTGACTGTATTGGTGCCATCGGTGACGTCAACGACGCTGTCCCGGCGCGGGGACATGAAGCCACTGACCAATCCCGTGCGCCGAGCCCACGAGCCTAGAGCCTTGGGATTGAAGCCATGGTCTTGCGGAAGAGGGTCCATGCTTGTGTCTTACTTTTCGACGAGGACGACGTAACAAGGGTTTGTCGAACAGAGATTCGGAAACTCGAATCGTCAATAGGTTATGGTCTATGTGGTCGACGCTAGGTTAGACTTTTCTTCGAAATGGCCCAATGCGTTTAGGAGGACCAGACTCATGGGCAACGAGCTATTTACGCGGCAGACTAAAGGCCGTCAGTCCATCAATAAATACGTGTAATCCTGATATAGATTACTCTGAGACAGTCAGGTCTCAACCCTAAACCGTCATGGGCTCAGCTGATAGTATACTCGTGTGATTTTCCAGCAAAGCTTGGCAGTCCTATTGAAGTGACACCACAGCAGCTACTAATGCGATGGAGAAAGCGAGGTCGAAAAGTGAAGTCGGGGAAGGCACGGAATGGAAAGAACCTGGAATATGTCGGCTTGGTTGGTGTATTTCCCCAGTGGGTGTCTGTCTGTCTCGTCAGTGATATGGGAGGGGGGGAAAGAACCGAGCCGCATGTTTCGCGCGCTCCGATGCGATGCTACCGCTCATCTTTCGGCTGTGGGGATTTCTTTGGATCCGGACCAGAGGAAGCGGTGAATGGTTCGCACGGAGAACGAAAGGCAGCTTCTACCGAGGTTGTCCCCACGACACCGGGATTTGCCGATAGAGTTGAGGCTTTTCGCAACCACTGCCTCGGCAACCTCTTTTGTGCATCGTGAACCGTGCGAATCTCGATACTCCACGATTTATGCTCCCTTCGTGGACGTGAAGTGGGCACCCTACATCCTTCTCAGTCTCGTCAGATTTCGCCGGCCCCGAGATGAAGGAGCAGTCTGGTAACAATTTCTGACAACCCGACCAAACCCCGCCGAGTCGAGCCGCCGTGTCAGCGGGCCAGAGGACCTGACACAACGAAAAGCTATGTGTGAAATCCGTCAAAGTGGAGCGCACTTTTACGAATAACCATCTATAAGCTGAGTGAGTGTAGTAAAGGGCTTCAAGTATATCTAAATTGGAAAAGGATAACACAAACCAGTAGTTCCTAGCATCTGTACTGAGAGTTTCAAAATCCAACATTCCAAGCGTAAAATAAAATCTACGAATCGGATCCGATTGTACTTCACGACTATGTCACAACCTTCTGCGCTCCTCAGCATCCCCATCTGTTGATGCAGCTGCCTCCGCACTTTCCTTCAAGCCAGCCTTCTCTTTCACCCTCCAGAACCTCTTCTGCACAACGAGCACCTGTTCCTCCTCCCCATCAATAAACGTCCTCGATACAGGCCCCTTCAATACAATCCACTTCACCGCCTTCAACCGCTTCTCCAAGCGTGCAATCACATCGGCACTATCACGGAAGAGCAGAACACCCTTGGGGCGGAGGATCCGATCGAGCTCAAGTAGCAAGGCCTCCAAGGAGCATTTGCGCTTGAGGACTTGAGACACCGCCCTCCATGCATGGACGAGGTCGTAGGTCCGGGGATACGTTGAGAAGGGCTCGCACCTGAAGCAGGAGACATAGTAAACAAACAAGTGCCAGTTTCAAAAAACAAGGACAGACGCAGAGGATAGCAACAAGGGGCAGCAAACCAGGCCCTCCACAATTACCCCATGTACTATGCTGAGGTCCCCCAATCACCCCAATGCCACTCACCAGTCGTGGTAAACCCTGATGAGCCCGCGGTCATACACCATGGCTAGCCCAGCACTATTGGCTCCCCCCTGCGGCGGCACCGTGTTCATCACCAACACTGCCTGCCCCTGCGCTGCCAGTGCCACTGCAAATCCCTTCATGTGCCTATGACCCCCAACCTTAAAAGCTACTCACCAGTCATGGTAAACCCCGATGAGCCCGCGGTCATACACCATCGCCAGCCCAGCACTGCTGGCCTCTCCCTGCGGGGGCACCGTGTTCATCACCCATACTGCCTGCGCCTGCGCTGCCAGCGCCGCTGCAAACCCGCCCATGTGCGCATTGATGTCAATCACGTTGCGAATGGGGTACGCCGCTTTGGAGCCTTTGCCCTTTCCGCCCTTGAGTGTGGAATCTGCAGGACGAAGCAGGGCCTGCCCGCCCAACAGGGTGTCATAGTCTGCTACTATCTTCTCCCACGCTTCCTGTTCATGGGGGAGGGGTAGAGGGAGGGCAGGAACGATGGGTGCTGATGTGAGTGTTGATGTCAATGACATTGCGCATGGGGAAGAGCGCTTGGAGCCCTTGGTCTTGGAGGCTGGCTATGAAGAAGAAGATTAACAGCAGCGCCCACCACATGAAACCCACCCTGTAAGAAAACCATCATCTCGAAACCACACGACCAGTGGGAGCAGCAACAACTCACCGTGTCGGCCTCGAAGTCGCTCTTGGCCAGCCCGAGCAGGTCGATTCGCGGGGAGGGGGACACCAGTCGTTCCGGCCACGGCTGAATCAGCTTGTTCTTCTTGCCTTTGGGTACTGTGTTCACACATGCATCCATGGGCGTGTACCAGGCGGAATTCGGCGACACCTGGGCGGCATCGCACAGGGGCGGCTCTGTGTCTGCCGCCCGCTTCTTGATGCACAGGTTCGTCTTTGGCTTCTTGAAGATGGCGGTTTGTCCACTCTGCGCCTTCACCTTCCAACACATGCGCCTGTAAGGATGGGTTAAGAAGGGTGGAGAGAAGTAAAGAGGATGAATGGAATTTGTGTTAACTTCCCTCGCTTGCAGACTCCCCTCGGCCTCACAATAACTCTCATGTTCACTCACATCCATGCCATTGGGTTCTTCTAAATCAACCGCATGACAGCCCACCGATTCACCCCAACGATTCAAACCCCCCATCTCACCCCATGAACGCCAGCATGTCAGTCCACAACTTCTGCTTCTCCTCGTCCTCACACTAACGAACCCATACCACCACAGCTTCTCACGCCACCAACACACCCCAACACACCCCAACACACCCCACCCCACCCACTCATCCCATCACTCACCCCATGAACGCCAGCATGTCGGTCCACAGCTTCTGGTTCTCCTCATCTTCGCGATACACAGGCGGCGCAGACCACACCCAGTAGCCCCCGGGCCGAATGACACGGTCCAGCTCCAGCAGCAGCAAGCCATCTGCAGGGCAGGCAGGCAGGGAGGGAGCGAGGGGGGAGTGGGGAGGCATGTTACAGCCTTACAGTACTGGGTCGTCCAGCTCTGAAAAGCTCAGCACTGGGTGTGTGATGACTGGGTCATACCTCTCTGCAGCCAGTCAATGAGGCAGCGGGAGCAATGAGCCAAATCGAACGCCAAGGAAGGGAGGGGGAGCCGCTGGGTCCCCATCACGCCTAAGAAGACCGGGAGTACGCTCTATAGCACGAATTGAATTTGATTCGCGTGCACATCGTTGGGAGCCACAGACATGGTCAGCACCGAGCGTGATGCGCTGCTGGGTGATGTGGGAGCCACAGCACTGACATGCTTACCGCTCTGCACCGAGCGTGTTGTGACACTTACCTCTCTGCAGCCAGTCAATGCGGCAGCGGGAGCAGTGGGCCAGATCAAACGCCAGCGAAGGGAAGGGGAGCCGCTGGGTCCCCATCACCCCCAAGAACGCAGGGAGACCCCTCTCTAGCGCGAACTGGATCTGATTCTCGTGCACATCGTTGGCGGCCACTGACATGGGCTGAATGTAACATGGGCTGACATGGGCTACAGCGCTGACATGGTCAGCAGCACTGAGTGTAAAGTGGCGCTTACCTCTCTGCAGCCAGTCAATGCGGCAGCGGGAGCAATGGGCCAGGTCGAACGCCAAGGAGGGGAAGGGGAGCCGCTGGGTCCCCATCACGCCTAAGAAGGCAGGCAGTCCTCTCTCCAAGGCGAACTGGATCTGATTCTCGTGCACGTCGTTGGGGGCCACTGACATGGTCAGCACTGAGTGGTCCAGCAGGTACGCGCCGAACGACGCCACCCCGCACCCGATGTCCAGAACCGTCCGGATCTTGCCGCCCACTGAGAAGTTGCCGTTCTCGTCTCCCATCATCTGACCAAGGGGATAGAAGATGTGTGGGAAGGGAGGGGATGGGAGAAAGGGGAAACGGGGGATTGAGATTGGGGGTGCTTCTGGCGGTTGAAACCTCCTCCTAGAAAGCTGCCCATCGTGTGATCAGCAGAGAAATGGAAGGAGAGAAGGCGAGAGAGTGAAGAAGGGCGCGCTACCACCCCCATGTACTACTCATCACCCCTTCATCCCCTCTTTCCCCCTTCCATCTCCTCCTCCCCTTGTCACATTGCCAATGCGTCCCCAGTGAAGTGTATGCAACCACACCAATATGCTCTCAACTAACGCCCTTCTCATCCTCCTCCTTCCCTCCTCCACCCTTCTCACCTTCCCTTGTGCTCAATGTTTTCGTCCGCCCCACCAGGAAGTGTGTGCCGCCGGCCACATGAACTCCCAGTCGCTTTTGAGAATTCTCAAAAGCGCCCCACCAGGGATGTGCGTGCCGCCAGCCCCATGAACTCCCAGAAAAGTGTGTGCTCTCATCACCCTTTCGCCCTCTTTAACCTCTCTCCTCTCTCCACCATCTCACCTTCCCAATGTGCTCGATGTATTTGTCTGCGCCACCAGGAAAGTGAGTGCCGCCGCCCGGAAATCGGATGATGTCGCCGTCCACCACCATCCAGTGCTGATCCGATTTCTCTGTTGCCAGCAGCGTGTGGGGGACATTAGCGCGCCACACCTCGTCCCTGCTGCGCGGCCAGGGGATGGACGTCTGGCAGGAGGAATTGAGGGGGGCGAGGGGTGGGGGAGGGTTGTAAATTCCTCAGTTGCCAGCAGCGAGTGGGACACATTTGCACGCCTTATCCCAGCTGCACGGCCAGGGGATGGACGTCTCGCACAAGGGAAAACAAAAAAAAAAATCACATTCAAGCCCTGCAAGTGCCCATGTCTCCCACCTTAAGCCCTGCTACCCACACCATATCTCACCTTGTAGCCTGGCGGCTGGGGCACGAGGCAGTGAGGCATGAGGTCGTATGGCGGGCAGTGGCGCTCATAATGCTCCATCACCTTCGTGTTCAGCTTCAGCTTCATGCACCCACCCCCCTCGCCTCACACCCCTCTTTAACCCGCCTGTCGCTCACCTTGTAACCAGGAGGCTGCGGCACGAGGCAGTGAGGCATGAGGTCGTCCGGGGGGCAGTGGCGCTCGTAGTGCTCCATCACCTTCGTGTTCAGCTTCAGCTTCATCCGTACCCAACACCCTGGACTTTCCCCGCCCCGCATCCCCCTCTACCCCTGCACGTCTGCTCCACCCGTCCCCACACCCCTCTAGCCCAACACTCTCACCTTGTAGCCTGGCGGCTGGGGCACGAGGCAGTGGGGCATGAGGTCGTCAGGCGGGCAGTGGCGCTCATAATGCTCCATCACCTTCGTGTTGAGCTTCAGCTTCATGCGCTTGTTCATGGCAGGGCTCAGACATGGCACTATCTCTGACAGCTCAGGGTCACACGCCTGGGATGGAAGGGAGAAAGTGAGAAAGCGAGTAAGGGAAGATCTTGTTGTTGAGCTTCAGCTTCATATTTTCATGCGCTTGTTCATTGCGGGGCTCAGACACGGCACTATCTCTGACAACTCAGGGTCACACGCCTGGGTGGAGAGGGTTGGGAAGTAACATCCAGAGAAGGGAGGGCAGAAACATGAACGGAGAGAAAGAGTGACGGAGGGAGGGAGAAAGCCTATGGTGTTGAGCTTCAGCTTCATGCGCTTGTTCATTGCAGGACTCAGGCACGGTACTATCTCTGACAGCTCAGGGTCACGGCATTATTTCTGAAAGAAGAACGAATGACAGGCCTACCTCGTACTTCTCAACCGGTTTCTCTGCAGCGCTACTCTCCTCCTCCTCCCCGTCCTGCTCAGCACCATCCGCGCTCTCCCCCCTCAGCTTCTTGCTCTTCGTCTTTCCCTTCTTGCTCGTCTTTCCACTCTTCTTACTGCTCTTCCCCTCCTCCTCCTCACTCTCTTCTCCGCTTTCCTCCGAACCTTCCTCCTCTCCCTCCTCGCTTCCCTTCTTCGCCTTCCTCTTTGCCCCACCTTTGCCTGCACTCTCCCCCTCCTCCTCACCCCCATCCCCTTCCCCAGCATCATCAGATTCCTCTTCCTCCTCCCCACTCTTTTTCACTTTCCTTTTCGCTGCTCCTCCCTCCTCTTCCTCCTCCTCCGCACTCTCCTTCCCACCATCCTCACTCTTCTCTCCTCCTTCCCCTTCCTCCTCCTCCTCACCCACCTCCTTCGCACTCTTCTTCTTCCCCTTCCCACCCTTCAACCCAGCCTTCCCTGCTTCAGCTGCCACCGTATCCTCTTCAACCTCCGCATCAGCTGTACTCTCCACCTCTTTTTCCCCCTTCCCCTCAACCCCTTCCTCATCTTTCTCCCCCTTCCCATCACCCGCCTCCTCTTCCGCATCCTCCCCCTCCTCCTTCCTCGCCTTCTTCGCTCCTTTCACCTTTTTGCTCGACTTCACGTCCCCTTCCTCCCCTTCCTCCTCCCCTTCCTCGCTCTTCTTCTCACCGTCCTCTTCCTCCTCACTCTCCTTCGCTGCAGCCTTCTTCTTTCCTCCCTTCTTGCTCACACTCTCTTCCTCCTCTTCACTCTCGGACCCCTTCTCCTCCTCCTCTCCCTCTTCCTCACTCGCCTTCACCTTCTTCGCTTTCTTGCCTTTCGGCTTTTCCTCGTCTTCCTCGCTCTCATCTCCCTTCCCTCCCTTTCCATCAGTTTCCCCATCACTCCCCTCCTCTTCCTCTTCGCTCGTTTTCGCCCCTTTCGCCTTTTTCGCAATCGGAGAGGCCTCTTCCTCCTCTTCCGCGTCCTTCTCGCCTTTACCCTTTTTCTTCTTGCCTCCACCGCTCTCTTCTTCCTCCTCCTCACTACCTCCCTCCTCCTCCGCCTCCTTCTTCCCCTTACCCTTCTTCGGCTTACTCTCCTCCTCCTCTCCCTCCTCCCCGTCCTCCCCTTTACCCTTCACCCCCTTCTTCACACTACCCTCTTCCTCCTCGCCCTCCTCTTCCCCATCCTTAGCCTCAGAACCCTTCGTACCGCTCTCCTCCTCCTCTTGCCCCTCCCCCGCTTCATCCTTTTTCTTCGCCTTCTTCCCACCTGCAACCCTCCCTCCCTCCGCCTCTCCATCCGCACTCCCCTCATCCTTCTCCTCCGCATCAGACCCTTTTCCGTCCACCCCACTGTCGTCATCTTCACCTTCTTTCTCCTTCTCAGCACCAACCTTTTCCTCCTCACCCTTCTCGCTCGTCTCTTCCTCCTCTCCTTCCTTCGCCCCTCCCGCCCCTTCAGATCCTCCAATTCCATCACCATCAGCATCTGCAGCAGCCGCCGCCGCTGCCGCCTTCTCATTGTCGCTAGAGCGGCTATGCAACAAACCTTCCTCCGCCTGACCATCCCCGCCCTCCGAATCCCCCTCCTGCGCAGCAGCGTCCTGCGCGTCTCTCTCTCTTTCCGCCTGCGCGCGCGCGTCCCCCCCGCGCGCCCCCCGCAGGCCCTCCTGCGCGGCTGACTCGCCGCCCTCCTCCTCGTCCGCGGCTCTCCCGGGGGGTTCCATGTCGGAGTCTGCGGGCTCCCTGTAACGAAACAGCCAAGGGAGCGATTCAAAACGCGTACAGCGAGGTCGACACAGGGAGCATCCTTCGACAGCTTGGATTGTGATATAAAGTATCAGGGTACCACACTCCACTTGTCCCAAATGAAAAATTATGGGAAACGAGGCACACGGATTTGGACAAAATAAGGGGGGTCCGGAGGACAGAAAGAGTACCCGGCGGGTAAGGGAACTCAGGAACAAGAAAGCATAGCCGACGGCTGAATGGATTCGGAGAAGAAACAACAGGGTACCCGGCGCCATTCATTGGAGGCAGATTCAGGCTGAGCTTGCTAGAATCCCGAATCTCCTGTTCCTCTGGCTCATCTAGGTGCATTTTAAGTAAACTCAGAACAGATCCGGAGAAGCAAAACCGAACCTGGCGCCCTTCGCTGGAGGCAGATTCAGGCTGAGCTTTCTAACATCCCGGATTTCGTGCTCCATGGGCTCACCTACGTGTAGTTCGTGAACTCATAACAGATCGGGAGAAACGTATACGTACCCGGCGCCCTTCACTGGAGGCAAATTCAGGCTGAGCTTGCTGGAATCCCGAATCTCGTGCTCCATTGGTTCATCCCCCAGCGCATCTGACGTGTTGGGCCCTCCAAGGCCGTCTCCTGCCCGATCCTGATCCTCGTCCTGCATGGAAAGGACAGCACATGGAAACGCATTACAATGTTGGACCGTGTTAGGACCTCCATGGCCGTCTCCCGCCCGATCCTGATCCTCGTCCTGAACGAAAAACTCAACATATAAGAATTTCGAAATAATGCGTATCAGAACCGCGGACAGGAAAAAACTGTGAGACGATTCGTGTCCGGATATGGGAGAAAAAACTGTACCAAGGGAAGCTGGATTCTGGATTCGTAAATACCAAGCTGGAAATGATCGACACGTGTCACGTCGGACAAAAGATCGACACGTGTCGAGTTAACTCCTGATCCTTAAGGTACGCCTTAGAGTGGAGTCCCGATCGACACGTGTTTGATCGGATTCAGGACCAAAAGGTGTCTTAAGGAATCCTGATCAAGAAACACCTTTGAGTATCAAATTGCTATGATCAAAACGGGTTCGCACAATGGCGACAAGGCCGAGTGATTCTTTCAGTGGAGATCAGGCAATCACGAAAATGACGAATCCTTTTCAAGAATAGAGCGATCATACCACGGACGATGTCGGAATCGGTCCCGGCTTAAAGCCACTGAAGAGGTACGCCGCGACGAGCAGGAAGAGGACGAAGGCGAAACAGAATGCCGCCAGAGTCCGTCGGCCGGCCTGCTGGTGCTGCTGCTGGTGATGGTAATCGAATCGCCTCGCCATCGCGTGGCGACGGATTCAGGAACAAGGAAGAGGAGACTAAAAACGGTACGGCATGAACGGTGGAGCTTTCATCAATCAACGGCAATCGGAGACGCAGAGCAGCACCAATAAGCAGCCGCAGAGAAGGGACAAGTAAAAAGGGAATGGAAACTGGTTTGGCTGCAGTTTCAGGCTATGGATCTGGATGATCCAGGTGAACGCTGCTGATGATTATGGGATCAGCGGGAAGCTAAAAAGGTATTCTGCACGGTTCATTAGGTTTTCAGAAGGCGTATACATCGGCGATGAAATCTGACACAAGGCGTGGGTTGACAACAACCGTGCTTGAGCGCGACACCAGCATGGTGGTGAATTTGCTGTTTCTGGAGAACCCCCAGATGGTTTCTGTGGTGGCTTGGGAATAGATTTCCCAGATCTAGATCCGACGGTTGAGACGCACAGCGGTGTTTCCTTGTTCCGAATTCGCGCGCAGATCTCCATGTTGTTGTGTGCCGCGCGGAGCCTGCCTAGCTCCAGCCGCCAGGCACTTTGCGCCTTGCGCGCGGATCAATGATCCGCCCGCGTGGATAACTGCGGGCGGGATTTGCTGGTTTGTCAAGTCGCACGACGCTTCGTTACAGTAGACCACAGTCGCACGCAAGCGAACACTTTTTCTGACAGAATGTTATTCCAACGAGCGAAAATATGACGACATTCGGCTGCCACGCACGCAGCCTTGGGTTTCCACGTGATATTAAAACAACCAATCGAAAGCCACCTTACTTGTGCAAAAATCAAACCTCGCTAACGATCAGCACCGAGCAGCACCAGAGATAGGATATTGGGGCTTCAATAAGGGCGTGTTACATTTTTTACTTCAGCCCCGTCGTCCGGACACTTTAGTGGTTACTCTGCTCGTTTGAATTCGCGTAGTTTCTCGTTAGATCAGTTGCGACGTCGTTAACGTTCGGACCGCCGATGAAACATTTTGCGTTAAACTGCCTTCCCAAATCGACCGGCCGTTACCGTTCAGTAAGTGGACGGACGTCGCATTAACGCAATTTTATTGGTCAACGAACTGATTTCTTCGAATAGTATGGCTGCTACCTTTATCGTCACGACATCGTAATCATGGTTACAACTCGCAAATACAATTAATTTCGTAAGCCTGAAAATGTTTCATTAAGGGTGCGTGTCCTTGAGGTTGAACTTTGGCCAAAAGTTGAACTTTTAGAAAGGTTGTACGCGGTAAAATACGGTTAAAAAACGTGTCGCCACGTTACAAAGCGGTACTAGGCTCGAACTTTGACAATCTACACCAAAAGACACGCGCCCTAACAGCGTCGGACGAGGCTTAATCCGGACGCTGGACTCGGACTGTCAGATGTTCGGAATCTAAAACCGTTTTCAGACGGTTGACCGGACGGCTTTTAAAAAATGAGACACGCCCTAAACTATGCCTCACACCGAGTTTTTTATTCCTAGTTTCGTGATAAAGCTGCCTAACCCCTCGGTCCTTGGAATTGCCGGAAGTACTACTGACTCAGCAGCATGGCTCCTCATGGTGACGATGCGCACCATTCATGTGGAATTCCCGCCGTAGAAGGCGCTCCTAGTTCCGCGTATCCAATGGTGTCAGTTGACGAGGCTCAGAAGCTTGTCCTCGAGCACGCGAAACCGCTTCCAGCGGTTACGGTTTCGTTGAACGAATCGCTAGGATGTGTGCTCGCGAAAGATTTCATTGCTCCCGAGCCGATGCCTCCGTTTCCGGCCTCAATCAAGGCAAGATACGGCAATTGAGACAGAATTCTCCATCATATTGCTCTGTTGCTTCCTTCCTGATTAGAGCCGCTGCAATGGAAAAAAATACGATCACTCTCGCGACGCTGTCTGTGGATCCTGAGTCGACTCATCCGTCTCCTTCTTTGGGTTCTCTTCCTGACGGCAGGATGGCTACGCTGTGGTGGCATCAGACGGGCCAGGCGAATACCCCATTATTGCCGAGGCACGTGCCGGGGATGATGCAGCCAATGTGGTGGTGACACCTGGCACCGTCGCTTACATCACCACGGGAGGTGCGTACTTTTAATAGGTATGTATTCTCGATAAGATATGTATGCATTCCTTGCGAGGAATGTACTCTGTATGAGTAAAATCTCCTCTCCATCACCAATTTACGCACACCAAGTTCTGAGCCGTATCAAGTCCTGTTTGATTCTCCCAGCGGCCACATCATGACTAATTTCTTCTTTGTCAGCGCTTTCTCTCACTCTCCCGCCTCCCAGGCCCGGTTCCCCAGGGTGCAGGCGCGGCGATTCAAGTGTAGGATACGCTTCCTGTTGACCCCTCCAGCGGCCATGCCATGGCTAATATGTATCATCTTCAACTCTCTTTCTCCCATTCTCTCTCCCCACTCTCAGGCCCGGTTCCCCAGGGTGCAGACGCGGTGATTCAAGTGGAGGACACACTTCCTGTTGACTCCTCCAGCGGCCAGAGGCGTGTGACTATAGTGAAGGGCGCTACAGTGGGGCAAGACATCCGACCTGTGGTGCGTGCGTTGGAATTGTTCCCTCTGTATTGGAATCTGGAAGTTGGAAGTATACGAAACTTCTGCCTTGCTGATTGACATTCCTGCCGTGGGTCCTCTCTGCTGCGCCCCTGCATGCACACAGTGACACGAATGTGAGCATACACTGCGTATCTTTCCACGTTGAACCTTATCCAATCCCCCCTCCTCACATCCAACCTCTTTTCAGGGCTCGGATCTTGCAGCTGGCACGGTGGTGCTGCGGGCGGGGGAGCACCTTGGGCCAGCGGAAATAGGCCTGCTGGCAACCGTGGGGGCTGCACACGTGCATGTGAGTGCCGTTTCGTGCTTGCCTTGCATGTTTATTTGGCTTCACTTGCTTATCTTGCAACGTGCTGGAGCCTGGAGGCGTGTTACGAACGAGAACTCTCATAATAGGTGCAGGCAAATGACTTGCTTACTTCACTGCTGTTAGTCTTCTCCTCTTCCCATCCCCCCTCTACACACCCTCAGGTGCACCGGCAGTCGTTGGGAATAGTCCTCTCAGCAGGCGACGAGCTCGTAGACCCTGCACAGAATGCCAGCGCCACTCTCCCTCCCTCTCCCATTCCTCGTCCCCCCCTCTAATCCTCGCCACATACTCTCAGGTGCACCGACAGCCTCTGGTAGCCGTTCTCTCCACGGGCGACGAGCTCATAGACCCTGCACAGAATGCCAGCGCCACTCTCCCTCGCGGCATGGTGAGTCGCCCCGCACAGCGGCATGTTGAGTCGCCCCGCACAGCGGCATGGCACACGTGGGAACCAGATCATCCTAGCTCATAGACCCCACGTGTCATTCATTCATATCATACATATGCCCCACCCACACTGCACGCCCCGCCACTCCCCTCATCGTCATCTCCTCCCCCTCGTGGCTTGCCGGGATAGCAGCCCGCAATGTGCCGTCACATGTCTTTTGCTTTTCCATCCCTGATTTTGCACATTCTGTTCTTTAAACGAATTTCCCATGAGTCGCCTCAGTACATCCTTCGGATGTCCCGTTTCCCCTCTCTCCTGACGTGCAGATTAAGGACGCCAATTGCTCCATGCTGTTGGCGGCTGTGCGCCACCACATAGGAGCAGCAGCAGGAGGAGAAGCATCAGCAAGAGCAGCATCAGCAGCAAGAATGTTCTTCAAACATCTTTTCCGTGTCTTGCTCCCCTCTCCCTCTCTCCCTCTCCCTTTCCGTGCAGATACGGGACGCCAATCGCTCCATGCTGCTGGCCGCTGTGCGCCAACACTTGGGAGCAGCAGCAGCATCACCAGCATCCGAACCAGCAGCAGCACCAGCAGCGAGCTGCCCGGCCCCCCTCGATCTGGGAATAGCAGCGGATACAGAGGAGGCCGTGGCAGCAGCGTTTGAGAGGGCACTAGCAGCGAGGGCGGATGTGGTGGTGGCGTCTGGAGGCGTGTCCATGGGCGATAGGGACTTTGTCAAGCCGCTTCTGGAGAGGCTGGGGACGGTGCACTTTGGGCGGGTGAGTGCTGCTCATTCAAACGTTACTTCATATAAATGCAGTCATGGGTACAATCCATCATCTAGCATCTAAACTACAGTCTCCTCTTATCCTCCCTTCCCTCCTCTTGTTGTCATCCCTGCTCTCTTCTTTCCTCTCCCTCCTCTCTCTCCTCTCTACCAGATTCACATGAAGCCAGGCCAACCTCTTGCCTTCCTTCAGGCATCTGAAAAAAATCATCTCCCCTTACTTCACACTCTCTCTCCTCTCTACCAGGTCCACATGAAGCCAGGAAAACCGCTCACTTTCGCAACCATTGAAACCGCCTCGGATAAGACGGACAGCGCCGCCCAGCCGCACCGAACGATAGTCTTTGGGCTGCCCGGGAATCCGGTCAGCTGCATGGTGTGCTTCAACCTGTTTGTGCTGCCCGCTATCCGGCAGATTGGGGGGTGGCGTCAACCCCTGCTGCACAGGTAAAGAGGGGAAGGGAAAGTGGGGGAGGGGGAAGTAGGCAGGAGGGGCGGAGAAGGAAGGAGGGGGAGGGAAACGACTGTCTGTCCTCAACGTGCTTGTGCTTCTACCTTTTCTATACGGCAGATGGGGGGGTGGTGTCAGCCCCTGCTGCACAGGTGAGGAGGGGAAGGGGGCAGGGGTGAGGGGAGGGGAGGGAAACAGCGAGGGGAGGGGGAAGGGAGATAGGGTTGACAGGGAGGAATGGGTGAATGACAGCGCGAAGGTTGTCCTATCCCAATAGGGAGAAGGGGACAGTGGAGGTGATTGGAGGTGATTGGAGGTGATTGGAGGTGATTGAAGGTGATTGGAGGTGATTGGAGGTGATTGAAGGTGATTGGAGGTGATTGGAGGTGATTGGAGGTGATTGGAGGTGATTGGAGGTGATTGGAGGTGATTGGAGGTGATTGGAGGTGATTGGAGGTGATTGGAGGTGATTGGAGGTTATTGGAGGTGATTGGAGGTGATTAGAGCAAAGCAAGTGAGTAGTGCACTCGGTTTTCCTGCTTGTGTCAACCCTCACCTATGCCCGGTTGCTCTCCAGCCTTCTCCTCCTCAAGGCATTAAGCGGCTCTGTGTCCCCCCTTCCCCCCGTAATCCATCCCCCAGGGTTCAGGCCTACATCTCTTCATCCCTCCGCTTGGACCCTGAGCGCCCCGAGTACCACCGGGCATCTCTCCACTTTGAGCCCAACGTCTCTGCTGCTCTTGCCTCCTCTGCTGCTGCTGCTTCTCCGCCTTCTTCCACCGCCATGTCTGGGTTCATAGCGGACAGCACAGGCAGGCAGATCAGCAGCCGGCTGCTCTCCATGCGGTCAGCGCACTGCTTGCTTGAGCTTCCCCAGGCGCAGGGCTCCCTCCCTGCAGGCTCGCTGGTCTCGGCGCTGCTGCTGCCCGATGCTGCTGCGTGCCTGGCGGTCCCTGGGATGGCCGTGGGGAGGACGGAAGGAGGGGCGGCTGTGAGAGGGGGGGGAGGGGGGGGGGGGAGGGGGAGAAGCATGGGTGTGGGTGCAGCGATGGGCATGGGAAAGGGCATGGGCATGGGCATGGGCATAAGCAAAGCGCTGCTGCTACTTCCGCTCCTGCTGCTGCTGCTGCTGCTGCTTCTCCTGCCACTGCAGCTGCCTCCACTGTGGGTGCAGGTGTGCGAGTGGCGATTCTAACTGTCAGTGATACTGTGGCGGCAGGATTAGCAGCAGATGCCAGGTAAGGTGATGCAATTGCCGTTTTCCGCCATGTGAAATCTACCGAGGTATCTTGAGTTGAGACGTTTAAAATTTTGAAGTCATGCTCTTAGTTGCATTCTACCATTCCTGATTTTACAAGGAGAGTGTTACTTTTGAAATTCTCGAATTCAAGAGTGCCCCGTCCTTGTTTCGAAGATTACCTACATGCATCCCCCCCCCTCCCCCTTCTCCCCCCCCTCCTCCTCCTCCTCCTCCTCCTCCTCCTCCTCCTCCTCCTCCTCCTCCTCCTCCTCCTCCTCCTCCTCCTCCTCCTCCTCCTCTTCCTCCTCCTCACCCCTCTTCGTCACTCCCTTCTTCCCTACATCCCCGTTTACCAATTCCCAATTCCTTCAGTGGGCCCAGGGCAGTGCAGGCAGTGCAGTCGCTGCTGCCAGCAGCAGCAGTGGTGGCGACGGCTGTCGTTCCCGATGACCCAGACAAGATAGCAGCGCAGGTCAAGGCATGGGCGGATGGGGAAGAAATTTCTGCGTCAACTCCTGAGGCAGCGGGTGTGACAGCAGTGGATGTGATTATAACGACAGGGGGCACGGGGTTCTCCCCTAGGGATGTCACTCCTGAAGCCTGCGCGCCGCTCTTCCACCGCTCTGCACCAGGCCTCACCCATGCCATGCTGCAGGAGAGCCTCAGAGTATGTTTTCTCTTTTTCTTGGGGTAGGGGGAAGAGGGGAGTTTCAGGCTTGAGGGACGTAGGGTGGTGAGAGTCCTTGCCCTCTGGTACCTTCTTTCCTCTCTCACTTGTCGGTCTGTGTTGTCTATGTGTTCTCCTCTCGTTCTCCTCTCATTTCTCCCCTGCAGATCACACCCTTTGCCATGCTCTCGCGAATGGCTGCAGGCATTAGAGGCTCCACTCTGGTGAGATGGCATGCATGGGTGCATGGGTGCATGGGTGCATGGGTGCATGGGTGCATGGGTGCATGGGTGCATGGGTGCATGGGTGCATGGGTGCATGGGTGCATGGGTGCACTGGGCAACCTTCCAGGCAACTCCATTGCACTTTCTCATGCCTGGCTGACGCCGCAACTCCATTTCCTTAAGTGTCTGGCTGATCTTGTGCTGTGACTGCCGCCGCAATCACTTCTCGTGACACCACCCACTCACCATGCCCCCATCAGATCCTCAACCTGCCAGGCAACCCCAACGCGGTTTCAGTATGCCTGTTTGGGCTCGTGCTGTCACATCCACCTCCCACACTTAATCCCTTTGCCCACCTACCCACCATGTGACCCCTCAGATCCTCAACCTGCCAGGCAACCCCAACGCGGTTTCAGAATGCCTGGCTGGCTGCTCCCATGCTACAGCCGCTTCTTCATCCCACGTCTTGACCCCACCCCCCATCCACCATGTGACCCCTCAGATCCTCAACCTGCCAGGCAACCCCAACGCGGTTTCAGAATGCCTGGCTGCACTCATGCCTGCTCTTCCCCATGGCTTGAAGCAGCTGAAAGGGGACAAGCGGGAGAAGCACCCCCGCCACACGCCCCACCCTGGCATAGCCAAGTGATGACTAGCTGACAGACATACGGTAGCTGAAAGTCTACGTGGTATTGAAATGTCCCATTGCTGCCCTCATGCCGGCTCTACCTCTTCGCTTAAAGCAACTCAGAGACAAAGAGGGAGAACCATGCGCCCCACCCTGGCATAACCAATTGAACCAAATGAGCAGTATGTGTTCTTGTTCTGTCTATGTAATGGTATGCAAGACTATACAACAAACCGAATTATACATTCAGAATCCAAGCCAGTTGAATATGTGATGTACCTCACTTTCCCCTCGTAAATATGTTGGTACAAATTTGGTTTAACATGTTCATTTGAAATTTGCATTTCGAGGTGAATTTGTTCTCCCGCACTTTTCAACGCGCGGCAGCCTGTGTCGCAGCACTAAGGGCGTATCTTGGGTTCCGGTCATGAGCACTGTTCCGGGCATGCGCGAATTGCGGATGCCCGGAACAACTAAAAACACCACTTTGGGTTCTCGGGACTCATGCGACCCCCAAATTGGCGCGAGCTTTTCGCGCCAAAATTACGCCCCAAACAACAGTCGCATCCAATGGAGGGATGCCAGAACAGTCCGAAAGTTCGTTTGCGACTCCCACGCAAAACACGATCGCTAAAAATTTCGGCATGAATCCCCAAATGTTGGGAGCGCGACGCGGGGAATGTTAGACACATTTCGTGGGTCAATAGGGTCATTTTGCCGAGTGGTTTGGTGCAGAGGTGTAGGATACGGTACACGGGAAAATTCTGGCACTCGACTGGACGACCGCCAAAATTTCGGCAGTCTAACGTGAAACGTGCAACCAGGTGATTGGTTGGGGGTGGGTCGTGCACGTCAGTCGCCCACCTGCTGCACATTGACCCAAAGCTGGGGCCGCGCGCGGCTCGGCAGCCCACTTCGGGTCATGCGCAAAAACCGCATGACCGGAACAGAGCCATGAACAGTGCTCATGACCGGAACCCAAGATACGCCCTAATATTGCATCCTTCCCCACTATTCTGGCCTGCGACACGTGGGGCGCGAATTCGGTGCATGCGCGCTATTTGCCGCGACTCTTCTTCACCTCGTAGACGGTCACGTTTTTCCTGCCACCGTGTGGATCTTTTCCCTCTAGAGCGTTGCTGGGAGGGGAAGAATATAGAGTGATTTAGAGAGTCATGTTTGACGCACGGCGCGGGGCCAGTATATTGCGAATTCGGTACAGAGGGGAGACGGGATGAAACTGCACGTGTGTGAAATATCGGGGCGCCGTTGCGCACCGCTAGGCCAGTAACGCTGCTCCGTCGATATTAATAGCCCCGCTGTGTAATCCGTTGCGCGTTCTGAGGGTGGAGTGACTTATGCCCACGGTCGAGGGTGGTAGAAAGTGACTAAATACCAATCGAATTAGTTGTCACCTCGGGAGTAGTTTCACGTGGAGTTGGGTGCGCGCGAGAGGGCGTAATTAACTCCCGTGGGACGGGCGGCAGATTTGTGATGGAATCGCGGCGGGATGCAAGCGGCCTTCCAACGGGCATCAGCGTGATTCTCGGACTTGAGAATCCGCGGAACGGCCCGCCGCCTCTGCGGTGCTACGCGCGGCGGTTCTCGCCTCGCCTGGCGCAGCGGAATGGCGCGGACCTTCCGCCCGTTCCCGCGCAGAGGCGGAATGCGAGGGGGGTTGCGCCGGTTCCGCCCGTCCCGCACAGTCCGCCCGTTCCGCGTGTCCCCGCGCGGGGGAATGGCACGGAGGGTGTGGTTGAAGGCGCGCAGGCGGAAACGATTCCGCGGGCTGGGGGAGCAGCGGGGGAAGATGGGCAGGGGGGAGGGGGAAAAGGGATGGATGCGGCGGAAACAGGGGGATGCCGCGGGGGAGGCGGCAGGAGGGGGTTATGGGGTAGTGGGAGGGAGGGAGGAGTGCTAGTTGGAGGTGCGGGTGGGGCAGAGGGAGGAGTTTTGGCGGATGATGGTGGTGGGAGGGAGGGAGGAGTTTTGGCGGATGATGGTGGTGGGAGGGAGGGAGGAGTTTTGGCGGATGGTGGTGGTGGGATGGGGGGTGGTCGCCTGGGAAATGGCGAAGAGGCGCGGGAGGGGGGAGAGGTGGGGGGAGATGGGGATGGGGGGGATGAGGGAAATGTGGAGTGGGTAGGAGAGGACGAGGAGGGTGTTTGGGACGTGACAGTGGGGGAGAACAGAGAATGTGATAGTAAAGTGCGTGATATTAATGAGTTACTCTGTAAGAGCGGGGAGGAGAGGGACAAACGTACACGGCCTACAAGGGAGGTGGAGGACAAGGAGGGAGAGAGGGGGGCAGATAAGGTGAAGAAGGGAAAGCCAAAGGGGAAGAAGAAGGAGAGTGGGGAGGGGAAGGAGAAGGAGAAAGAGAAAGGGGAGAAGAAGGCGAAGGAGAGGGGGAGGGTGGGGGGGCATGACTACACGTGTAAGGAGTGTGGAAAGGCGTTCCTTCAGTCGGCAAGATTATGGAATCACATGGCCACCCACTCGAAGAAGGTGTGTCCGCTTCCCTCCCTCCCTCACTCACTCACTCACTCACTCACTCGCACACTCACTCACTCTCTCCCTTCTTCCCTCGATCCCTTCTTGCCTCGTCCTTAGCAGTTTGTCTGTCCACATGTCAATTGCCAAGGAAGCAGCATCGGAGCAAGCAGCATCCGAGAAAGCAGCAATGCAGTCGAATAAGTGCGAGTTGTTGTTTTACTGCAACTCCTGTTTCCATCCCTCAACGCCCCGTCCACTACAGTTTGTCTGTCCGCATTCCAACTGCCAGAAGGCTTTCGCATTCAAGTACAAGTTGAAGGACCATCTTCTAGTCCACAACCCCAATGCCCCTCAGGTGAGCTCTTCTCACTCGTTCTCTCCTTCCAAATCCCATCCCCTCCCCCCTCCCCCCCCCTCCCCCCTTCCCCTCCCCCTTTCTCTGTTCCCACAAGTTGAAGTATCATCTTCTCGTTCACAACCCCAGCATCTTCCCCAATGCCTTCCAGGTGAGCTGCCCTCGTTCTCTCCCCCTCCCTTTTTTCCTCTTTCCTCTTCCTCCTTCCCTCTTCCCCCATTTCGCTTCTGTCGTCCCCCTCCCTTATTTTCGACTCCCCGTTTTCTATCTTCCTCCTATTTCGTTCCTCCTCTTCCTCTCCTCTCGCTCCCTCCTAATCCTTGTCCACTTCCCTCCTCCGCAATCCCTCCTCTTCCCCTTCCCCCAAAATTGCGGCTTAAGCAATGCGTTTTGGATGTCCCCTCCCTGTTTTCTATCCCCGTCCCCACCCTCCCCACAATCTCCAGCACCCATGCCCTCATCCCCGCAATCGCCAACACCCATGCCCTCATCCCCGCAACCACCATAAGCCCCCCTGCTCTCTCCATCCCACCCCTACCCTCCCCCCAAACCACCAGCTCCCATGCCCTCATCCCCACTGCCCTTGGACCTTCAATCGTCGAGGCAACATGCTGCGGCATGCAAAGATGCTGCATTGTGAGGAGTGTGGGAATGCGTTTTCTCAGAAAGCCAAGTTCAAGAAACACATGGCCACCCACTCTAAGCAGGTGTGTTTCCCTCACCCTCTCACTCACTCGATCCCTCACTCACCCTCTCACTCACTTACTCGCTCCCTCACTCACTCACTCACTCACTCACCCACTCACTCACTCACTCACTCACTCTCTCACTCAATCTCTCGCTCTCCCGACCACTCACTCACTTTGCTCGCTCATTTGCTCACGCACTCATTCATCCTCCCCCTTTCCCACACACCCTCAGGGCTCCATGTCTCTATTCCTGGCTCAACATGTTTTCCTGCGTTGACTTCTGAGTCGACTCACAAGTCTGTCTCACACACCCTCACGGCTCCTTGTCCTTGATCCTGGCTCAACATGTTTTCCTGCCTTTCCATCGTCCCCTCGTCCCCTTGTTCCCTCATTGCCTCGTCCCTTCCACTGCATCAGTTGGTGTGTGTGTCCGTCCGCATGAAAATGGGTCAAAGACTTCCACCGCATCAGTTGGCGCAACAATTCTCTCTTCCTTCCTTTGAGACGTCTCAAAAATGGGTCAAAGAATTCCACCGCATCAGTTGGCGCAACAATTCTCTCTTCCTTCCCTCGCCCACTGCAGTTCGTGTGTCCCCATGAAAATTGCTCAAAGGCGTTCGCACTCAACTGCTGGTTAATGAGGCACCTTCTAGTGCACAACCCTAATACTCCTCGGGTAAGTTTTCTCGCTCATTCTCTCCCGCTCGCTCCCCACCTCCTTCCCCATTCCCCTTCTCCCTAATTCCTTTCCTCGTCCCCCTGTTTCCTTTCCTCGTCCCCCTGTTTCCTTTCCTCGTCCCCCTGTTTCCTTTCCTCGTCCCCCTGTTTCCTTTCCTCGTCCCCCTGTTTCCTTTCCTCGTCCCTGTTTCCTTTCCTCGTCCCCCTGTTTCCTTTCCTCGTCCCCCTGTTTCCTTTCCTCGTCCCCCTGTTTCCTTTCCTCGTCCCCCTGTTTCCTTTCCTCGTCCCCCTGTTTCCTTTCCTCGTCCCCCTGTTTCCTTTCCTCGTCCCCCTGTTTCCTTTCCTCGTCCCTGTTTCCTTTCCTCGTCCCCCTGTTTCCTTTCCTCGTCCCCCTGTTTCCTTTCCTCGTCCCCCTGTTTCCTTTCCTCGTCCCCCTGTTTCCTTTCCTCGTCCCCCTGTTTCCTTTCCTCGTCCCCCTGTTTCCTTTCCTCGTCCCCCTGTTTCCTTTCCTCGTCCCCCTGTTTCCTTTCCTCGTCCCCCTGTTTCCTTTCCTCGTCCCCCTGTTTCCTTTCCTCGTCCCCCTGTTTCCTTTCCTCGTCCCCCTGTTTCCTTTCCTCGTCCCCCTGTTTCCTTTCCTCGTCCCCCTGTTTCCTTTCCTCGTCCCCCTGTTTCCTTTCCTCGTCCCCCTGTTTCCTTTCCTCGTCCCCCTGTTTCCTTTCCTCGTCCCCCTGTTTCCTTTCCTCGTCCCCCTGTTCCCTTTCCTCGTCCCCCTGTTCCCTTTCCTCGTCCCCCTGTTTCCTTTCCTCGTCCCCCTGTTTCCTTTCCTCGTCCCCCTGTTTCCTTTCCTCGTCCCCCTGTTTCCTTTCCTCGTCCCCCTGTTCCCTTTCCTCGTCCCCCTGTTCCCTTTCCTCGTCCCCCTGTTTCCTTTCCTCGTCCCCCTGTTCCCTTTCCTCCCCCTATTCCTTTCCTCGTCCCCCTGTTCCCTTTCCTCTCCCTATTCCTTTCCTCGTCCCCCTGTTCCCTTTCCTCTCCCTATTCCTTTCCTCGTCCCCCTGTTCCCTTTCCTCTCCCTATTCCTTTCCTCGCCCCCCTGTTCCCTTTCCTCTCCCTATTCCTTTCCTCGTCCCCCTGTTCCCTTTCCTCTCCCTATTCCTTTCCTCGTCCCCCTGTTCCCTTTCCTCTCCCTATTCCTTTCCTCGTCCCCCTGTTCCCTTTCCTCTCCCTATTCCTTTCCTCGTCCCCCTGTTCCCTTTCCTCTCCCTATTCCTTTCCTCGTCCCCCTGTTCCCTTTCCTCTCCCTATTCCTTTCCTCGTCCCCCTGTTCCCTTTCCTCTCCCTATTCCTTTCCTCGTCCCCCTGTTCCCTTTCCTCTCCCTATTCCTTTCCTCGTCCCCCTGTTCCCTTTCCTCTCCCTATTCATGGTCCTCGTCCCCTTCCCCCGTCCCTCCCTATCCATATTGCATGTTCCCATCCCATCCCCTCCTCTTTCTTCACCCATCCTCCCTCTCTCACCTCTCCTACAATGTCTCAACATCTTCTCTTGAGCTCTGATTCTACTTCTATCAAGGAGACATGGAGTTTTGAAGTGCCGCAAAAGTCGTCCCATCCCCCTTCTATCTTCACACGTCCTCCCTCTATCGCCTCTCCTACAATGTCTCAAAAACTTCTCTTGAGCTCTGATTTTGCTGCTATCAAGGAGACATGGAGTTTACTGCCATCAGCAACCTGATTGGCCTGATTGCAAGGAAGACACATTGCAGTCTAACTGGTGCTCTTCAATTCTTCGTGACCTGTTCTCACCCCCACTGTTCTTCGTGACCTGTTCTCTTCCCCACCCCCACTCTCCCCGGTATTCACCAGCACCTGTGCTCTCATCCCCACTGCTCTCGGACCTTCAAGCGCCGAGACCACATGTTGCATCATGCAAGGAAGCAGCATTGCAGAGAGGAGGGGAGTGGGGGAAAGCTGCAGAGGGAAAAGAAGCAGCAATGTCAGGAGGAGAGGAGTGGGGAGAAGCAGCAGCGTGAAAAGAAGCAGCATGGGGGGAAGGGGGGGAGTGGGGAGAAGCAGCAGCGTGCAAGGAAGCAGCGTTGTCAGGAGGGGGGGAATGGGGACATGGTACAGGATGCAGGGACGCAGCATGGCCGGGAGGGGGGGAGTGGGGGCGAGATAATTTGTGTGTCTGGCGGGGAGGGGGGGAGTGGGGGCGGGGTAAAGAGCGCGGATGGGGGAGTGGTGGGGAGGCTTGGAGGCGAGAAGAGGACTGCTTTTGTCAGTGGGGAAGAGGGAAGCAGCGGGGAGGAGAGGGACGAAAAGGCTCCAAGGCATGGAGGCGAAAAGATAAGGAGTGCTGTGAGGGGGGAAGAGGCAAGGAACGGGGAGGAGAGAATTGAAGAGGGAAGGCGAGAGGAGGAGAAGGATACAGAGGAGGAAGCACCCCTGCCGCTTCCTCTCACGGAGGGTCTCATGGAAAGGGCAGTGAGGCAGGTGCAAGGGGAGGGCAGCGCGCTCGTAGGAGGGAATGGGGACGAGGAGGGGGAGCTCCTTCCCCTCCCTCTCAGGGGGGAGGGGCTTCAAGGGGAGGAGTCAGAGGCGCAGCTTCAAGGGGAGGAGTCAGAGGCGCAGCTTCAAGGGGAGGAGTCAGAGGCGCAGCTTCAAGGGGAGGAGTCAGAGGCGCAGCTTCAAGGGGAGGAGTCAGAGGCGCAGCTTCAAGGGGAGGAGTCAGAGGCGCAGCTTCAAGGGGAGGAGTCAGAGGCGCAGCTTCAAGGGGAGGAGTCAGAGGCGCAGCTTCAAGGGGAGGAGTCAGAGGCGCAGCTTCAAGGGGAGGAGTCAGAGGCGCAGCTTCAAGGGGAGGAGTCAGAGGCGCAGCTTCAAGGGGAGGAGTCAGAGGCGCAGCTTCAAGGGGAGGAGTCAGAGGCGCAGCTTCAAGGGGAGGAGTCAGAGGCGCAGCTTCAAGGGGAGGAGTCAGAGGCGCAGCTTCAAGGGGAGGAGTCAGAGGCGCAGCTTCAAGGGGAGGAGTCAGAGGCGCAGCTTCAAGGGGAGGAGTCAGAGGCGCAGCTTCAAGGGGAGGAGTCAGAGGCGCAGCTTCAAGGGGAGGAGTCAGAGGCGCAGCTTCAAGGGGAGGAGTCAGAGGCGCAGCTTCAAGGGGAGGAGTCAGAGGCGCAGCTTCAAGGGGAGGAGTCAGAGGCGCAGCTTCAAGGGGAGGAGTCAGAGGCGCAGCTTCAAGGGGAGGAGTCAGAGGCGCAGCTTCAAGGGGAGGAGTCAGAGGCGCAGCTTCAAGGGGAGGAGTCAGAGGCGCAGCTTCAAGGGGAGGAGTCAGAGGCGCAGCTTCAAGGGGAGGAGTCAGAGGCGCAGCTTCAAGGGGAGGAGTCAGAGGCGCAGCTTCAAGGGGAGGAGTCAGAGGCGCAGCTTCAAGGGGAGGAGTCAGAGGCGCAGCTTCAAGGGGAGGAGTCAGAGGCGCAGCTTCAAGGGGAGGAGTCAGAGGCGCAGCTTCAAGGGGAGGAGTCAGAGGCGCAGCTTCAAGGGGAGGAGTCAGAGGCGCAGCTTCAAGGGGAGGAGTCAGAGGCGCAGCTTCAAGGGGAGGAGTCAGAGGCGCAGCTTCAAGGGGAGGAGTCAGAGGCGCAGCTTCAAGGGGAGGAGTCAGAGGCGCAGCTTCAAGGGGAGGAGTCAGAGGCGCAGCTTCAAGGGGAGGAGTCAGAGGCGCAGCTTCAAGGGGAGGAGTCAGAGGCGCAGCTTCAAGGGGAGGAGTCAGAGGCGCAGCTTCAAGGGGAGGAGTCAGAGGCGCAGCTTCAAGGGGAGGAGTCAGAGGCGCAGCTTCAAGGGGAGGAGTCAGAGGCGCAGCTTCAAGGGGAGGAGTCAGAGGCGCAGCTTCAAGGGGAGGAGTCAGAGGCGCAGCTTCAAGGGGAGGAGTCAGAGGCGCAGCTTCAAGGGGAGGAGTCAGAGGCGCAGCTTCAAGGGGAGGAGTCAGAGGCGCAGCTTCAAGGGGAGGAGTCAGAGGCGCAGCTTCAAGGGGAGGAGTCAGAGGCGCAGCTTCAAGGGGAGGAGTCAGAGGCGCAGCTTCAAGGGGAGGAGTCAGAGGCGCAGCTTCAAGGGGAGGAGTCAGAGGCGCAGCTTCAAGGGGAGGAGTCAGAGGCGCAGCTTCAAGGGGAGGAGTCAGAGGCGCAGCTTCAAGGGGAGGAGTCAGAGGCGCAGCTTCAAGGGGAGGAGTCAGAGGCGCAGCTTCAAGGGGAGGAGTCAGAGGCGCAGCTTCAAGGGGAGGAGTCAGAGGCGCAGCTTCAAGGGGAGGAGTCAGAGGCGCAGCTTCAAGGGGAGGAGTCAGAGGCGCAGCTTCAAGGGGAGGAGTCAGAGGCGCAGCTTCAAGGGGAGGAGTCAGAGGCGCAGCTTCAAGGGGAGGAGTCAGAGGCGCAGCTTCAAGGGGAGGAGTCAGAGGCGCAGCTTCAAGGGGAGGAGTCAGAGGCGCAGCTTCAAGGGGAGGAGTCAGAGGCGCAGCTTCAAGGGGAGGAGTCAGAGGCGCAGCTTCAAGGGGAGGAGTCAGAGGCGCAGCTTCAAGGGGAGGAGTCAGAGGCGCAGCTTCAAGGGGAGGAGTCAGAGGCGCAGCTTCAAGGGGAGGAGTCAGAGGCGCAGCTTCAAGGGGAGGAGTCAGAGGCGCAGCTTCAAGGGGAGGAGTCAGAGGCGCAGCTTCAAGGGGAGGAGTCAGAGGCGCAGCTTCAAGGGGAGGAGTCAGAGGCGCAGCTTCAAGGGGAGGAGTCAGAGGCGCAGCTTCAAGGGGAGGAGTCAGAGGCGCAGCTTCAAGGGGAGGAGTCAGAGGCGCAGCTTCAAGGGGAGGAGTCAGAGGCGCAGCTTCAAGGGGAGGAGTCAGAGGCGCAGCTTCAAGGGGAGGAGTCAGAGGCGCAGCTTCAAGGGGAGGAGTCAGAGGCGCAGCTTCAAGGGGAGGAGTCAGAGGCGCAGCTTCAAGGGGAGGAGTCAGAGGCGCAGCTTCAAGGGGAGGAGTCAGAGGCGCAGCTTCAAGGGGAGGAGTCAGAGGCGCAGCTTCAAGGGGAGGAGTCAGAGGCGCAGCTTCAAGGGGAGGAGTCAGAGGCGCAGCTTCAAGGGGAGGAGTCAGAGGCGCAGCTTCAAGGGGAGGAGTCAGAGGCGCAGCTTCAAGGGGAGGAGTCAGAGGCGCAGCTTCAAGGGGAGGAGTCAGAGGCGCAGCTTCAAGGGGAGGAGTCAGAGGCGCAGCTTCAAGGGGAGGAGTCAGAGGCGCAGCTTCAAGGGGAGGAGTCAGAGGCGCAGCTTCAAGGGGAGGAGTCAGAGGCGCAGCTTCAAGGGGAGGAGTCAGAGGCGCAGCTTCAAGGGGAGGAGTCAGAGGCGCAGCTTCAAGGGGAGGAGTCAGAGGCGCAGCTTCAAGGGGAGGAGTCAGAGGCGCAGCTTCAAGGGGAGGAGTCAGAGGCGCAGCTTCAAGGGGAGGAGTCAGAGGCGCAGCTTCAAGGGGAGGAGTCAGAGGCGCAGCTTCAAGGGGAGGAGTCAGAGGCGCAGCTTCAAGGGGAGGAGTCAGAGGCGCAGCTTCAAGGGGAGGAGTCAGAGGCGCAGCTTCAAGGGGAGGAGTCAGAGGCGCAGCTTCAAGGGGAGGAGTCAGAGGCGCAGCTTCAAGGGGAGGAGTCAGAGGCGCAGCTTCAAGGGGAGGAGTCAGAGGCGCAGCTTCAAGGGGAGGAGTCAGAGGCGCAGCTTCAAGGGGAGGAGTCAGAGGCGCAGCTTCAAGGGGAGGAGTCAGAGGCGCAGCTTCAAGGGGAGGAGTCAGAGGCGCAGCTTCAAGGGGAGGAGTCAGAGGCGCAGCTTCAAGGGGAGGAGTCAGAGGCGCAGCTTCAAGGGGAGGAGTCAGAGGCGCAGCTTCAAGGGGAGGAGTCAGAGGCGCAGCTTCAAGGGGAGGAGTCAGAGGCGCAGCTTCAAGGGGAGGAGTCAGAGGCGCAGCTTCAAGGGGAGGAGTCAGAGGCGCAGCTTCAAGGGGAGGAGTCAGAGGCGCAGCTTCAAGGGGAGGAGTCAGAGGCGCAGCTTCAAGGGGAGGAGTCAGAGGCGCAGCTTCAAGGGGAGGAGTCAGAGGCGCAGCTTCAAGGGGAGGAGTCAGAGGCGCAGCTTCAAGGGGAGGAGTCAGAGGCGCAGCTTCAAGGGGAGGAGTCAGAGGCGCAGCTTCAAGGGGAGGAGTCAGAGGCGCAGCTTCAAGGGGAGGAGTCAGAGGCGCAGCTTCAAGGGGAGGAGTCAGAGGCGCAGCTTCAAGGGGAGGAGTCAGAGGCGCAGCTTCAAGGGGAGGAGTCAGAGGCGCAGCTTCAAGGGGAGGAGTCAGAGGCGCAGCTTCAAGGGGAGGAGTCAGAGGCGCAGCTTCAAGGGGAGGAGTCAGAGGCGCAGCTTCAAGGGGAGGAGTCAGAGGCGCAGCTTCAAGGGGAGGAGTCAGAGGCGCAGCTTCAAGGGGAGGAGTCAGAGGCGCAGCTTCAAGGGGAGGAGTCAGAGGCGCAGCTTCAAGGGGAGGAGTCAGAGGCGCAGCTTCAAGGGGAGGAGTCAGAGGCGCAGCTTCAAGGGGAGGAGTCAGAGGCGCAGCTTCAAGGGGAGGAGTCAGAGGCGCAGCTTCAAGGGGAGGAGTCAGAGGCGCAGCTTCAAGGGGAGGAGTCAGAGGCGCAGCTTCAAGGGGAGGAGTCAGAGGCGCAGCTTCAAGGGGAGGAGTCAGAGGCGCAGCTTCAAGGGGAGGAGTCAGAGGCGCAGCTTCAAGGGGAGGAGTCAGAGGCGCAGCTTCAAGGGGAGGAGTCAGAGGCGCAGCTTCAAGGGGAGGAGTCAGAGGCGCAGCTTCAAGGGGAGGAGTCAGAGGCGCAGCTTCAAGGGGAGGAGTCAGAGGCGCAGCTTCAAGGGGAGGAGTCAGAGGCGCAGCTTCAAGGGGAGGAGTCAGAGGCGCAGCTTCAAGGGGAGGAGTCAGAGGCGCAGCTTCAAGGGGAGGAGTCAGAGGCGCAGCTTCAAGGGGAGGAGTCAGAGGCGCAGCTTCAAGGGGAGGAGTCAGAGGCGCAGCTTCAAGGGGAGGAGTCAGAGGCGCAGCTTCAAGGGGAGGAGTCAGAGGCGCAGCTTCAAGGGGAGGAGTCAGAGGCGCAGCTTCAAGGGGAGGAGTCAGAGGCGCAGCTTCAAGGGGAGGAGTCAGAGGCGCAGCTTCAAGGGGAGGAGTCAGAGGCGCAGCTTCAAGGGGAGGAGTCAGAGGCGCAGCTTCAAGGGGAGGAGTCAGAGGCGCAGCTTCAAGGGGAGGAGTCAGAGGCGCAGCTTCAAGGGGAGGAGTCAGAGGCGCAGCTTCAAGGGGAGGAGTCAGAGGCGCAGCTTCAAGGGGAGGAGTCAGAGGCGCAGCTTCAAGGGGAGGAGTCAGAGGCGCAGCTTCAAGGGGAGGAGTCAGAGGCGCAGCTTCAAGGGGAGGAGTCAGAGGCGCAGCTTCAAGGGGAGGAGTCAGAGGCGCAGCTTCAAGGGGAGGAGTCAGAGGCGCAGCTTCAAGGGGAGGAGTCAGAGGCGCAGCTTCAAGGGGAGGAGTCAGAGGCGCAGCTTCAAGGGGAGGAGTCAGAGGCGCAGCTTCAAGGGGAGGAGTCAGAGGCGCAGCTTCAAGGGGAGGAGTCAGAGGCGCAGCTTCAAGGGGAGGAGTCAGAGGCGCAGCTTCAAGGGGAGGAGTCAGAGGCGCAGCTTCAAGGGGAGGAGTCAGAGGCGCAGCTTCAAGGGGAGGAGTCAGAGGCGCAGCTTCAAGGGGAGGAGTCAGAGGCGCAGCTTCAAGGGGAGGAGTCAGAGGCGCAGCTTCAAGGGGAGGAGTCAGAGGCGCAGCTTCAAGGGGAGGAGTCAGAGGCGCAGCTTCAAGGGGAGGAGTCAGAGGCGCAGCTTCAAGGGGAGGAGTCAGAGGCGCAGCTTCAAGGGGAGGAGTCAGAGGCGCAGCTTCAAGGGGAGGAGTCAGAGGCGCAGCTTCAAGGGGAGGAGTCAGAGGCGCAGCTTCAAGGGGAGGAGTCAGAGGCGCAGCTTCAAGGGGAGGAGTCAGAGGCGCAGCTTCAAGGGGAGGAGTCAGAGGCGCAGCTTCAAGGGGAGGAGTCAGAGGCGCAGCTTCAAGGGGAGGAGTCAGAGGCGCAGCTTCAAGGGGAGGAGTCAGAGGCGCAGCTTCAAGGGGAGGAGTCAGAGGCGCAGCTTCAAGGGGAGGAGTCAGAGGCGCAGCTTCAAGGGGAGGAGTCAGAGGCGCAGCTTCAAGGGGAGGAGTCAGAGGCGCAGCTTCAAGGGGAGGAGTCAGAGGCGCAGCTTCAAGGGGAGGAGTCAGAGGCGCAGCTTCAAGGGGAGGAGTCAGAGGCGCAGCTTCAAGGGGAGGAGTCAGAGGCGCAGCTTCAAGGGGAGGAGTCAGAGGCGCAGCTTCAAGGGGAGGAGTCAGAGGCGCAGCTTCAAGGGGAGGAGTCAGAGGCGCAGCTTCAAGGGGAGGAGTCAGAGGCGCAGCTTCAAGGGGAGGAGTCAGAGGCGCAGCTTCAAGGGGAGGAGTCAGAGGCGCAGCTTCAAGGGGAGGAGTCAGAGGCGCAGCTTCAAGGGGAGGAGTCAGAGGCGCAGCTTCAAGGGGAGGAGTCAGAGGCGCAGCTTCAAGGGGAGGAGTCAGAGGCGCAGCTTCAAGGGGAGGAGTCAGAGGCGCAGCTTCAAGGGGAGGAGTCAGAGGCGCAGCTTCAAGGGGAGGAGTCAGAGGCGCAGCTTCAAGGGGAGGAGTCAGAGGCGCAGCTTCAAGGGGAGGAGTCAGAGGCGCAGCTTCAAGGGGAGGAGTCAGAGGCGCAGCTTCAAGGGGAGGAGTCAGAGGCGCAGCTTCAAGGGGAGGAGTCAGAGGCGCAGCTTCAAGGGGAGGAGTCAGAGGCGCAGCTTCAAGGGGAGGAGTCAGAGGCGCAGCTTCAAGGGGAGGAGTCAGAGGCGCAGCTTCAAGGGGAGGAGTCAGAGGCGCAGCTTCAAGGGGAGGAGTCAGAGGCGCAGCTTCAAGGGGAGGAGTCAGAGGCGCAGCTTCAAGGGGAGGAGTCAGAGGCGCAGCTTCAAGGGGAGGAGTCAGAGGCGCAGCTTCAAGGGGAGGAGTCAGAGGCGCAGCTTCAAGGGGAGGAGTCAGAGGCGCAGCTTCAAGGGGAGGAGTCAGAGGCGCAGCTTCAAGGGGAGGAGTCAGAGGCGCAGCTTCAAGGGGAGGAGTCAGAGGCGCAGCTTCAAGGGGAGGAGTCAGAGGCGCAGCTTCAAGGGGAGGAGTCAGAGGCGCAGCTTCAAGGGGAGGAGTCAGAGGCGCAGCTTCAAGGGGAGGAGTCAGAGGCGCAGCTTCAAGGGGAGGAGTCAGAGGCGCAGCTTCAAGGGGAGGAGTCAGAGGCGCAGCTTCAAGGGGAGGAGTCAGAGGCGCAGCTTCAAGGGGAGGAGTCAGAGGCGCAGCTTCAAGGGGAGGAGTCAGAGGCGCAGCTTCAAGGGGAGGAGTCAGAGGCGCAGCTTCAAGGGGAGGAGTCAGAGGCGCAGCTTCAAGGGGAGGAGTCAGAGGCGCAGCTTCAAGGGGAGGAGTCAGAGGCGCAGCTTCAAGGGGAGGAGTCAGAGGCGCAGCTTCAAGGGGAGGAGTCAGAGGCGCAGCTTCAAGGGGAGGAGTCAGAGGCGCAGCTTCAAGGGGAGGAGTCAGAGGCGCAGCTTCAAGGGGAGGAGTCAGAGGCGCAGCTTCAAGGGGAGGAGTCAGAGGCGCAGCTTCAAGGGGAGGAGTCAGAGGCGCAGCTTCAAGGGGAGGAGTCAGAGGCGCAGCTTCAAGGGGAGGAGTCAGAGGCGCAGCTTCAAGGGGAGGAGTCAGAGGCGCAGCTTCAAGGGGAGGAGTCAGAGGCGCAGCTTCAAGGGGAGGAGTCAGAGGCGCAGCTTCAAGGGGAGGAGTCAGAGGCGCAGCTTCAAGGGGAGGAGTCAGAGGCGCAGCTTCAAGGGGAGGAGTCAGAGGCGCAGCTTCAAGGGGAGGAGTCAGAGGCGCAGCTTCAAGGGGAGGAGTCAGAGGCGCAGCTTCAAGGGGAGGAGTCAGAGGCGCAGCTTCAAGGGGAGGAGTCAGAGGCGCAGCTTCAAGGGGAGGAGTCAGAGGCGCAGCTTCAAGGGGAGGAGTCAGAGGCGCAGCTTCAAGGGGAGGAGTCAGAGGCGCAGCTTCAAGGGGAGGAGTCAGAGGCGCAGCTTCAAGGGGAGGAGTCAGAGGCGCAGCTTCAAGGGGAGGAGTCAGAGGCGCAGCTTCAAGGGGAGGAGTCAGAGGCGCAGCTTCAAGGGGAGGAGTCAGAGGCGCAGCTTCAAGGGGAGGAGTCAGAGGCGCAGCTTCAAGGGGAGGAGTCAGAGGCGCAGCTTCAAGGGGAGGAGTCAGAGGCGCAGCTTCAAGGGGAGGAGTCAGAGGCGCAGCTTCAAGGGGAGGAGTCAGAGGCGCAGCTTCAAGGGGAGGAGTCAGAGGCGCAGCTTCAAGGGGAGGAGTCAGAGGCGCAGCTTCAAGGGGAGGAGTCAGAGGCGCAGCTTCAAGGGGAGGAGTCAGAGGCGCAGCTTCAAGGGGAGGAGTCAGAGGCGCAGCTTCAAGGGGAGGAGTCAGAGGCGCAGCTTCAAGGGGAGGAGTCAGAGGCGCAGCTTCAAGGGGAGGAGTCAGAGGCGCAGCTTCAAGGGGAGGAGTCAGAGGCGCAGCTTCAAGGGGAGGAGTCAGAGGCGCAGCTTCAAGGGGAGGAGTCAGAGGCGCAGCTTCAAGGGGAGGAGTCAGAGGCGCAGCTTCAAGGGGAGGAGTCAGAGGCGCAGCTTCAAGGGGAGGAGTCAGAGGCGCAGCTTCAAGGGGAGGAGTCAGAGGCGCAGCTTCAAGGGGAGGAGTCAGAGGCGCAGCTTCAAGGGGAGGAGTCAGAGGCGCAGCTTCAAGGGGAGGAGTCAGAGGCGCAGCTTCAAGGGGAGGAGTCAGAGGCGCAGCTTCAAGGGGAGGAGTCAGAGGCGCAGCTTCAAGGGGAGGAGTCAGAGGCGCAGCTTCAAGGGGAGGAGTCAGAGGCGCAGCTTCAAGGGGAGGAGTCAGAGGCGCAGCTTCAAGGGGAGGAGTCAGAGGCGCAGCTTCAAGGGGAGGAGTCAGAGGCGCAGCTTCAAGGGGAGGAGTCAGAGGCGCAGCTTCAAGGGGAGGAGTCAGAGGCGCAGCTTCAAGGGGAGGAGTCAGAGGCGCAGCTTCAAGGGGAGGAGTCAGAGGCGCAGCTTCAAGGGGAGGAGTCAGAGGCGCAGCTTCAAGGGGAGGAGTCAGAGGCGCAGCTTCAAGGGGAGGAGTCAGAGGCGCAGCTTCAAGGGGAGGAGTCAGAGGCGCAGCTTCAAGGGGAGGAGTCAGAGGCGCAGCTTCAAGGGGAGGAGTCAGAGGCGCAGCTTCAAGGGGAGGAGTCAGAGGCGCAGCTTCAAGGGGAGGAGTCAGAGGCGCAGCTTCAAGGGGAGGAGTCAGAGGCGCAGCTTCAAGGGGAGGAGTCAGAGGCGCAGCTTCAAGGGGAGGAGTCAGAGGCGCAGCTTCAAGGGGAGGAGTCAGAGGCGCAGCTTCAAGGGGAGGAGTCAGAGGCGCAGCTTCAAGGGGAGGAGTCAGAGGCGCAGCTTCAAGGGGAGGAGTCAGAGGCGCAGCTTCAAGGGGAGGAGTCAGAGGCGCAGCTTCAAGGGGAGGAGTCAGAGGCGCAGCTTCAAGGGGAGGAGTCAGAGGCGCAGCTTCAAGGGGAGGAGTCAGAGGCGCAGCTTCAAGGGGAGGAGTCAGAGGCGCAGCTTCAAGGGGAGGAGTCAGAGGCGCAGCTTCAAGGGGAGGAGTCAGAGGCGCAGCTTCAAGGGGAGGAGTCAGAGGCGCAGCTTCAAGGGGAGGAGTCAGAGGCGCAGCTTCAAGGGGAGGAGTCAGAGGCGCAGCTTCAAGGGGAGGAGTCAGAGGCGCAGCTTCAAGGGGAGGAGTCAGAGGCGCAGCTTCAAGGGGAGGAGTCAGAGGCGCAGCTTCAAGGGGAGGAGTCAGAGGCGCAGCTTCAAGGGGAGGAGTCAGAGGCGCAGCTTCAAGGGGAGGAGTCAGAGGCGCAGCTTCAAGGGGAGGAGTCAGAGGCGCAGCTTCAAGGGGAGGAGTCAGAGGCGCAGCTTCAAGGGGAGGAGTCAGAGGCGCAGCTTCAAGGGGAGGAGTCAGAGGCGCAGCTTCAAGGGGAGGAGTCAGAGGCGCAGCTTCAAGGGGAGGAGTCAGAGGCGCAGCTTCAAGGGGAGGAGTCAGAGGCGCAGCTTCAAGGGGAGGAGTCAGAGGCGCAGCTTCAAGGGGAGGAGTCAGAGGCGCAGCTTCAAGGGGAGGAGTCAGAGGCGCAGCTTCAAGGGGAGGAGTCAGAGGCGCAGCTTCAAGGGGAGGAGTCAGAGGCGCAGCTTCAAGGGGAGGAGTCAGAGGCGCAGCTTCAAGGGGAGGAGTCAGAGGCGCAGCTTCAAGGGGAGGAGTCAGAGGCGCAGCTTCAAGGGGAGGAGTCAGAGGCGCAGCTTCAAGGGGAGGAGTCAGAGGCGCAGCTTCAAGGGGAGGAGTCAGAGGCGCAGCTTCAAGGGGAGGAGTCAGAGGCGCAGCTTCAAGGGGAGGAGTCAGAGGCGCAGCTTCAAGGGGAGGAGTCAGAGGCGCAGCTTCAAGGGGAGGAGTCAGAGGCGCAGCTTCAAGGGGAGGAGTCAGAGGCGCAGCTTCAAGGGGAGGAGTCAGAGGCGCAGCTTCAAGGGGAGGAGTCAGAGGCGCAGCTTCAAGGGGAGGAGTCAGAGGCGCAGCTTCAAGGGGAGGAGTCAGAGGCGCAGCTTCAAGGGGAGGAGTCAGAGGCGCAGCTTCAAGGGGAGGAGTCAGAGGCGCAGCTTCAAGGGGAGGAGTCAGAGGCGCAGCTTCAAGGGGAGGAGTCAGAGGCGCAGCTTCAAGGGGAGGAGTCAGAGGCGCAGCTTCAAGGGGAGGAGTCAGAGGCGCAGCTTCAAGGGGAGGAGTCAGAGGCGCAGCTTCAAGGGGAGGAGTCAGAGGCGCAGCTTCAAGGGGAGGAGTCAGAGGCGCAGCTTCAAGGGGAGGAGTCAGAGGCGCAGCTTCAAGGGGAGGAGTCAGAGGCGCAGCTTCAAGGGGAGGAGTCAGAGGCGCAGCTTCAAGGGGAGGAGTCAGAGGCGCAGCTTCAAGGGGAGGAGTCAGAGGCGCAGCTTCAAGGGGAGGAGTCAGAGGCGCAGCTTCAAGGGGAGGAGTCAGAGGCGCAGCTTCAAGGGGAGGAGTCAGAGGCGCAGCTTCAAGGGGAGGAGTCAGAGGCGCAGCTTCAAGGGGAGGAGTCAGAGGCGCAGCTTCAAGGGGAGGAGTCAGAGGCGCAGCTTCAAGGGGAGGAGTCAGAGGCGCAGCTTCAAGGGGAGGAGTCAGAGGCGCAGCTTCAAGGGGAGGAGTCAGAGGCGCAGCTTCAAGGGGAGGAGTCAGAGGCGCAGCTTCAAGGGGAGGAGTCAGAGGCGCAGCTTCAAGGGGAGGAGTCAGAGGCGCAGCTTCAAGGGGAGGAGTCAGAGGCGCAGCTTCAAGGGGAGGAGTCAGAGGCGCAGCTTCAAGGGGAGGAGTCAGAGGCGCAGCTTCAAGGGGAGGAGTCAGAGGCGCAGCTTCAAGGGGAGGAGTCAGAGGCGCAGCTTCAAGGGGAGGAGTCAGAGGCGCAGCTTCAAGGGGAGGAGTCAGAGGCGCAGCTTCAAGGGGAGGAGTCAGAGGCGCAGCTTCAAGGGGAGGAGTCAGAGGCGCAGCTTCAAGGGGAGGAGTCAGAGGCGCAGCTTCAAGGGGAGGAGTCAGAGGCGCAGCTTCAAGGGGAGGAGTCAGAGGCGCAGCTTCAAGGGGAGGAGTCAGAGGCGCAGCTTCAAGGGGAGGAGTCAGAGGCGCAGCTTCAAGGGGAGGAGTCAGAGGCGCAGCTTCAAGGGGAGGAGTCAGAGGCGCAGCTTCAAGGGGAGGAGTCAGAGGCGCAGCTTCAAGGGGAGGAGTCAGAGGCGCAGCTTCAAGGGGAGGAGTCAGAGGCGCAGCTTCAAGGGGAGGAGTCAGAGGCGCAGCTTCAAGGGGAGGAGTCAGAGGCGCAGCTTCAAGGGGAGGAGTCAGAGGCGCAGCTTCAAGGGGAGGAGTCAGAGGCGCAGCTTCAAGGGGAGGAGTCAGAGGCGCAGCTTCAAGGGGAGGAGTCAGAGGCGCAGCTTCAAGGGGAGGAGTCAGAGGCGCAGCTTCAAGGGGAGGAGTCAGAGGCGCAGCTTCAAGGGGAGGAGTCAGAGGCGCAGCTTCAAGGGGAGGAGTCAGAGGCGCAGCTTCAAGGGGAGGAGTCAGAGGCGCAGCTTCAAGGGGAGGAGTCAGAGGCGCAGCTTCAAGGGGAGGAGTCAGAGGCGCAGCTTCAAGGGGAGGAGTCAGAGGCGCAGCTTCAAGGGGAGGAGTCAGAGGCGCAGCTTCAAGGGGAGGAGTCAGAGGCGCAGCTTCAAGGGGAGGAGTCAGAGGCGCAGCTTCAAGGGGAGGAGTCAGAGGCGCAGCTTCAAGGGGAGGAGTCAGAGGCGCAGCTTCAAGGGGAGGAGTCAGAGGCGCAGCTTCAAGGGGAGGAGTCAGAGGCGCAGCTTCAAGGGGAGGAGTCAGAGGCGCAGCTTCAAGGGGAGGAGTCAGAGGCGCAGCTTCAAGGGGAGGAGTCAGAGGCGCAGCTTCAAGGGGAGGAGTCAGAGGCGCAGCTTCAAGGGGAGGAGTCAGAGGCGCAGCTTCAAGGGGAGGAGTCAGAGGCGCAGCTTCAAGGGGAGGAGTCAGAGGCGCAGCTTCAAGGGGAGGAGTCAGAGGCGCAGCTTCAAGGGGAGGAGTCAGAGGCGCAGCTTCAAGGGGAGGAGTCAGAGGCGCAGCTTCAAGGGGAGGAGTCAGAGGCGCAGCTTCAAGGGGAGGAGTCAGAGGCGCAGCTTCAAGGGGAGGAGTCAGAGGCGCAGCTTCAAGGGGAGGAGTCAGAGGCGCAGCTTCAAGGGGAGGAGTCAGAGGCGCAGCTTCAAGGGGAGGAGTCAGAGGCGCAGCTTCAAGGGGAGGAGTCAGAGGCGCAGCTTCAAGGGGAGGAGTCAGAGGCGCAGCTTCAAGGGGAGGAGTCAGAGGCGCAGCTTCAAGGGGAGGAGTCAGAGGCGCAGCTTCAAGGGGAGGAGTCAGAGGCGCAGCTTCAAGGGGAGGAGTCAGAGGCGCAGCTTCAAGGGGAGGAGTCAGAGGCGCAGCTTCAAGGGGAGGAGTCAGAGGCGCAGCTTCAAGGGGAGGAGTCAGAGGCGCAGCTTCAAGGGGAGGAGTCAGAGGCGCAGCTTCAAGGGGAGGAGTCAGAGGCGCAGCTTCAAGGGGAGGAGTCAGAGGCGCAGCTTCAAGGGGAGGAGTCAGAGGCGCAGCTTCAAGGGGAGGAGTCAGAGGCGCAGCTTCAAGGGGAGGAGTCAGAGGCGCAGCTTCAAGGGGAGGAGTCAGAGGCGCAGCTTCAAGGGGAGGAGTCAGAGGCGCAGCTTCAAGGGGAGGAGTCAGAGGCGCAGCTTCAAGGGGAGGAGTCAGAGGCGCAGCTTCAAGGGGAGGAGTCAGAGGCGCAGCTTCAAGGGGAGGAGTCAGAGGCGCAGCTTCAAGGGGAGGAGTCAGAGGCGCAGCTTCAAGGGGAGGAGTCAGAGGCGCAGCTTCAAGGGGAGGAGTCAGAGGCGCAGCTTCAAGGGGAGGAGTCAGAGGCGCAGCTTCAAGGGGAGGAGTCAGAGGCGCAGCTTCAAGGGGAGGAGTCAGAGGCGCAGCTTCAAGGGGAGGAGTCAGAGGCGCAGCTTCAAGGGGAGGAGTCAGAGGCGCAGCTTCAAGGGGAGGAGTCAGAGGCGCAGCTTCAAGGGGAGGAGTCAGAGGCGCAGCTTCAAGGGGAGGAGTCAGAGGCGCAGCTTCAAGGGGAGGAGTCAGAGGCGCAGCTTCAAGGGGAGGAGTCAGAGGCGCAGCTTCAAGGGGAGGAGTCAGAGGCGCAGCTTCAAGGGGAGGAGTCAGAGGCGCAGCTTCAAGGGGAGGAGTCAGAGGCGCAGCTTCAAGGGGAGGAGTCAGAGGCGCAGCTTCAAGGGGAGGAGTCAGAGGCGCAGCTTCAAGGGGAGGAGTCAGAGGCGCAGCTTCAAGGGGAGGAGTCAGAGGCGCAGCTTCAAGGGGAGGAGTCAGAGGCGCAGCTTCAAGGGGAGGAGTCAGAGGCGCAGCTTCAAGGGGAGGAGTCAGAGGCGCAGCTTCAAGGGGAGGAGTCAGAGGCGCAGCTTCAAGGGGAGGAGTCAGAGGCGCAGCTTCAAGGGGAGGAGTCAGAGGCGCAGCTTCAAGGGGAGGAGTCAGAGGCGCAGCTTCAAGGGGAGGAGTCAGAGGCGCAGCTTCAAGGGGAGGAGTCAGAGGCGCAGCTTCAAGGGGAGGAGTCAGAGGCGCAGCTTCAAGGGGAGGAGTCAGAGGCGCAGCTTCAAGGGGAGGAGTCAGAGGCGCAGCTTCAAGGGGAGGAGTCAGAGGCGCAGCTTCAAGGGGAGGAGTCAGAGGCGCAGCTTCAAGGGGAGGAGTCAGAGGCGCAGCTTCAAGGGGAGGAGTCAGAGGCGCAGCTTCAAGGGGAGGAGTCAGAGGCGCAGCTTCAAGGGGAGGAGTCAGAGGCGCAGCTTCAAGGGGAGGAGTCAGAGGCGCAGCTTCAAGGGGAGGAGTCAGAGGCGCAGCTTCAAGGGGAGGAGTCAGAGGCGCAGCTTCAAGGGGAGGAGTCAGAGGCGCAGCTTCAAGGGGAGGAGTCAGAGGCGCAGCTTCAAGGGGAGGAGTCAGAGGCGCAGCTTCAAGGGGAGGAGTCAGAGGCGCAGCTTCAAGGGGAGGAGTCAGAGGCGCAGCTTCAAGGGGAGGAGTCAGAGGCGCAGCTTCAAGGGGAGGAGTCAGAGGCGCAGCTTCAAGGGGAGGAGTCAGAGGCGCAGCTTCAAGGGGAGGAGTCAGAGGCGCAGCTTCAAGGGGAGGAGTCAGAGGCGCAGCTTCAAGGGGAGGAGTCAGAGGCGCAGCTTCAAGGGGAGGAGTCAGAGGCGCAGCTTCAAGGGGAGGAGTCAGAGGCGCAGCTTCAAGGGGAGGAGTCAGAGGCGCAGCTTCAAGGGGAGGAGTCAGAGGCGCAGCTTCAAGGGGAGGAGTCAGAGGCGCAGCTTCAAGGGGAGGAGTCAGAGGCGCAGCTTCAAGGGGAGGAGTCAGAGGCGCAGCTTCAAGGGGAGGAGTCAGAGGCGCAGCTTCAAGGGGAGGAGTCAGAGGCGCAGCTTCAAGGGGAGGAGTCAGAGGCGCAGCTTCAAGGGGAGGAGTCAGAGGCGCAGCTTCAAGGGGAGGAGTCAGAGGCGCAGCTTCAAGGGGAGGAGTCAGAGGCGCAGCTTCAAGGGGAGGAGTCAGAGGCGCAGCTTCAAGGGGAGGAGTCAGAGGCGCAGCTTCAAGGGGAGGAGTCAGAGGCGCAGCTTCAAGGGGAGGAGTCAGAGGCGCAGCTTCAAGGGGAGGAGTCAGAGGCGCAGCTTCAAGGGGAGGAGTCAGAGGCGCAGCTTCAAGGGGAGGAGTCAGAGGCGCAGCTTCAAGGGGAGGAGTCAGAGGCGCAGCTTCAAGGGGAGGAGTCAGAGGCGCAGCTTCAAGGGGAGGAGTCAGAGGCGCAGCTTCAAGGGGAGGAGTCAGAGGCGCAGCTTCAAGGGGAGGAGTCAGAGGCGCAGCTTCAAGGGGAGGAGTCAGAGGCGCAGCTTCAAGGGGAGGAGTCAGAGGCGCAGCTTCAAGGGGAGGAGTCAGAGGCGCAGCTTCAAGGGGAGGAGTCAGAGGCGCAGCTTCAAGGGGAGGAGTCAGAGGCGCAGCTTCAAGGGGAGGAGTCAGAGGCGCAGCTTCAAGGGGAGGAGTCAGAGGCGCAGCTTCAAGGGGAGGAGTCAGAGGCGCAGCTTCAAGGGGAGGAGTCAGAGGCGCAGCTTCAAGGGGAGGAGTCAGAGGCGCAGCTTCAAGGGGAGGAGTCAGAGGCGCAGCTTCAAGGGGAGGAGTCAGAGGCGCAGCTTCAAGGGGAGGAGTCAGAGGCGCAGCTTCAAGGGGAGGAGTCAGAGGCGCAGCTTCAAGGGGAGGAGTCAGAGGCGCAGCTTCAAGGGGAGGAGTCAGAGGCGCAGCTTCAAGGGGAGGAGTCAGAGGCGCAGCTTCAAGGGGAGGAGTCAGAGGCGCAGCTTCAAGGGGAGGAGTCAGAGGCGCAGCTTCAAGGGGAGGAGTCAGAGGCGCAGCTTCAAGGGGAGGAGTCAGAGGCGCAGCTTCAAGGGGAGGAGTCAGAGGCGCAGCTTCAAGGGGAGGAGTCAGAGGCGCAGCTTCAAGGGGAGGAGTCAGAGGCGCAGCTTCAAGGGGAGGAGTCAGAGGCGCAGCTTCAAGGGGAGGAGTCAGAGGCGCAGCTTCAAGGGGAGGAGTCAGAGGCGCAGCTTCAAGGGGAGGAGTCAGAGGCGCAGCTTCAAGGGGAGGAGTCAGAGGCGCAGCTTCAAGGGGAGGAGTCAGAGGCGCAGCTTCAAGGGGAGGAGTCAGAGGCGCAGCTTCAAGGGGAGGAGTCAGAGGCGCAGCTTCAAGGGGAGGAGTCAGAGGCGCAGCTTCAAGGGGAGGAGTCAGAGGCGCAGCTTCAAGGGGAGGAGTCAGAGGCGCAGCTTCAAGGGGAGGAGTCAGAGGCGCAGCTTCAAGGGGAGGAGTCAGAGGCGCAGCTTCAAGGGGAGGAGTCAGAGGCGCAGCTTCAAGGGGAGGAGTCAGAGGCGCAGCTTCAAGGGGAGGAGTCAGAGGCGCAGCTTCAAGGGGAGGAGTCAGAGGCGCAGCTTCAAGGGGAGGAGTCAGAGGCGCAGCTTCAAGGGGAGGAGTCAGAGGCGCAGCTTCAAGGGGAGGAGTCAGAGGCGCAGCTTCAAGGGGAGGAGTCAGAGGCGCAGCTTCAAGGGGAGGAGTCAGAGGCGCAGCTTCAAGGGGAGGAGTCAGAGGCGCAGCTTCAAGGGGAGGAGTCAGAGGCGCAGCTTCAAGGGGAGGAGTCAGAGGCGCAGCTTCAAGGGGAGGAGTCAGAGGCGCAGCTTCAAGGGGAGGAGTCAGAGGCGCAGCTTCAAGGGGAGGAGTCAGAGGCGCAGCTTCAAGGGGAGGAGTCAGAGGCGCAGCTTCAAGGGGAGGAGTCAGAGGCGCAGCTTCAAGGGGAGGAGTCAGAGGCGCAGCTTCAAGGGGAGGAGTCAGAGGCGCAGCTTCAAGGGGAGGAGTCAGAGGCGCAGCTTCAAGGGGAGGAGTCAGAGGCGCAGCTTCAAGGGGAGGAGTCAGAGGCGCAGCTTCAAGGGGAGGAGTCAGAGGCGCAGCTTCAAGGGGAGGAGTCAGAGGCGCAGCTTCAAGGGGAGGAGTCAGAGGCGCAGCTTCAAGGGGAGGAGTCAGAGGCGCAGCTTCAAGGGGAGGAGTCAGAGGCGCAGCTTCAAGGGGAGGAGTCAGAGGCGCAGCTTCAAGGGGAGGAGTCAGAGGCGCAGCTTCAAGGGGAGGAGTCAGAGGCGCAGCTTCAAGGGGAGGAGTCAGAGGCGCAGCTTCAAGGGGAGGAGTCAGAGGCGCAGCTTCAAGGGGAGGAGTCAGAGGCGCAGCTTCAAGGGGAGGAGTCAGAGGCGCAGCTTCAAGGGGAGGAGTCAGAGGCGCAGCTTCAAGGGGAGGAGTCAGAGGCGCAGCTTCAAGGGGAGGAGTCAGAGGCGCAGCTTCAAGGGGAGGAGTCAGAGGCGCAGCTTCAAGGGGAGGAGTCAGAGGCGCAGCTTCAAGGGGAGGAGTCAGAGGCGCAGCTTCAAGGGGAGGAGTCAGAGGCGCAGCTTCAAGGGGAGGAGTCAGAGGCGCAGCTTCAAGGGGAGGAGTCAGAGGCGCAGCTTCAAGGGGAGGAGTCAGAGGCGCAGCTTCAAGGGGAGGAGTCAGAGGCGCAGCTTCAAGGGGAGGAGTCAGAGGCGCAGCTTCAAGGGGAGGAGTCAGAGGCGCAGCTTCAAGGGGAGGAGTCAGAGGCGCAGCTTCAAGGGGAGGAGTCAGAGGCGCAGCTTCAAGGGGAGGAGTCAGAGGCGCAGCTTCAAGGGGAGGAGTCAGAGGCGCAGCTTCAAGGGGAGGAGTCAGAGGCGCAGCTTCAAGGGGAGGAGTCAGAGGCGCAGCTTCAAGGGGAGGAGTCAGAGGCGCAGCTTCAAGGGGAGGAGTCAGAGGCGCAGCTTCAAGGGGAGGAGTCAGAGGCGCAGCTTCAAGGGGAGGAGTCAGAGGCGCAGCTTCAAGGGGAGGAGTCAGAGGCGCAGCTTCAAGGGGAGGAGTCAGAGGCGCAGCTTCAAGGGGAGGAGTCAGAGGCGCAGCTTCAAGGGGAGGAGTCAGAGGCGCAGCTTCAAGGGGAGGAGTCAGAGGCGCAGCTTCAAGGGGAGGAGTCAGAGGCGCAGCTTCAAGGGGAGGAGTCAGAGGCGCAGCTTCAAGGGGAGGAGTCAGAGGCGCAGCTTCAAGGGGAGGAGTCAGAGGCGCAGCTTCAAGGGGAGGAGTCAGAGGCGCAGCTTCAAGGGGAGGAGTCAGAGGCGCAGCTTCAAGGGGAGGAGTCAGAGGCGCAGCTTCAAGGGGAGGAGTCAGAGGCGCAGCTTCAAGGGGAGGAGTCAGAGGCGCAGCTTCAAGGGGAGGAGTCAGAGGCGCAGCTTCAAGGGGAGGAGTCAGAGGCGCAGCTTCAAGGGGAGGAGTCAGAGGCGCAGCTTCAAGGGGAGGAGTCAGAGGCGCAGCTTCAAGGGGAGGAGTCAGAGGCGCAGCTTCAAGGGGAGGAGTCAGAGGCGCAGCTTCAAGGGGAGGAGTCAGAGGCGCAGCTTCAAGGGGAGGAGTCAGAGGCGCAGCTTCAAGGGGAGGAGTCAGAGGCGCAGCTTCAAGGGGAGGAGTCAGAGGCGCAGCTTCAAGGGGAGGAGTCAGAGGCGCAGCTTCAAGGGGAGGAGTCAGAGGCGCAGCTTCAAGGGGAGGAGTCAGAGGCGCAGCTTCAAGGGGAGGAGTCAGAGGCGCAGCTTCAAGGGGAGGAGTCAGAGGCGCAGCTTCAAGGGGAGGAGTCAGAGGCGCAGCTTCAAGGGGAGGAGTCAGAGGCGCAGCTTCAAGGGGAGGAGTCAGAGGCGCAGCTTCAAGGGGAGGAGTCAGAGGCGCAGCTTCAAGGGGAGGAGTCAGAGGCGCAGCTTCAAGGGGAGGAGTCAGAGGCGCAGCTTCAAGGGGAGGAGTCAGAGGCGCAGCTTCAAGGGGAGGAGTCAGAGGCGCAGCTTCAAGGGGAGGAGTCAGAGGCGCAGCTTCAAGGGGAGGAGTCAGAGGCGCAGCTTCAAGGGGAGGAGTCAGAGGCGCAGCTTCAAGGGGAGGAGTCAGAGGCGCAGCTTCAAGGGGAGGAGTCAGAGGCGCAGCTTCAAGGGGAGGAGTCAGAGGCGCAGCTTCAAGGGGAGGAGTCAGAGGCGCAGCTTCAAGGGGAGGAGTCAGAGGCGCAGCTTCAAGGGGAGGAGTCAGAGGCGCAGCTTCAAGGGGAGGAGTCAGAGGCGCAGCTTCAAGGGGAGGAGTCAGAGGCGCAGCTTCAAGGGGAGGAGTCAGAGGCGCAGCTTCAAGGGGAGGAGTCAGAGGCGCAGCTTCAAGGGGAGGAGTCAGAGGCGCAGCTTCAAGGGGAGGAGTCAGAGGCGCAGCTTCAAGGGGAGGAGTCAGAGGCGCAGCTTCAAGGGGAGGAGTCAGAGGCGCAGCTTCAAGGGGAGGAGTCAGAGGCGCAGCTTCAAGGGGAGGAGTCAGAGGCGCAGCTTCAAGGGGAGGAGTCAGAGGCGCAGCTTCAAGGGGAGGAGTCAGAGGCGCAGCTTCAAGGGGAGGAGTCAGAGGCGCAGCTTCAAGGGGAGGAGTCAGAGGCGCAGCTTCAAGGGGAGGAGTCAGAGGCGCAGCTTCAAGGGGAGGAGTCAGAGGCGCAGCTTCAAGGGGAGGAGTCAGAGGCGCAGCTTCAAGGGGAGGAGTCAGAGGCGCAGCTTCAAGGGGAGGAGTCAGAGGCGCAGCTTCAAGGGGAGGAGTCAGAGGCGCAGCTTCAAGGGGAGGAGTCAGAGGCGCAGCTTCAAGGGGAGGAGTCAGAGGCGCAGCTTCAAGGGGAGGAGTCAGAGGCGCAGCTTCAAGGGGAGGAGTCAGAGGCGCAGCTTCAAGGGGAGGAGTCAGAGGCGCAGCTTCAAGGGGAGGAGTCAGAGGCGCAGCTTCAAGGGGAGGAGTCAGAGGCGCAGCTTCAAGGGGAGGAGTCAGAGGCGCAGCTTCAAGGGGAGGAGTCAGAGGCGCAGCTTCAAGGGGAGGAGTCAGAGGCGCAGCTTCAAGGGGAGGAGTCAGAGGCGCAGCTTCAAGGGGAGGAGTCAGAGGCGCAGCTTCAAGGGGAGGAGTCAGAGGCGCAGCTTCAAGGGGAGGAGTCAGAGGCGCAGCTTCAAGGGGAGGAGTCAGAGGCGCAGCTTCAAGGGGAGGAGTCAGAGGCGCAGCTTCAAGGGGAGGAGTCAGAGGCGCAGCTTCAAGGGGAGGAGTCAGAGGCGCAGCTTCAAGGGGAGGAGTCAGAGGCGCAGCTTCAAGGGGAGGAGTCAGAGGCGCAGCTTCAAGGGGAGGAGTCAGAGGCGCAGCTTCAAGGGGAGGAGTCAGAGGCGCAGCTTCAAGGGGAGGAGTCAGAGGCGCAGCTTCAAGGGGAGGAGTCAGAGGCGCAGCTTCAAGGGGAGGAGTCAGAGGCGCAGCTTCAAGGGGAGGAGTCAGAGGCGCAGCTTCAAGGGGAGGAGTCAGAGGCGCAGCTTCAAGGGGAGGAGTCAGAGGCGCAGCTTCAAGGGGAGGAGTCAGAGGCGCAGCTTCAAGGGGAGGAGTCAGAGGCGCAGCTTCAAGGGGAGGAGTCAGAGGCGCAGCTTCAAGGGGAGGAGTCAGAGGCGCAGCTTCAAGGGGAGGAGTCAGAGGCGCAGCTTCAAGGGGAGGAGTCAGAGGCGCAGCTTCAAGGGGAGGAGTCAGAGGCGCAGCTTCAAGGGGAGGAGTCAGAGGCGCAGCTTCAAGGGGAGGAGTCAGAGGCGCAGCTTCAAGGGGAGGAGTCAGAGGCGCAGCTTCAAGGGGAGGAGTCAGAGGCGCAGCTTCAAGGGGAGGAGTCAGAGGCGCAGCTTCAAGGGGAGGAGTCAGAGGCGCAGCTTCAAGGGGAGGAGTCAGAGGCGCAGCTTCAAGGGGAGGAGTCAGAGGCGCAGCTTCAAGGGGAGGAGTCAGAGGCGCAGCTTCAAGGGGAGGAGTCAGAGGCGCAGCTTCAAGGGGAGGAGTCAGAGGCGCAGCTTCAAGGGGAGGAGTCAGAGGCGCAGCTTCAAGGGGAGGAGTCAGAGGCGCAGCTTCAAGGGGAGGAGTCAGAGGCGCAGCTTCAAGGGGAGGAGTCAGAGGCGCAGCTTCAAGGGGAGGAGTCAGAGGCGCAGCTTCAAGGGGAGGAGTCAGAGGCGCAGCTTCAAGGGGAGGAGTCAGAGGCGCAGCTTCAAGGGGAGGAGTCAGAGGCGCAGCTTCAAGGGGAGGAGTCAGAGGCGCAGCTTCAAGGGGAGGAGTCAGAGGCGCAGCTTCAAGGGGAGGAGTCAGAGGCGCAGCTTCAAGGGGAGGAGTCAGAGGCGCAGCTTCAAGGGGAGGAGTCAGAGGCGCAGCTTCAAGGGGAGGAGTCAGAGGCGCAGCTTCAAGGGGAGGAGTCAGAGGCGCAGCTTCAAGGGGAGGAGTCAGAGGCGCAGCTTCAAGGGGAGGAGTCAGAGGCGCAGCTTCAAGGGGAGGAGTCAGAGGCGCAGCTTCAAGGGGAGGAGTCAGAGGCGCAGCTTCAAGGGGAGGAGTCAGAGGCGCAGCTTCAAGGGGAGGAGTCAGAGGCGCAGCTTCAAGGGGAGGAGTCAGAGGCGCAGCTTCAAGGGGAGGAGTCAGAGGCGCAGCTTCAAGGGGAGGAGTCAGAGGCGCAGCTTCAAGGGGAGGAGTCAGAGGCGCAGCTTCAAGGGGAGGAGTCAGAGGCGCAGCTTCAAGGGGAGGAGTCAGAGGCGCAGCTTCAAGGGGAGGAGTCAGAGGCGCAGCTTCAAGGGGAGGAGTCAGAGGCGCAGCTTCAAGGGGAGGAGTCAGAGGCGCAGCTTCAAGGGGAGGAGTCAGAGGCGCAGCTTCAAGGGGAGGAGTCAGAGGCGCAGCTTCAAGGGGAGGAGTCAGAGGCGCAGCTTCAAGGGGAGGAGTCAGAGGCGCAGCTTCAAGGGGAGGAGTCAGAGGCGCAGCTTCAAGGGGAGGAGTCAGAGGCGCAGCTTCAAGGGGAGGAGTCAGAGGCGCAGCTTCAAGGGGAGGAGTCAGAGGCGCAGCTTCAAGGGGAGGAGTCAGAGGCGCAGCTTCAAGGGGAGGAGTCAGAGGCGCAGCTTCAAGGGGAGGAGTCAGAGGCGCAGCTTCAAGGGGAGGAGTCAGAGGCGCAGCTTCAAGGGGAGGAGTCAGAGGCGCAGCTTCAAGGGGAGGAGTCAGAGGCGCAGCTTCAAGGGGAGGAGTCAGAGGCGCAGCTTCAAGGGGAGGAGTCAGAGGCGCAGCTTCAAGGGGAGGAGTCAGAGGCGCAGCTTCAAGGGGAGGAGTCAGAGGCGCAGCTTCAAGGGGAGGAGTCAGAGGCGCAGCTTCAAGGGGAGGAGTCAGAGGCGCAGCTTCAAGGGGAGGAGTCAGAGGCGCAGCTTCAAGGGGAGGAGTCAGAGGCGCAGCTTCAAGGGGAGGAGTCAGAGGCGCAGCTTCAAGGGGAGGAGTCAGAGGCGCAGCTTCAAGGGGAGGAGTCAGAGGCGCAGCTTCAAGGGGAGGAGTCAGAGGCGCAGCTTCAAGGGGAGGAGTCAGAGGCGCAGCTTCAAGGGGAGGAGTCAGAGGCGCAGCTTCAAGGGGAGGAGTCAGAGGCGCAGCTTCAAGGGGAGGAGTCAGAGGCGCAGCTTCAAGGGGAGGAGTCAGAGGCGCAGCTTCAAGGGGAGGAGTCAGAGGCGCAGCTTCAAGGGGAGGAGTCAGAGGCGCAGCTTCAAGGGGAGGAGTCAGAGGCGCAGCTTCAAGGGGAGGAGTCAGAGGCGCAGCTTCAAGGGGAGGAGTCAGAGGCGCAGCTTCAAGGGGAGGAGTCAGAGGCGCAGCTTCAAGGGGAGGAGTCAGAGGCGCAGCTTCAAGGGGAGGAGTCAGAGGCGCAGCTTCAAGGGGAGGAGTCAGAGGCGCAGCTTCAAGGGGAGGAGTCAGAGGCGCAGCTTCAAGGGGAGGAGTCAGAGGCGCAGCTTCAAGGGGAGGAGTCAGAGGCGCAGCTTCAAGGGGAGGAGTCAGAGGCGCAGCTTCAAGGGGAGGAGTCAGAGGCGCAGCTTCAAGGGGAGGAGTCAGAGGCGCAGCTTCAAGGGGAGGAGTCAGAGGCGCAGCTTCAAGGGGAGGAGTCAGAGGCGCAGCTTCAAGGGGAGGAGTCAGAGGCGCAGCTTCAAGGGGAGGAGTCAGAGGCGCAGCTTCAAGGGGAGGAGTCAGAGGCGCAGCTTCAAGGGGAGGAGTCAGAGGCGCAGCTTCAAGGGGAGGAGTCAGAGGCGCAGCTTCAAGGGGAGGAGTCAGAGGCGCAGCTTCAAGGGGAGGAGTCAGAGGCGCAGCTTCAAGGGGAGGAGTCAGAGGCGCAGCTTCAAGGGGAGGAGTCAGAGGCGCAGCTTCAAGGGGAGGAGTCAGAGGCGCAGCTTCAAGGGGAGGAGTCAGAGGCGCAGCTTCAAGGGGAGGAGTCAGAGGCGCAGCTTCAAGGGGAGGAGTCAGAGGCGCAGCTTCAAGGGGAGGAGTCAGAGGCGCAGCTTCAAGGGGAGGAGTCAGAGGCGCAGCTTCAAGGGGAGGAGTCAGAGGCGCAGCTTCAAGGGGAGGAGTCAGAGGCGCAGCTTCAAGGGGAGGAGTCAGAGGCGCAGCTTCAAGGGGAGGAGTCAGAGGCGCAGCTTCAAGGGGAGGAGTCAGAGGCGCAGCTTCAAGGGGAGGAGTCAGAGGCGCAGCTTCAAGGGGAGGAGTCAGAGGCGCAGCTTCAAGGGGAGGAGTCAGAGGCGCAGCTTCAAGGGGAGGAGTCAGAGGCGCAGCTTCAAGGGGAGGAGTCAGAGGCGCAGCTTCAAGGGGAGGAGTCAGAGGCGCAGCTTCAAGGGGAGGAGTCAGAGGCGCAGCTTCAAGGGGAGGAGTCAGAGGCGCAGCTTCAAGGGGAGGAGTCAGAGGCGCAGCTTCAAGGGGAGGAGTCAGAGGCGCAGCTTCAAGGGGAGGAGTCAGAGGCGCAGCTTCAAGGGGAGGAGTCAGAGGCGCAGCTTCAAGGGGAGGAGTCAGAGGCGCAGCTTCAAGGGGAGGAGTCAGAGGCGCAGCTTCAAGGGGAGGAGTCAGAGGCGCAGCTTCAAGGGGAGGAGTCAGAGGCGCAGCTTCAAGGGGAGGAGTCAGAGGCGCAGCTTCAAGGGGAGGAGTCAGAGGCGCAGCTTCAAGGGGAGGAGTCAGAGGCGCAGCTTCAAGGGGAGGAGTCAGAGGCGCAGCTTCAAGGGGAGGAGTCAGAGGCGCAGCTTCAAGGGGAGGAGTCAGAGGCGCAGCTTCAAGGGGAGGAGTCAGAGGCGCAGCTTCAAGGGGAGGAGTCAGAGGCGCAGCTTCAAGGGGAGGAGTCAGAGGCGCAGCTTCAAGGGGAGGAGTCAGAGGCGCAGCTTCAAGGGGAGGAGTCAGAGGCGCAGCTTCAAGGGGAGGAGTCAGAGGCGCAGCTTCAAGGGGAGGAGTCAGAGGCGCAGCTTCAAGGGGAGGAGTCAGAGGCGCAGCTTCAAGGGGAGGAGTCAGAGGCGCAGCTTCAAGGGGAGGAGTCAGAGGCGCAGCTTCAAGGGGAGGAGTCAGAGGCGCAGCTTCAAGGGGAGGAGTCAGAGGCGCAGCTTCAAGGGGAGGAGTCAGAGGCGCAGCTTCAAGGGGAGGAGTCAGAGGCGCAGCTTCAAGGGGAGGAGTCAGAGGCGCAGCTTCAAGGGGAGGAGTCAGAGGCGCAGCTTCAAGGGGAGGAGTCAGAGGCGCAGCTTCAAGGGGAGGAGTCAGAGGCGCAGCTTCAAGGGGAGGAGTCAGAGGCGCAGCTTCAAGGGGAGGAGTCAGAGGCGCAGCTTCAAGGGGAGGAGTCAGAGGCGCAGCTTCAAGGGGAGGAGTCAGAGGCGCAGCTTCAAGGGGAGGAGTCAGAGGCGCAGCTTCAAGGGGAGGAGTCAGAGGCGCAGCTTCAAGGGGAGGAGTCAGAGGCGCAGCTTCAAGGGGAGGAGTCAGAGGCGCAGCTTCAAGGGGAGGAGTCAGAGGCGCAGCTTCAAGGGGAGGAGTCAGAGGCGCAGCTTCAAGGGGAGGAGTCAGAGGCGCAGCTTCAAGGGGAGGAGTCAGAGGCGCAGCTTCAAGGGGAGGAGTCAGAGGCGCAGCTTCAAGGGGAGGAGTCAGAGGCGCAGCTTCAAGGGGAGGAGTCAGAGGCGCAGCTTCAAGGGGAGGAGTCAGAGGCGCAGCTTCAAGGGGAGGAGTCAGAGGCGCAGCTTCAAGGGGAGGAGTCAGAGGCGCAGCTTCAAGGGGAGGAGTCAGAGGCGCAGCTTCAAGGGGAGGAGTCAGAGGCGCAGCTTCAAGGGGAGGAGTCAGAGGCGCAGCTTCAAGGGGAGGAGTCAGAGGCGCAGCTTCAAGGGGAGGAGTCAGAGGCGCAGCTTCAAGGGGAGGAGTCAGAGGCGCAGCTTCAAGGGGAGGAGTCAGAGGCGCAGCTTCAAGGGGAGGAGTCAGAGGCGCAGCTTCAAGGGGAGGAGTCAGAGGCGCAGCTTCAAGGGGAGGAGTCAGAGGCGCAGCTTCAAGGGGAGGAGTCAGAGGCGCAGCTTCAAGGGGAGGAGTCAGAGGCGCAGCTTCAAGGGGAGGAGTCAGAGGCGCAGCTTCAAGGGGAGGAGTCAGAGGCGCAGCTTCAAGGGGAGGAGTCAGAGGCGCAGCTTCAAGGGGAGGAGTCAGAGGCGCAGCTTCAAGGGGAGGAGTCAGAGGCGCAGCTTCAAGGGGAGGAGTCAGAGGCGCAGCTTCAAGGGGAGGAGTCAGAGGCGCAGCTTCAAGGGGAGGAGTCAGAGGCGCAGCTTCAAGGGGAGGAGTCAGAGGCGCAGCTTCAAGGGGAGGAGTCAGAGGCGCAGCTTCAAGGGGAGGAGTCAGAGGCGCAGCTTCAAGGGGAGGAGTCAGAGGCGCAGCTTCAAGGGGAGGAGTCAGAGGCGCAGCTTCAAGGGGAGGAGTCAGAGGCGCAGCTTCAAGGGGAGGAGTCAGAGGCGCAGCTTCAAGGGGAGGAGTCAGAGGCGCAGCTTCAAGGGGAGGAGTCAGAGGCGCAGCTTCAAGGGGAGGAGTCAGAGGCGCAGCTTCAAGGGGAGGAGTCAGAGGCGCAGCTTCAAGGGGAGGAGTCAGAGGCGCAGCTTCAAGGGGAGGAGTCAGAGGCGCAGCTTCAAGGGGAGGAGTCAGAGGCGCAGCTTCAAGGGGAGGAGTCAGAGGCGCAGCTTCAAGGGGAGGAGTCAGAGGCGCAGCTTCAAGGGGAGGAGTCAGAGGCGCAGCTTCAAGGGGAGGAGTCAGAGGCGCAGCTTCAAGGGGAGGAGTCAGAGGCGCAGCTTCAAGGGGAGGAGTCAGAGGCGCAGCTTCAAGGGGAGGAGTCAGAGGCGCAGCTTCAAGGGGAGGAGTCAGAGGCGCAGCTTCAAGGGGAGGAGTCAGAGGCGCAGCTTCAAGGGGAGGAGTCAGAGGCGCAGCTTCAAGGGGAGGAGTCAGAGGCGCAGCTTCAAGGGGAGGAGTCAGAGGCGCAGCTTCAAGGGGAGGAGTCAGAGGCGCAGCTTCAAGGGGAGGAGTCAGAGGCGCAGCTTCAAGGGGAGGAGTCAGAGGCGCAGCTTCAAGGGGAGGAGTCAGAGGCGCAGCTTCAAGGGGAGGAGTCAGAGGCGCAGCTTCAAGGGGAGGAGTCAGAGGCGCAGCTTCAAGGGGAGGAGTCAGAGGCGCAGCTTCAAGGGGAGGAGTCAGAGGCGCAGCTTCAAGGGGAGGAGTCAGAGGCGCAGCTTCAAGGGGAGGAGTCAGAGGCGCAGCTTCAAGGGGAGGAGTCAGAGGCGCAGCTTCAAGGGGAGGAGTCAGAGGCGCAGCTTCAAGGGGAGGAGTCAGAGGCGCAGCTTCAAGGGGAGGAGTCAGAGGCGCAGCTTCAAGGGGAGGAGTCAGAGGCGCAGCTTCAAGGGGAGGAGTCAGAGGCGCAGCTTCAAGGGGAGGAGTCAGAGGCGCAGCTTCAAGGGGAGGAGTCAGAGGCGCAGCTTCAAGGGGAGGAGTCAGAGGCGCAGCTTCAAGGGGAGGAGTCAGAGGCGCAGCTTCAAGGGGAGGAGTCAGAGGCGCAGCTTCAAGGGGAGGAGTCAGAGGCGCAGCTTCAAGGGGAGGAGTCAGAGGCGCAGCTTCAAGGGGAGGAGTCAGAGGCGCAGCTTCAAGGGGAGGAGTCAGAGGCGCAGCTTCAAGGGGAGGAGTCAGAGGCGCAGCTTCAAGGGGAGGAGTCAGAGGCGCAGCTTCAAGGGGAGGAGTCAGAGGCGCAGCTTCAAGGGGAGGAGTCAGAGGCGCAGCTTCAAGGGGAGGAGTCAGAGGCGCAGCTTCAAGGGGAGGAGTCAGAGGCGCAGCTTCAAGGGGAGGAGTCAGAGGCGCAGCTTCAAGGGGAGGAGTCAGAGGCGCAGCTTCAAGGGGAGGAGTCAGAGGCGCAGCTTCAAGGGGAGGAGTCAGAGGCGCAGCTTCAAGGGGAGGAGTCAGAGGCGCAGCTTCAAGGGGAGGAGTCAGAGGCGCAGCTTCAAGGGGAGGAGTCAGAGGCGCAGCTTCAAGGGGAGGAGTCAGAGGCGCAGCTTCAAGGGGAGGAGTCAGAGGCGCAGCTTCAAGGGGAGGAGTCAGAGGCGCAGCTTCAAGGGGAGGAGTCAGAGGCGCAGCTTCAAGGGGAGGAGTCAGAGGCGCAGCTTCAAGGGGAGGAGTCAGAGGCGCAGCTTCAAGGGGAGGAGTCAGAGGCGCAGCTTCAAGGGGAGGAGTCAGAGGCGCAGCTTCAAGGGGAGGAGTCAGAGGCGCAGCTTCAAGGGGAGGAGTCAGAGGCGCAGCTTCAAGGGGAGGAGTCAGAGGCGCAGCTTCAAGGGGAGGAGTCAGAGGCGCAGCTTCAAGGGGAGGAGTCAGAGGCGCAGCTTCAAGGGGAGGAGTCAGAGGCGCAGCTTCAAGGGGAGGAGTCAGAGGCGCAGCTTCAAGGGGAGGAGTCAGAGGCGCAGCTTCAAGGGGAGGAGTCAGAGGCGCAGCTTCAAGGGGAGGAGTCAGAGGCGCAGCTTCAAGGGGAGGAGTCAGAGGCGCAGCTTCAAGGGGAGGAGTCAGAGGCGCAGCTTCAAGGGGAGGAGTCAGAGGCGCAGCTTCAAGGGGAGGAGTCAGAGGCGCAGCTTCAAGGGGAGGAGTCAGAGGCGCAGCTTCAAGGGGAGGAGTCAGAGGCGCAGCTTCAAGGGGAGGAGTCAGAGGCGCAGCTTCAAGGGGAGGAGTCAGAGGCGCAGCTTCAAGGGGAGGAGTCAGAGGCGCAGCTTCAAGGGGAGGAGTCAGAGGCGCAGCTTCAAGGGGAGGAGTCAGAGGCGCAGCTTCAAGGGGAGGAGTCAGAGGCGCAGCTTCAAGGGGAGGAGTCAGAGGCGCAGCTTCAAGGGGAGGAGTCAGAGGCGCAGCTTCAAGGGGAGGAGTCAGAGGCGCAGCTTCAAGGGGAGGAGTCAGAGGCGCAGCTTCAAGGGGAGGAGTCAGAGGCGCAGCTTCAAGGGGAGGAGTCAGAGGCGCAGCTTCAAGGGGAGGAGTCAGAGGCGCAGCTTCAAGGGGAGGAGTCAGAGGCGCAGCTTCAAGGGGAGGAGTCAGAGGCGCAGCTTCAAGGGGAGGAGTCAGAGGCGCAGCTTCAAGGGGAGGAGTCAGAGGCGCAGCTTCAAGGGGAGGAGTCAGAGGCGCAGCTTCAAGGGGAGGAGTCAGAGGCGCAGCTTCAAGGGGAGGAGTCAGAGGCGCAGCTTCAAGGGGAGGAGTCAGAGGCGCAGCTTCAAGGGGAGGAGTCAGAGGCGCAGCTTCAAGGGGAGGAGTCAGAGGCGCAGCTTCAAGGGGAGGAGTCAGAGGCGCAGCTTCAAGGGGAGGAGTCAGAGGCGCAGCTTCAAGGGGAGGAGTCAGAGGCGCAGCTTCAAGGGGAGGAGTCAGAGGCGCAGCTTCAAGGGGAGGAGTCAGAGGCGCAGCTTCAAGGGGAGGAGTCAGAGGCGCAGCTTCAAGGGGAGGAGTCAGAGGCGCAGCTTCAAGGGGAGGAGTCAGAGGCGCAGCTTCAAGGGGAGGAGTCAGAGGCGCAGCTTCAAGGGGAGGAGTCAGAGGCGCAGCTTCAAGGGGAGGAGTCAGAGGCGCAGCTTCAAGGGGAGGAGTCAGAGGCGCAGCTTCAAGGGGAGGAGTCAGAGGCGCAGCTTCAAGGGGAGGAGTCAGAGGCGCAGCTTCAAGGGGAGGAGTCAGAGGCGCAGCTTCAAGGGGAGGAGTCAGAGGCGCAGCTTCAAGGGGAGGAGTCAGAGGCGCAGCTTCAAGGGGAGGAGTCAGAGGCGCAGCTTCAAGGGGAGGAGTCAGAGGCGCAGCTTCAAGGGGAGGAGTCAGAGGCGCAGCTTCAAGGGGAGGAGTCAGAGGCGCAGCTTCAAGGGGAGGAGTCAGAGGCGCAGCTTCAAGGGGAGGAGTCAGAGGCGCAGCTTCAAGGGGAGGAGTCAGAGGCGCAGCTTCAAGGGGAGGAGTCAGAGGCGCAGCTTCAAGGGGAGGAGTCAGAGGCGCAGCTTCAAGGGGAGGAGTCAGAGGCGCAGCTTCAAGGGGAGGAGTCAGAGGCGCAGCTTCAAGGGGAGGAGTCAGAGGCGCAGCTTCAAGGGGAGGAGTCAGAGGCGCAGCTTCAAGGGGAGGAGTCAGAGGCGCAGCTTCAAGGGGAGGAGTCAGAGGCGCAGCTTCAAGGGGAGGAGTCAGAGGCGCGCGCTTCAGGGGAGGAGTCAGAGGCGCAGCTTCAAGGGGAGGAGTCAGAGGCGCAGCTTCAAGGGGAGGAGTCAGAGGCGCAGCTTCAGGGGAGTTGGCACGGTTGGGGGAGGGAGCGGGGAAGGGGGAACTAATGTGGTGAGGGACGAGGAGGAGGAAGTGACACCTCCCCCCCCTGCCAAGCAAGGCAGTGTGGGACGGGCAGCGAGGCAGCTGCAAGGGCAGGGCGGCGCTGTTGGGGGAGGGAAGGGGAAAGAGGAGGGAGAGTTGCTTCCCGTCCCTCCCAAGGGGGGAGGGCATTGTGGGAGGGGCTTGCCCAGTCGGCGATGTGGGAGGGGCAAGGATGAAGCAGCTTCAGGGGGGTCTTGGCACAGTCGGCGGAGGGAGCAGGGAGAGGGAGCAGAAGACGAGCTACGAGAGGAAGATGAAAGCAGAGGAGATGAGAAGGATGAAGGGAAGGGATTGGTCCCATCCGATCTCTCCCGGGGGGGAGGGGAACGATGGTGGGGGAAAGGGGGAGAGGCAGGGGCACCCAATCCCTCCCTCCTAGGGGGAATGCAGTGATGCAGTTTCAAGGGGAGGGCAGCGCGTTTGGGGGAGGAAGAGCGGAAGGGGGGCTGGGGGCGGGAGTGGAGAGGAGAAGTGGCGGGCTTGGGGGGGAGTGGAGGGGAGTGCGCGTGGAGGGGGGAGGGGGGGACGGGAGAGCTGGGGGCAGTGGGGTTAGGGAGGGGGGGTCTCTTGGGCAGTGGCGGAGGAGGGGGGTGGAGGGGGAGCTGCTGGGGGCAGTGGGGTGGGGCATGAGTGTGAGTGGTGGAGGGGGAGGAGGAGGAAGGGTGTGGCGTGAATGGTGCAGTGGTGAAGGAGGAGGAAGTGGGGGAAGACGGGGGTGTGAGGGAAGATTGGAGGGTAGGGGATTTGGGGCTTGGTTTGACTCGCCGCCAAGCGTGAGAAGAGGTGGAGGAGCAATAAGCGTGGGAGGAGCAACGAGCGTGCTGCAAGGGGTGATGCCTGTGGAAGAGAGGTGCGTCGAATGCAAGCGGTGATGAGAAAGCGAAGGCATGTCGGAGAAGTCATCGAGGGGGAGGGAGTCATTGGGAGTGGAAGAGTAAGGGAAAGGGAAGCTGGTTACAGGAGAAAGCGAAGGCGTGTAGGAAGAGTGACTGAGGGGGAGGAAGCTGGTTACAGGGAAGGTCACCTGAAAAGTCACCTGAGGAAGCAGAAGAGATACCTGAGCACGAAGGTGCATCATTTTATGGGGAGGAAGGGGCGGCGATGCAAGCTGAGAAAGCACCTGGAGGCAACAGAGAAGGAGAATCTGAGGCGGGAGGAGATTCTCCTGGAAGAGGAGGAGATCCACCTGAGGCAGAGGGAGGAACACCTGAAGCAACAAAAGGAGCACCTGAAACAGCAGGAGGATCACATAAGGGAAGAGAGGGAACGGCAAGAGTTTCACCTGAACCAACAGAAAGAGCACCTGAGGCAGCAGGAGGACGGATGATGGAAGGAAAGGGGGAGTGGTGAACGGAGAGGTGGCAAAGGGGGTGGTGAAGGTTGAGAGAGAATAGTGGTTGGGGGAAGATGGAGGGAGAGGAGGAGGGATGGACGGCAGAAGAGGAGGGAAGGGTGGTGAAGGATGAGAGAGAAGAGTGGTTGGGGTGAAAGAGTGGTTGGGATGGAGGGAGTGGGTGGGGGTGTGGTATAGGGCGGAGGGAGGGGAGGGGGTGGTGAAGGAGGAAGAGAGAAGGGAGGTGTGGTGAGATGATGGTGAGGAGGTGGGGTGGGGTGGCGGTGAATGGATGGAGGGAAGTGAAAGTGAAGGAGAAGAGAGGATGGAGCGTGGTTCTAGGGGAGGGAGGGGAGAGGTTGCAGAATACCCGAAAAAACTAGCTGTCAGGTGCTGGAAGATTTTTGTACATTTCCACACTAAGGATCAGGAAGAAAATATCCATACGTACAGGTCAAATGTTGTAGCCTATAGTGAGGTTTGTCTTAGAGGGTACAAAACTTAGGGTTAGCTATATGTACCCCAACCAACATCAATGCATCATCCATTCCTCATTCTGACATGGTATCAGTTAGGTTAGGATCCTGTGGGATCCCGTTCCTCCGTTCTCCGTTCGTATCTCCCGAGCCTGATCCTACCTCTCGTTCGTACCGGTTCCGTTGTTACCGCGCCTAGTGCCGAGCCTAGCGCCCTTCCCCCCGTCGCCTAGCGCCCTTTCCCCCCCGTCACGTCGCGCCCTTTTCCCCCGTTGCGTCGCGCCCGTTCCCCCCCGTCGAGTCGCGCCCTTTCCCCCCGTCGCGTCGCGCTCTTTCCCCCCGTCGCGTCGCGCCCTTTCCCACCGTCGCGTCGCGCCCTTTCCCCCCGTCACGTCGCCCTGCCCCGTCCCGTTGCCCCTGCCCCGTCCCGTCGCCCTTGCCCCGTCCCGTCCGTCGCCCCGTCCCGTCCCGTCGCCCCGTCCCGTCCCGTCGCCCCGTCCCGTCCCGTCGCCCCTGCCCCGTCCCGTCCCCGTCCCGTCCCGTCCCGTCGCCCCTGCCCCGTCCCGTCCCCGTCCCGTCCCGTCCCGCGGCCCTGCCCCGTCCCGTCCCGTCGCCCCGTCCCGTCCCGTCGCCCCTGCACCGTCCCGTCCCCGTCCCGTCCCGTCGCCCTGCCCCGTCCCGCCGCCCCGTCCCGTCTCCCTACCCCGTCGCGTCGCCCTCCCCCGTCGCGTCGCCCTGCCCCGTCGCATCGTGCCCGCCCTTTCCCCCGTCCCGTCGACCCTACGCCCTGGCCCGTCGCTCTAGCCCGCTCTTCCGCTGCGACTAAGTCCCACCTGAACCCTAATTTGCCTCTTACCTCCTGCTGTTACTCGCCTGCTCGTTCGCGTTAGTTTTCGCTATGGCGACTCCGCGAGTTCTTCGTTTCGACGCTGACGGCAGACCTCTTGACTTTTCCGTCTGGCTCCTTCGCGCTCGCCGTCTGTTAGAGAGTCAAGTCCAGGGGGGCGAGACCCTCTGGTCGCACGCTACTGGTGACCTCCCCGAGCCCCCCGAGCCTGCCGCTTTAGGTCCTGCCCCTGACGATGCTGCTACGGCTCGCTTTGCCCGTCAGCGCGCTGACAGGACGGCTTGGACGTCGCGTGACGCTGCGGCCTGCATCGCACTCAGCAGCCTCCTCCCTGAGTCAGAGGAGGTCCACTTCACTCAGGTTCGCACCGCTGCTGCGTACCTCACTGCGATTAAGGCCCGCTACTCTACTCCCGCTACTGTCTCTCTTGGCCGTCTTTTCCTCCCGTTCCTGTTTCCTGATCTCGCCTCGTTTGAGCGCTCTGCTGACTTGATCGCTCACCTCCGCTCGCTCGACGCTAGTTACCGCGCTGCTTGCACTGAGGCACAGCTTGCACTGCTTCCTCCCCCCATGGCGATTACTATCTATTTCATCGCCACTAGCCTCCCTGACCGCCTTGCCTCCGTACGTGACGCGCTCCTGCTGAAGCACCCTAGTGAGCTGACAGTTGAGGTCCTTGAGTCTGCGCTCAAGGACGTCGAGAGCAACCTTCGCTCGGTAGCTGCCGCCTCTGGTGCTGTGCCCCCCCCACTCTTCCACGGGTGCACAGTCCCGCAGTTACCCACCTTCACTGCCTCTCTTGCCACTGCCGCTACTGACGCGACTGCAGCTGCTGTTACGACTGCGTCGCGGTCCCGCGGCAAGGGGGGCAAGAAAGGTGGTTCTGGTGGAGGTGGAGGCGGAGGTAGCGGAGGTAGTGGGGGTGCTGTTGCGACTGGCGGTGGTGGGAGTGCAGCGTCTGGAGAGACCTCTCGTGCAGCGGCTGGTGACTCCACTGCGCCTGCTGGTGGTGGCGACACCCGAGCTCGTCAGTCGTCTCCTGTACTGCCGGCCCCGCTAGGTGGAGCAGCGGCGTGGTACCAGGCTCAGCGTCAGCAGCGGCTTCAGCAGCAGCAGCAGCCCCTCTCCTCCCAGCAGCCTCAGCAGCAGCAGCGTCAGCAGCTGGCTCCGGGGTCGGGGCTGCGTCAGCCCCAGCGTGGTGCTGCTTACCCTCCCTGCACCTATCAGGTTCTGACAGGTCCTCGTCGGGGCCACCCTTGTGGCCGCTTTCACCCCCCTGGTCAGTGCTTTGCTCAGCTCACTGACACGGTCCGGTTGGCCTACGGGGTTGGCGGTCCTGCCCTTGACTGGCTTCCTCTGGTTCAGCGCTACGGCTCCGCTCTGTGGGGCATGTCTGCTGAGCAGTTAGTTGATCTGATTGGTGCTCCTCATGCTATGTATGCTGTTGTTGACTCTAGTGTTTCTGACTCTGCTTACTCTGGTGTTGTTAGCTTAGGTGCTAGCCTTGCTCAGTTGCCTGTTGCTAGTGTAGGTTCTTGTGTAGACTCTAGTCCAGCGGCTACCTCAGAGGACGGTTCGCTGTCGTTCACGCTGGACTCTGGAGCCTCTCACTGCTTCTTTCGTGACAGCACGACACTTACGCCTCTTCCTGCGCCTGTTTCTGTGGCGCTGGCTGATCCCACTTCGGGACCAGTCACCGCGCGTCACACTACCACCTTGCCGTGTCCGGCTGCTCCTTCTGGGTCTCTCACTGGGTTTCACGTCCCCTCGTTCTCCCGGAACTTGGTGGGCGTGCGACCCCTTGTGAGTCAGCACGTGGGTGTGTGGTTTGAGCCTTCTGGAGAGACTGCGGTGTGTGTTGACGGGGACTCTTACCAGCCTCTCGCCACTTTTGCTGCTGAGCCGGGCTCCGGTCTCTACACTCTTCACACTGGCCCGCGCGCTCAGCAGCGACTGCAGCAGCAGCAGCAGCAGCCTCAGCAGCGGCAGCAGCAGCAGCCGCAGCCACAGCGGCCGCCGTCGCAGCAGCCACTCCTCCCAGTTCCTGTCCCTCCCCCTAGTCTCCTCCCTGCGTCTCACCAGGTGGTTCCGTCCCCTCAGGTTGTCGCGTCCAGTCCAGTCGCTGCGTCTTGCTCCTGTCGGTCGCTTGCCCACCCCACCGTTCTGTGGCACCACCGGATGGGACACCCTTCTCTTCCACGTCTGCGTGCTATGTCTAGTCAGCGTCTGGTCTTAGGTCTCCCGCGTGTCTTGCCGTCGCTGCCGCCGTCCCTTGCACCACCGTGCGGTCCTTGCGTCGAGGGTAGG